AAACTTTCCAAGATACCCATTTTCGTTCTTAGACAATTTTGAGATCGCTTACACTAAGTTTCAACTGAATGTATATTTCTCTTGTGGGCACTGAAAGTGAAACGCTTTGGTATGCAAATTTTCAAGTACTCCGGTGTATTCTCATCTATATTCCGAATGATAATTAGTATCATTATTTTCAATATGATTAATATTCTGCTTATTGCTATATGTATAACTATGCAATGGTAATCACAAAGTTATCCTCCATTTATCTTATCTCTAAACTCTAAACGAACAATTACTTAATATTTTTAGGGTTCCGTACCCAAAGGTTAAAACGGGACCCTATTACTAAGACTCCGCTGTCTGTCTGTCCGTCCGTCTATCATCAGGATGTATTTATCTCATGAACCGTGACAGTTACACAATTCAAATTTTCACAGATGATGTATTCCTGTTGCTGCTATGAAAACAAATACTAAAAAACAGAATAAAAAATATTTAAGTGAGTCTCCCATACAACATATTCATATTCATAGACATGATTTTTTTGCCGTTTTTATAAATAATGGTACGGAACCGTTCGTGCGCGAGTCCGTCTCTCACTTGGGCGGTTTTTCATTTTTGCGATCGCAGACACCCAAATATATTATTAGGAGCATTATTATGAAACTGAAGAGTTTGTTTGTTTGAACTCGCTAATCTCAGGGACTACTGGTCCCATTTGAAAAATTCTTGCACTATTAGACAGCCCATTTATTGAGGAAGGCAGATAAAATGTAGTACATGTGGGCGGAGCCGCGGGTGAAAAGCTAGTATTTAAATACAGCGTGTCGTTACAACCGTGACAATAAATGAACACACATATAGAGGATAACTTTTTAAAATTGTATTAAACATTTACATTATTTAAACATCAATATTTACCAGACTTGTTTGCTTTAGTTATTTTCACAGCATCTTGTCGTACGGCATTTTGTTGTGGGGTAGTGCACTGTGCATCAGATATAAATTCTATATTTATTCTTGAAAAAAGAGCTGTTCGAGCAATCTACAATATCGGAGTCTGTGCCTGTATGCCTTTTGGCATTTTCTCCCAGTCAACCAGGGTTGGGTCAAACTTAACATAAGGTGAGGCGCCAGCTCGCCTGCATAAAAATAAAACACATCAAAGAACATAATTTATAGTCTAAGACCTTGCAATGTTTTCGAGAGAATTTCAGGTTGGCCAGTTTTTAGATATGCTATCTCTCTCACTCACCGCGCACGTCGTACGCGCTGTTTGGCTGGCGGTAGAGGTTCGTCAGTGCGCATCGTATATTGTACTCTTCCAACATGCCCACTTTTCACTTTTGGATCGGTCTGGCTGGAGGTAACAGTTGAATTATTGTCTGGCAAATTAATTTTGGGTTTTTAGACACTTAAACAACATCACATTAAAATTTCAGCCATACGAAAATATTTTCTTCAATTCAAAATTAGCGATTGGCACAGTTTAAACAACAAATAAAATATCTAGCAATAATGGATTTTTGTTGTAAAAGGTTACATTAAAATAACAAAAAAAGGAAACCTTAAAAATATTTGGTAGCATAATTGATATTTTCGAACCTGTACAGGTACCATGCGCACGCAATGTACCTGATGTACGCAATCTTTACCGACAGCCAGATTGCCCGTATGTCATCCGAGAGAGTGAGAGAGATAGCGTATACAAAAACTAGCCTACCCGAAATTCTCTCAAAAACTTTGCCAGCTCTTAGACTATAAATGATATTCTTTGATGTGTATTCTTTTTATGTAAGATGTTAAGCGATAAGCCAACCATGATCATTTGCAGCAACCGTAGGTTTAGAGATAGCATGTCTAAAAACTGTCCTACCTGAAATTCTTGTTTTCCCGAAGTTGCTGGCTCTCGTACCATTATATGTTACTTAGCTCTTCAAGTAATAAATAAATATTTAATTATATTTTACGAATAGTTCCGATCATCTCTCGTACCTTCTGCCAAATATCATTATCATAAATCCACTAGGACTAGGACAAGTGGGGGTTGGAGTTTGAAGTAAATACGCCATGGAATTGTACGTATTAATACGTCACAAACGGGGAATATAAAGAAAAAGAAAAAAAAATCTTTAAACAGCTTTTTATTGTACATCATAGTTTTTGTAACACGACACGATAAAAGCATTTCCTATAACAGCATGCTACATTTTGATACGATTAGCACGTTCGCAACTAGCTGCAAACGAAATGATCCACTAAGGCTATGTATTAAGAAACATTATTAAATCTCATTAATGCAATACTATTTTATAGATAACGTTTTAAAATGGGTATTATGCAACATATATAAGATATATTACGTATCTATAACTACATGAATCCACATGATATATTAACGGGCCCATATTAAATGCCATTTGACACTTTCAAAAATTGTTCAATCCGCTCAATCTTAAACACACTTCTCGAGCCCAATGCATGTGTGAAAGCGACAACAATATATGTTACAGCTCAAATTTATTAAACATACAATGCATTGTCATATTACTATGAACATAGATAACAATAGCTGGTTCATTACGACTCATCCCGCACTTAGAAAATTAAAATAGCAATGCAACACTTCCAATATGGACCCTCTTCTAACATACTAAAGGAATGATAAAAACAAATATAAATTACAACACGATATTCAGGAAATACTTGAGAACCGCTTGAGTTAAATAAATATGCATAATTATATTGTTACAAGGGAAATACATTTATTTTGCAAGAGTGCGATATTTTAGCTGTCTTGAACCAATATTGAAACAGAAATCTTCGTTGTTGATTTATAATACATTCCTTAATTTCAAAAGGAAGTCGACCAGGCAGTTATGATTTCATTTAATTTTGTAATGATGGTCTTTTTTTGCACATGATTGCAAAATTACTTACTAGACTTTTTATTACACTTTTTGGCCTTTTTAATTTGATAACAATTATTGATACAAACGCCTATATTAGAAATTTCGATCTCCTGCAAGGTTACTCACAAAGGAGGAAACTTACTTTTTTAGCTTACTTGAAGGAACAAAGAGGAATCCAAACATTACATACTATTATAATGGAGTGTTAAGTATAAGGCATAATAACTCGTATGTGTTTATAACTGGTAGTGACCACAAAAATTCATACAAAATGGGTTCTGTAAATAATCAGGATGGCATTAATGGTGTCATAGGAGAGAGACTGAATGGTCTATTGATGACTCGATGTTTTAAGAACTCATGATCAACTGAACGCCATTTTAGAGTATTCAGTTTTATGGACACTTTCTATTGAGATAACACTCCTTATACTCAACACTCCGTAACCATTCTTGTAGTTACAAGATTTTTTTTAAATCACTTCACACTCTCTGTCAGATCAATCTGACATTTGGAACAGATAATATATGGATAAGAGAAAATTCGGCAACATATTGATAGTAGAGAATCATCCGCATTCTGACATCGAGATAGCGTTTATAATAATTACATTAGTAACTCAATAGTAATTACATTATTAAATCCGTTAGATGAAATTACAAAAACTAAGGTCTCCTAACATCATAGTGCCAAATCTACCCTCAAGGTCTAGAACTATTAAATTCAGTTACAAAGCCATCACTCAGTAACAATCCTATTTAAGAATACAATTTCAAAAGTTCGAAACAAAATTTACACCCTAAGCATAGTGTGGTTAAAGATCTAAGTTTCATTTGCAGTTCATTTCCATCATCAGCAAAATGATATTTCCAAAATTCCATATTACACAATTTGCATATTGCTTTTTCAAAAAGAAATTGTATATAATATATTATTTGTATAACTTTGTAAAAAAAATAAACATAATTTCGCCATTAAAATACAATTACTGCATAGCGTTCCAAGAAGTTTCAACAATATTAGACATCTTGAAATATCTTATTTTTATGTTAGTGATGCTACCGCTATAAACTTTCTCGAAAACTACAACATTTCGTACACAATTAATAAATCTAAGCATAAATCTTTCTGCAAAAAAACCAATTGGAGAAAAAAAATATGATCCCAAATTCAAATTCCACACAAGAGTGTTGAGATTCTCAAGGCAAATACTATTGTATTTGTGTACAAGCTAGACGTATGGCCCCGCATACAATAGCCATAACAAGTTGATGAACATGTATATACTTAACAATTCATCATTAAAAAAAATCGTGTACCGTGCAAGGAGTCCCTGAAATGTTTTGAGAAATTATATACAATATGTTTAACATTTATGTAACATGCCCTTTCATCTATAGCTCTGTCTAAGTCGGGAACTGTGAGCAGCATCCTGAAAGAAAATCACATTTCCAAATAAATTCCCAATTTAAACAGATTTTCATTACAAATCTTCATATAAAATACTTATAACAACTATTAAGAGACTTTCATTCAGCGAACTTTAATTTTATACAATCTGCTGCTGCATAGCTGCAATAGCTGGATTAAAGCTTAAAGAACATAACAGGCAATTATATTCTCTATACCAGAAACATAAAGAATAGGTCTTGAAGTCCAAAACGAGACCGGAGATGAGCCTGTCACCGTAAAATGCATTGGGATTTTTACAAGGCCACCACTATACTACTAATACTTCCTTGTGTACTTACTGCGCCTGGGAGCGAAAGAGATAGAGAGAGAGCCACAGTTTGATTAATGACTCCGTGGCGCAGTAGCCTAGGCATTTGCTTCGGTACCGAGGGTCATGAATTCGAGGGTCGAGACGACTATTTGTGTCACCCACAGTTAATTGTTATAGATCTGGGTGTTTGTCCACGTGAATTTAGGTTTGTAAAACGTCCTAACAACACAGGATAATGTTTTTCTAAAATAGAGGCAATGTTTTTAAAAAAAAAAAAGAAAACTGTGCTAAGACTAATTATGGTTGTATGTCCGTAGATGAGGCCTTACGTGGTGGTCCGTGTCGCCTAGCAACGGTCGCATAGTAACGGTTGCCTAGCAACGCGTCTCGTAGAGGCCGGAGCGTCCGATGTAGCGCACCCATTTGATGACATCATGGTCTGAGTAGTTCAGTTTCGGCTCGAACACCTTCAGGTAGCGGACCTGTGGTACGAATAGAAATTTTTAATATATTATTCTTAATTCAAAACTGCATCTTCTGTTTTTACTTCAATCTTTGCTGGTATAGTATTTATATGTATAAATGTTAAACAGCAAATTTACTGTTGGTTATTTAGACGTTGTTTTATTGGCTCCAATGTACATAAATAACTATTTACGTAAGCATGGGTGTTTATATATCTTAATTATGTATTTATTTACAAAAGAGAAGTATGCTTATCAGTTACCTAGTATCCATAGTGTATACTTTGCTTAGTATTGGTATAAATAACATTGTATAAAAACATTTCAATAAATATTTATTTGAAAATCTTCACACCCATAAGGGTGCCCAATTTCACTCGTAATCGATGTGTGTGTATCTATTTCACTGTGATCACCTTGAATCCAGACGGTGCGAAAGGCACCTCGAAGCCCATAGAGATTGGCGGCCGGGTCCACTTCTTCTTGGTGTCTGTCTCCAGTAGCTCAATCTCGGCGGACAGCTGGGTCTCCTTCATGCCAGCCATTCGCTTGATCCTTACGGTGAAGGGAAATTACGCCAGTTAAAAGTAATTTACCACTTGCACATGACATATCTCCTAATTATCCGTTAAATTCATCTGGGACACGTCTATAGATCTCTACTAAGATACTTTTTAATTCGCAACAAATACAGATCTATGGTCGTTTTCGTTCCACCTGGGAAATATCACGACTTTACAAAAGACTGGCGTGAAGTGAAAGTCTTATGCTACCCCGTTTTTTCCGGTTATTAAGGTAACTGGGGCCCACTTTATTAAAAGGTGGCAACGCATCTGCAACACTACGGGTGTTGCGGATAGCGGCGGCTCGATTGCCACCTTCTCACATAAAAAAAAATTGAAAGTTACAGCTCCTTGCCAGGATTTTAGGCTGCCCTTCCCTTCGCAAGACCGGCTTGCCAACCAATGGCCATAGTAGGACGATGAAGAGAAATATAGCAGGGCCGAACTCACTTCCACACGATGGCGTTCTCCGATGCCTTGTACTTCGCCTTGCCCTTGAGGCAGATGAGCTGGACGCCGCTGGTGTTGAGCGGGGTCGGTATCTTGACCTCGATCTTCTGCCCGAGGAGGGAGGGCTTGAAGTTGCTCTTCAGCACCACCTTCACCTCCATCTTGGTGCGGCCCACCTCGCGCACCAGCGGGATCACGCGGAACGGCAGCGATATGTCCTTGGTGGTGCGGTACCTGGTGGGGGAATTTGCACGGTCGATTATGTTGTCATCCAGTGGGGTCATGTCTAGAATCGAATCTCTCTAAATATAGATCGGCTAATTTCAGAAATTGAATTTCTTTAAATTCTTTACCATAAATTGTGAATTTTTGTAGATAAATTAACAAAAAATTTGGGGGGTCGCTTAGCTTGGTTTGTAAAGCTAGGCGCGAGACCACTGTGTGAAAACCTCGACATCTAGATAGATGACTCTTGATGACGTTCTTGTTATTGCATGTTTAACAATGTTTAGTGATGTTTGAATCCTTCTTTTGCCACATTGGACAGGCGAACTCAGCATATAAGCAATCTGTCTATGATTTTCTGAGAGGTTGTGGCAATTTACTGACCAACCAACGAATGAGCGAGTTGACGACCCAATTGGCGTAGTGGACAGTGACCCTGTCTCTTGCGTCAGAGGGTGTGGGATCGATCCCCACTTCTGGCAAAATATCGTGTCTGGGTGTTTATATATCTATCAAATGTATTTATTTACAAAATGAAAGTACATTTATCAATTACCTAGTACTCATACAACCTTTGCTTAGTTCGGGACTAGATTACAAATAGCTCAGCCCAATTATACAGCGCAAGGAATTAATGTAAGCTTTAAACCAAACAAAAATGGCCGCTCGCCTCATGAGCTCGAACTCCCCGTCTGGCGGTATGAAGGAGATGGAGTGCTCCGTCTCGAACTTGCTGAGTTTCACGCACTGGTGGAACTGGCAGTCGTCGATCACCACCACCGGCTTGCCGGAGCGGGCGCCCTCGCTGTCCGTGTTGCCCGATATGCCCCCTGGAACGTCACACCACACATTGCCAAATTAACCTTAAAGATTAGGACACACTTATATTCTGCTTTATTTAAACTCTGCACAGATCTGGCAGCTGTATAAAGAAATAATATATATATATATAACCCCAGCTCGACGGGAGAACCTGACTGGGTACATCAAACTGGTGGGAGAGAAGATCACTATTTTCTCTCCCACCAGGCTTTATCGTTGGGCAAAATTTTCTGGATTTGAAAAAAATCTGTCCCTCTTGGTTTTCCGCCACATTAAATTTTGTTCGAAACAAGGCATATAGCCTTGTAACAAATAAATAAAAATATATCAATAAAGAATCGGAATAAATTTGATCCACCCCTGCGACAAGCACTAACAATAATAATTGATACTCTCATTTAAGCTCCCACGAGGTTGTCGCTATATGGGATGGTAATGTAGAACAAAAATACCCTCGACTATGCCGGTTTAGTATATTTTAGCAAGAAATAGGGCCCATTTGAAAGAATATTTCAGTCCATTATAACGGAGATTGAAGCAGTCCTTTTCGAGCGCGGCTTCCAACAAGTATTTTAGCTATATGATTGCTTATAATAAAAAAAAAACTATTTTTGTCAAATAATGGTAAAGAAAAATGTCCCGCTGAGTTTCTTTCGCCGTTTCTTCTCTGGTCAGTGGCTTTTCTTTTCCGAACCGGTGGTAGTACACTTACTTATTGATTGTCAATAATTAAGTGTAATGCTTCTCAAATCAAATCAAATCAAAATATATTTCTTGACATAGACGTTGGGCGTTCTTATGAAATGGCAAAATTTTACATAAAAATTAATACGTTCGTAAGTTACCACCGGTTCGGAAAGCAGATTATGTTGTCAAGAATATTAAATTAAATTCAATATTAAATTATAACTGTTGCCAGTTTGTCAAACTTGAGAAATTAAAGAGAAACATTATGCTGTGAGAGGAATAAAATGCAACAACAGCCCACCTGAGGTAGAGGTAAAAAACATTGAATAGTGAAAATACGGCTATACATAATTCCATATGGGTGTCAAGAATGAGTGTTTATGTTTTTGAATACTAAATTTAGCAAATCGCACTTGGCATCGACCTCTATTTACTATTAGGGTCAAAGGACGGAATAACTTGCTGATTGTAGGTACAAGGCCATTGTACAACCCTAACGAACGTTCGCCTAACGACCGCATCGATCCCCGAAATTATTCCGGACAAACTGGGAATCCCCGAAAACACATACGTAGCTTTAACCTACAACGCACTGTACTACGGTCGCTACTGATTCTTAAACTGAACAACCCTGGCATAAAATTGATGCACTCACCGTTTCCTTTGCCCTTAGCCTCCATCACGATCTTATCGTTGATGCCGAACTTGCATTCAGGCATACCGGAGAGGTAGGATTTCATCACCACCTTGCCCGCTACATGGGCAGATAGAACTTGCCCTGTAACAAAAATATGTTGACAAAGACATGTTTCTACAAACTTCTAGTATTAGACTAAGACACAATTGAATGACACAATTTTGTTTTTTTCATTTAAAATGAAATCTTTAAAATTTTTAAGAACAACTAAAATATCAGAAAGCCTAAAATGTAATCTCTGAGTGCCATATATTATTTGAAAATATTTATACATAAAAGTCTAAAACAATGAAGAACCCACCATACAAACACACAAAGTCAAAATTTCATTATTCCAAGCTCCTTTTAAAAGTCAAAAAACTACCACAGATTAACTAAATAATTCCTGTCCAAAGAAGAATGGATCAGAAACTCTGCAGTTTTGTTATATTTTTTTTATATTATTCTATATGTATATCGAAAAATGTACAGTCAAGCTGTGCTAGCTAGCTATATGACTGTTTTGTACCGAACATACCTTGAGGCGACATGAGCAGGTTGACGTATTCCAGTACATCGAGGAATAGTTCGTTGCGTCTGTACTTTATCCCCTCTCGTCGCCAACCGATCTGACCGGTTACCTGAGACAGAAGGAAACATCACATGGTCAGATTTCCCAGTAGTGAACACCGTAAACACAGGGTAGTGGCTATAGACAAGACAGAATACTGCTGCAGACTTATTCATGATGATCATAGAAGATTTTTTTAGACATGCAAACATTTTTAATAGTTTTATAGCTAAGAAATTGACTGTCATAATCAAAACTTCTATACTCAATTTAGGCTTGTTAAAGTTCTTATGGACATCAAAACTGCCACCTGTTCATTAAACGGTATCTTTCAAGAAATAATCGATAAGAAACTGTGAAGGTTCTAATTTTATATAACTTCTAGTTGAATTTGTGTTTTTTTTTTTCATTTAAAATGAAATCTTTAAAATTTTAAAGAACAACTAAAATATCAGAATGCCTAAAATGTAATCTCTGAGTGCCATATATTATTTGAAAATATTTATACATAAAAGTCTAAAACAATGAAGAACCCACCATACAAACACACAAAGTCAAAATTTCATTATTCCAAGCTCCTTTTAAAAGTCAAAAAACTACCACAGATTAACTAAATAATACCTTCCAAAGAAGAATGGATCAGAAACTCTGCAGTTTTGTTATATTTTTTTTTATATTATTCTATATGTATATCGAAAAATGTACAGTCAAGCTGTGCTAGCTAGCTATATGACTGTTTTGTACCGAACATACCTTGAGGCGACATGAGCAGGTTGACGTATTCCAGTACATCGAGGAATAGTTCGTTGCGTCTGTACTTTATCCCCTCTCGTCGCCAACCGATCTGACCGGTTACCTGAGACAGAAGGAAACATCACATGGTCAGATTTCCCAGTAGTGAACACCGTAAACACAGGGTAGAGTGGCTATAGACAAGACAGAATACTGCTGCAGACTTATTCATGATGATCATAGAAGATTTTTTTAGACATGCAAACATTTTTAATAGTTTTATAGCTAAGAAATTGACTGTCATAATCAAAACTTCTATACTCAATTTAGGATTGTTAAAGTTCTTATGGACATCAAAACTGCCACCTGTTCATTAAACGGTATCTTTCAAGAAATAATCGATAAGAATCTGTGAAGGTTCTAATTTTATATAACTTCTAGTTTAATTTGTGTTTTTTTTTTTTCATTAATTGCAACGGAGACCGAAATTTATAACACAATCTTCATACCTGTGATGTGATTTGTGCCTGCTCCTCTTTAGAAGCGGATTTTATGCCCTGCTGTGTGATGAAGGTCTTGAGAACTCCCGTATCAGAGTTTTGCGGGTAGCCGAAGTCTAGAATCTCTGAAAAAATTGGTACATAACACAATGATGATGACTTTTTTTATGTAGAAGGAGACAAAGAAGTTGTCTGAACAACCACTGCAACCTTAAAATCTATTGTAGTCTTTCCTTCAAAAACATTGACCCTTACAGTACGGTAACATTATCGTGTTATGTAAGGGTGTTTTACATACATAAATTTCATGTGAACAAACACCTAGATTTGAGACAATTATCTGTGAGTCAAACAAATAATTGTTCCATGTAGCAATCAAACCAACACTCTCAGCGCCGAAGCCAATGCCTTCAATACTCAATAAAAATGCAAAGAGATGAAACATCTCTTTGACGGCGAACCTGATCGCCAACAATTCCAGCAGCTCTACATTTGATGCGGTCAAATGTAAGGAGTTGATATTGTTGAGCCCCAGCCAAAATATGACAACAGTATGCCATGTGCAGCAGAATCTGCGCTTTATAGAGTTGCAAGATACATGATCCGAGATGACAGGAAATACTGCATTTACTCAATAAACGTAAAAAAACCTCTTTACAAACTATGAATTCATTCATAATTCTAATTTCATACAATGTTTTAAGCATTTAATCATATGATTCAAAATCAAGATGGGGATTCTTCTAATCAGAGAAAATAGTCTTGTAAATACGTAGTGTTCTTATATTTTATCTGTAGTTTAAACAAAAGTCCAAAACATCATCTACTATATGTATGTGTGAAAAGAAATGATAACTCACCATCTAGCAGCTCATAAATGAGAACAAAATTATTCTTGATGTTCTCCTCAGTGATCTTCCCAAAGTATGATTGCATCACATCAATGATTTTCAGTAGAAATTCAAACACCATCGCAGCATTTACATTTTGCTTGGTGACCGCTGCCAACCAAATATTGGCGCGCTGTTGGGAAATGAAATTCTATTTAGAGGGATCACAAAATCAATTTGTATGTTTTACTTGTATTCAGTTTATTATAACTACATAGTATAAAATAAATCTATTGTCCCGCTGTCTGTCTATCCCTATGTATGCTTAGATCTTTAAAACTATGCAATGGATCTTGATGTGGTTTTTTTTAACTAAATAGAGTGATTGAAGAGGAAGGTTTATATGTTTAATACATTGCACCCTTGCGAAGCTTGGTCGGGTTACTAGATTTTATTAATAAATATGCATTACAATTATATAAATATGAAAAACAAGTGAAATGAAGGGAAAAAAACTTTTTGTAAGATATATTAAAACGTTTTTTACGTTAATTTCATGACAAATAAGGAGGCGGTGATTTTTAAACATACCTTTATATGAAAGAAGGAGGTACGCGCAATGTTCGTAACGGGCGAGCGCACTTGCTGCCTGGCATGGATGACATTTACCCGAAATGCGTCCACCGCATTTCGTCCTATATCGTCCCTATATACTCTCGAAATTAATACTTCGCCTTTATGATTGTAAACGAATAAGCCTCCGATCATCTTGAACCCGAGCCTAATGCTGTTGAAATTGAAAATATAGAAATAAATTCGATGTACATAAAACGACAAAATTGTCAGGGCAATCGTATAAAATGGATAAGTCAATAAGTTAATCAATAAAACAGGATATGACCAATAAAATAAATCTGATACAGTTAGCTACTTGAATCCTATACGGCGAAAGTACTTGCTTACCTATTTCATCCAAAAGACTATCATGAGGACTCCACTTTTTAAACGATGGTGTATATCTAAATATAATACTCTACCACTATCATTTTACTCTAAATTCTTCAAGAATAAAGAAGATTAAACTCCGATACCCGCCCCCAAAATGAAACGTCAATAGCATCAGATGAGTTGCAGAGGGCGTAAATAGATTAAATAGAATCTAATAGCCCTTTGAAAAGCGACATCTGTCAATAAGTTTTTATTTATGATTTTCTACTTTATAGTATATAATCCGGGTAGCTTTCATACTGCAGCAAAGAAGCTAGCAAAAAATTCTCCATATTTACATAAGCTTAGTTATTTGTTATTTGTTAACTATTTTTTTTCAACCAGGACTTGTTATTTTACTTCTCCTATTAGGATATTTGTTATGTAGTCCAGAAAATAACGTCCAATTTTTATGTGCTTTGCAGTGGCTTTGATAGATTCGTTGGAAGAGGTCCCCGAGTAAACGACCTGCGGATTCATAAGAAATAACATAGCTAGTAAACGCCGACAAAAGAATGATATTGTCTGCTCCGCGGCATTTCCGTGGACCCTGTTATCGAAAGATGAAATAGAGAACGATAAAATACAAAGTCATATTAGGAGATTATAAGGTTAACACTCTTCTAAATAACTTCGTGTATATATATATATGTTTAAGATTTTTTAGGCTCTCAACATCACTAATTGCATTTATTGCATTTGTCACAAAATTTTTGAAATATATTCATAATTTCATTCATTACTTTTCATGTTCACAGGCCTTCAGTAACAGTAACGCTTGTATTCACTAAAATAAGTTTATCAAACATACTGGCTAAAATAAAAGATACATATAGGTATACTATAAGTTAAGATGTGTGAGATAAGCCGCTTTAGTTCAGTGTCGTGGCGCTCACTTTTAGTTCAATATACACGAGCTACTTGAATTCAAATCCCGGTGTCACCGGCACCAATAAAAAATTTAAATGCCGACTTATATGATGTTTTCAGCGGTGAAGGAAAACATCGTGATGATACCTGCATATTTTTTAAATAATGTTTATTTAGTTGGTAAATAATATTTTAACATTATACACGTCACATCTTTGCTCAATACCAATGGCACTTTATAGGGGCTGTTACTTTGGTTAATAAGATATTAGATATGTTTATTCTTTATTTATTGATTTTATAGACACATAGTATTAAAATACTAATAAAATAATTTGATCATAACGATGTAGAATGATGTAGAATTTAACCTGAAACAATTTTCCCTCAACTATATTGATTGCCTACCTACTATTGAAAATGAAAAAATTTAAAAATAATCTAACAGTTTTTTTTTCTTTAATATGACCTTACATTAGGGATGGGTCGTATCGCTTTTTCTGAGTACCGTATCTGAATCCGATATCGATTTCAAATATCAGATTTCGAACCTATGTATTTTAATATCTAGATATTTTACGGTTCCCTATCCACGTTGATTAATTGAATTCTAAAAAAAAAGAAAAAAAAATTGTGTACTTTAAGGGAGTGGATATAAGATGAATGCAATATTTCATACTTATTATAAATATAAAATTTCATTCAGATTCATTCTATGTACATAATTTTCCTTATATTTAAAACTTAACATTATATATTTACAATTATGTCAGGGTTAATAATTGTTTATATCCCTCCGGGTTCAAATTCACGTTTAGGAACGTAAGCTCTCTGACTTTATTCGTCGAAAGTCTTGTTCGACGATCATTAATAATTAACCCTGTCTTACTAAAAATGCGTTTTTTTAAATTATTAAATTAAAAATTTCATTAAAAATATAAATTGAAGTAATATAAAAATGATTTATTTTAACATCTTATATATCGCTTAATAATTGACTTTAACATATTTTTAAAACACGCAATCATGAGTGACAATATCTTTATAATTTGTGTAAGAAATAATACTTTCAGTATTATAACTTAGGGCGGATGAATTTAAAATATTCACACAAGGCACATAAGCCTTGGTCTGATTTCCACCAAAGCAGCACAGCACTATTAAATTATATTTTTCTTTTTATGTAGTTTTTAGTTTTTGTTTTATTTTTTCCAAAAATATGAATAACAATTTAACTAATAAAAATATTCACAAAAAATTACCTCCTAAAAAATTTCCATTGTATATTTTTCTTCCTTAATTTAGGCAGAAAATTCTTAAGTAGTAAGTTGGCATACCTTACTATTACGTGCTAGGTACCGATGCAATCCAGCTCAAGGCTGAACAAAATTTCAAAGACATCGTTAATACCGTAATTCGTATTTAAATGCAACAGAGTTTTTTTCCATGCTATTAAGATTCAAAATTACTTAACTGCGCGCTTTGTCGCCCGTTACGGCTCAAGGACAAAACAATAAAAATATAATAATATCGTTGTAGTAATCGCTGATACCAAGATTAGTATTTAAATGAAACGGATCTTATTTGCATGGTGTTAAGATTCAAAATTACTTAACTTATTCATAATATCTGTTTAAAAATCTGATATCGTGCATTGCTTGCCGTCCCACTCTAACTAGTAAGTATTTATATCTCACGCGCTTTGTCGCTCGATATCTGATATCGTGCATTGCTTGCCGTCCCACTCTAACTAGTAAGTATTTATATCTCACGCGCTTTGTCGCTCGATATCTGATATCGTGCATTGCTTGCCGTCCCACTCTAACTAGTAAGTATTTATATCTCACGCGCTTTGTCGCTCGATATCTGATATCGTGCATTGCTTGCCGTCCCGCTCTAACTAGTGAGTATTTGTATCTCACGCGCTTTGTCTCTCGAAATCTGTTTAAAAATCAGATATTGTGGCATACGCGTATGATATCGCCGTATCGCGATTCGTGTCGGTATAGCGAGCGAGCACGGTACATCAGATTTCGGAAATATCAGATATTGTAAAATACATAGATATTGAACGAGCCAGTAAGCGATATTGGGATATTGTACTAATATCTAGTTTTCATATCTGATACGATTTGTATCACCCACTTCTACCTTACATGTAACAATTTTTTTGCCACGTACGCTATCATTCATTCATGTGTATGTACTGATTTATGAAATATTCTATAATATATTTCCCTAAAAATGTATTCCTTTTAAATTAACAGAAATCATTTAACTGCAGTAATTTAGAATTTGGCTGAAATACGTTACAGATAGAAAAAATCCAAATCGTTAATACATTATAACCCTAATTTCACAGACAATAATGAAAGGAAAATTTCTACTTTGTTTATGGTTCGCGATCTGGGTCGATTATGTCATGGCGGGTTAGATGTTTTCGGCGCTTAGTTTTATTGAATTTGTTTTGAATTACGCCGTCAATGATATCGTTTCCTGTACTTTTGTTTGAAAGTGACGGTACCTGTACTTTAGTAATCGTTTCGTAAACCTTTCAAATGCTGAAACAATTGCAGATGGGCCTACGCACGTTCATGCTTATCGCATCCAAAGTATGGAGTTGTTTTTGTTATATGTTTAGAAAGCAGTATCGAGCGGTAAATATAAATTTATGAAATTGCATCGTACATTTGTTGTCTTACAAAAGTATGAAGTGTATCTACAAGTTGTGCTTCCTTTACAGTTGGCTCAATATCAATCTGTCAAATATGAAATCTATCCTCTCTCGCCTGTATCTCGACACAGGTTGAGTAAGTATAATCAGTTTTTATCAGTACATTATTACTATTATTGAAATATATCGAGTGATTTGCAACAGTGTATTTATTGCGGATGTACATTATCAACAAATATTCTTACGTATGAAGATAATCTGCGTCCACTTTCCCACGTAAACAAGGCAATTTCAATCTTATAAGAAAATGCAAAATTATAATACAGCTATGACTGGATAGTCAATAATAAACAATCATATTTTACTATGTTGCATACTTACATCATGCTTGCAACATGAATCTGCAAGGCAATTTTTTATAGACCATTTGTAGTATATGTAGAGTAAACATAATTTGAACTATCTCAAGCAAGAAAATTCATTGGTTATCATGACTGGACTTGATTGATTTAAATTACCCTTTTCTAAAGGAAAACTTTATTTATTTTATTTTAATTATTTTGGTCAGTTACCTATCTGAAAAAAGATTTATTATACTTTCATTTACTCGATTTTATTACATGCATTTCAAAAGTATTATAATCTTCAGCTTTATACCTGTAGTAGGTGTAAAGGTGTGTGAGAAATAAACTGTCTGTTTTAAAATAAATTTGAAAAAATAAAGATAAATATTGTTTGTTTTGTTTAAAATTATTTTCTTTATTTTGCCAAATTTCGGTATCATAAATAATGAAATAAAAAAAAGTTTGTCCTTAATATAAGCCAAGTTTAATAATAAACTTCAACCAAAACATTGATTAAGGATTTATTTTTTTTTACATTTGCTAATTTATAATTCCAGTGTAAAACAATTGAGGTCCTGAAAAAATCAAAATGAATGTGTTTGTATTTAAAAATTTAGAGAAACATAGCAAATTTATTATCATTTTTTAGATAAGACTAATCAAATTATATCTAGCTTCTAGACAGTTTTTAAATCAAAATTTTGTTCTATGAAACTAAATTTTACATAATTCAAGCTTTTAAGCAATACAAATTTATTGCAAAAAATTATGATATTATTAAAAATTCTCATATGTGTATATAAATTCAAGCAACATTACAACTTAGAATGATTGATAAGATACCAAATGATTGATCTTTATGTATCTTTATAAATTCAACACAACAAAAATAAATGGAAAGTTAACTGTGTTAATTTTATTTACAGGCTTAGTTAAAAGAAAAATGCTGGTGTTGGACCTAGATGAGACATTAATACATTCTCACCATGATGCGATGTTGCGGCCAACAGTGAAACCGGGTACACCCCCGGACTTTGTGCTCAAAGTGACAATAGACAAACATCCTGTCAGATTTTTTGTGCATAAACGGCCGCATGTTGATTACTTTTTAGACATAGTGAGTACAGTATTTTTTAGATTGAATTGTGTTGAAAACATTGATATTAAGCTGTGCCGTAATGACTGAAGAACTGCTGCTAATAAATTGTCTTAAATGCTAAGACACTACATTATACTGAGTAAGTAAGAAAATGCTTAAAAATTTTACAGGCAAACTTTATTTTTAAATTATTATGTATAATGTTATGGTGAGCATATTATGTAAATTATTAAAGCCACAAAAATATTATCTGTTTGTTATATAGATTCTGGTTCAATTTCAACAGAATTAAAATATTAAATAGTAAATACGATTTGGTTAACTTTGACATTAATTTCTCAATATGCAAAAAATAAACTTATACTTTAACAATAAATAAAAGTATTAATTTCAAAAATATAATCATAAAATTGTTTAATGTCTTCATTCAAAACACAGAGTAATTAGCGCATATTAATTGTAGATATATTTAGAACTGACTGCTAGCCGCAACTTCCACTGCATGACAATTAACAAAAAAATGTTTGTTCAGTTTTCACAATTTCAGTACTGTATCAAACAAATGGTTTATTAAGTGAACCTATTTTTTGGTATGGGCCCTTTATTATTGTTCGTGCCAAAGGAAAAAAATAATATTTCCCACAAATTCAAAGGTTTGCCAGTAAAACTGACCATTGAACCAATGAACACTATCTTCATTTTTGTGGGTTTTAATTTCTTTGTGTGAAGCACTAATTTCTTTTTTCTAAAATAAAAGTAGCTGATTTCATTAAACTGGTCATCTGTCGGTCAGTCACGTTAAAATCAGCCTAGCTGTTTTGAAGATCAGCCGGAATGAACAGACTACAGACAGACAAAAATTTTTCAACTTTTTTTTTAATATAATAACATATGTATTAAGTAATTGCTGTTATTTAGGTATTAAAAGAGTTCCTTTGTTATTGATATTAATAAGAAAAGAATTTTATATGAAAGTAAAGTAATAATATTTATATAATTTCTTTTTCAGTACAATATGTAATGACATCATTTAAAATTGGAATTATTTAATGTACAATGTATTTAGTATACTTTTTCTGAAATGATTATTTTATTATTATTATTATTAAATAAATATGCAAACTAATTCTCTGTGGTAGGGCCATGCCATTGAGCAAATGGGCAGGTCTGGCCGCATGGTAGACTATTCACTGATAACCTCTGTACAGAGGAGGCCTTTGCCCAGCTGTGGGACATGTATTAGCCGTTACTTTACTTTCTTACTTTAAATACTTTTGAGTCAGAAGTTCTGACTGCTTATCTTAAGGTGTACAAAAGCGAACAAATTCATTATAAAGGCAAATGACTCAAAGAAAGGAACTGATCAGAAATGTTAATTGACCGGATTTCCTTTTCACTTATGACATAAGCTATGTTGTATTTTACATGTGTATAAAAATTTATTTGGATGGTTACTATGTGTATTTCATAACATATGCAAGTAATATAATTGTGGTGTCCTTCAGTATATTGATATATTTTTTTTGTGCACTATAATGCTAGAGACAAAGGAGCTATGTCCAATAAAACTAAAGCTTTTTACATGTAATGTTTGCCACATTATATGTAAAGCTTTTATTAAACTTAACTTTTTTGATTAGGAACAATTTTTACTGTACAAAAAAATTGTGTGAGGCTTCACAAACATTAAATCGCAAACATCACAAAATACACTATATTTTAAAAACCTTTATATGAAGAAAAATAGTTATTAGGTACTATATGGATATCAAAACCACAACATTGTTGGCAAACTTGTCACCTAAATCACTTTGCCCATATGTCCATATGTCTTGATTCCAGGTCTCTCAGTGGTATGAGCTGGTGGTGTTCACGGCATCAATGGAAATATATGGTGCTGCTGTTGCAGATAAATTAGATAATGGCCGGGGTATTCTGCGGAGACGGTTCTATAGGTGTGTACTCATTAGTAATCACTTCTTCTGGCTATTTACTTATGTTTGTGTTTCAAAACCGCCCTCACCCTCAATAATTGAACTTTCTGCATTGACCTGCTCTGAAAATACATTTTATTGGCAGTTAACGATAAGTTCATACTGTCTAACTAAAAGACTGATAGTACATGATGTCAAATTTAAAGCAATGTTACTGGAGATAAACCGATAACATTGATTATACTGTCAAATATGGCATAAGGAAATTTTTTCTCTACTTTGGGGAAAACATCATTAAGCAATGAATTAGTTGCTTTTGTAATTATATAATAATTATATCGCATTTTGTGCCCGTTTTGGGCCTGTCAGAGATAGCTCACCTGTCAGTTATTTAGTATGGGTTAAAGTGCTTCAGTCAATAGTTTTTTATATATAATTTATACATATAATTCATACTAGTGGTAACCTACATGGCGTGATATGATTTCCAGACAACACTGCACCGCAGAACACGGCTCCTACACGAAGAACCTGTCGTCAATATGCGACGACCTAAACAGGGTGTTTATACTGGACAATTCACCGGGTGCCTACCGGGACTTTCCAGGTATATAATGCAGTACATACAACTCGATCAACTTAACTCGAGAAGAGTCCCACCTCCCGCTTACACGCGCCTGACTCCTCTGTTGCCATACGTATTTAATGTAGAATATCAATAGTCAAATTACTTATACCGGTGGAAAATCAGCAATATAATTTCTTTACTAATTATTTGACATTAAAATATGTCTACTATATATTATAGTCCACTTGAAAGAGCCTGGAGCGATCAATTAATTTCCAGGGGGGTTATAATTTAATCACACAAATAAATTTAGAGCAGGGGAAATGAAGTTTTATTTCATAATATTTTTCAAAGCACCAAGCGTTTGAAAAATATTATGAGAGTAAAATTTTTAAGAAGCGCGCGCACACCTATATCCAAAAAGCGAGATGATGAAGTTCGTTGCAAAGCGAACAACTTCACGGTGTTACCATGGCAACCAAAACTTTTTGATATATCGCAATAAATCGCAAGTTATTTAATAAACCATTACCATTCGAATGTCTTTCCACGTACGAGGAGGCCGGTACACCTTAGTTATCTATCATAATGTTATCCTATAGGGGATAAGATTTTTCTTTTTTTTTTCTTTTTTTTCTTTTGTTACGCTAAATAAGTTTAACTCACTTGCGCACGTGAGTTACCCACATGGTTTTCGTTATTAATAGTGAATTAATTTACGTCGTTTAATTAACGTGCGCCGCTCCCCCCCGCAGACAACGCGATCCCGATCAAGTCGTGGTTCTCGGACCCGCTGGACGTGGCGCTGCTCAACCTGCTGCCGGTGCTGGACGCGCTGCGGTTCACGCACGACGTGCGCTCGGTGCTCTCGCGCAACCTGCACCTGCACCGCCTCTGGTAGCCGCAGGTGATTGCCCACTCTGCCCGATTTGCCCAGTATGCCCGCTCTGCCCACCGCCACCGTTGGCACGGTGTCCATAAGCTCTCAGAAGAGAGGAGGGTGGGCCTTCAAATGACTGCCCCTGGACCCCTTCACACTACCCACCTCGCCTATATCGCATTTGGTAGCCGCAGGTGATTGCCCACTCTGCCCGATCTGCCCGAGCCCGATTCTGCCCATATGCCCGCTCTGCCCACCGCCACCGTTGGCACGGTGTCCATAAGCTCTCAGAAGAGAGGAGGGTGGGCCTTCAAATGACTGCCCCTGGACCCCTTCACACTACCCACCTCGCCTATATCGCATTTGGTAGCCGCAGGTGATTGCCCACTCTGCCCGTTCTGCCCGATTTGCCCAATATGCCCGCTCTGCCCTATCTGCCCGCTCTGCCCACCGCCACCGTTGGCACGGTGTCCATAAGCTCTCAGAAGAGAGGAGGGTGGGCCTTCAAATGACTGCCCCTGGACCCCTTCACACTACCCACCTCGCCTATATCGCATTTGGTAGCCGCAGGTGATTGCCTACTCTGCCCGATATGACCACTCTGCCTGCTCTGCCCACCACCAACGTTGGCAAGATGCCCCTAAGCCCTCAGAAGAGAGGAAGACAGGCCTTCAAAAGACTCTGCTCCCACCATCTCACCACTTTACCCGCCTCGCCGAGGAGAGGAGGTCTGACATTCAAAACCCTCGGCCTCCAGGATTTCTTCACATTACCCACCGAACTTTTGACAGGATTCACGCCCTTAGAGTATAAAGGAGGAAAGACCTTCAAAAGACACTGCCTTAAAAGAATTGATACAATGGAAGCACTCCCTGACTATAGGTCTATTCGAGATTTTATAAGGGGGGGTCTTCAAACCCCTCTCCCTGGTTGGGAGTATTTTATAAGCCCTCGCAAACACTCGTGATATTGACATCCAGCATAATCAGCTGGCACCCGTCTAAGTATCAGGTTGGAAGAGATTAAGATTCTATAGAGCCTCCTAATAAACGCACCTTTGCTCTTAGACTACCTTGTTCACCCTAAATCTAAGAGTACCTTGCAGTGTTTTTATTATTTTTCCATATTGTCACATACTATTACGTATCTATGTTCAAATGATAATTTAATAAAAAAAATTTCCCTCTTTTGCAGATAAAAACCGGCTTTTGTACAAATTGAGGGGCGCAGAGGCGCTCGATCCTATTTATTTTTTTCTGTTCACTTGTTAGGCCCCAGCTTCTAATCAAATATACATATAGTTATAAATATAGTTAAAAGAAATTAAGTTTCGTTCTTTTTATAAAAATAAATGTGATTAGCTCGTATACATATAGACTGTGTATATTTTTATAGCCGCCTAATGGCGTTGGGCTGGACGTTTGTACGTCTATATTATCTGTGGTGATTGACAGTGCGCTCTGGACCTATACGCGTCTCTTTCGCAGACGGAAGTGTAGTCGAAATACACAACATACTATGTTTAATATATCTTCTGAAATGTCACGTTGAATTGTGTTTAAAATCTGAATAAGTTTTCCACCAGGCAGGAAGCATTGTTTCGAATTGAAGTATTCAATTCATTCGGTATATTATTTGTCAGACGTCGCAATGATTTTTGCGGGTTTCATATGAGATGAAAATAACACTGCCTATACGATTTGCGAAACGAGTAAAATTTGTTTATTATGAAATTGGCAAGCTCTTTAAAAGTTATTACTAATATTTTTTGTATAATTTGTAAAATCTGTGAATCGTGTAAACCAGCAGATAGGCTATTTTCATTTCCTTAAATTGTTTCTTACAATATCTTTAATGAAATTATGAATGATGTATTCGTTTTGTACAAGTTTTCTAATACTATAGTGTTGTATATGATTATAAAGGTTTCTAAACGGATAAGTAAGGCTTACAAAACGTGTGAAAGAGATGCATGTAGACGCATAGACTATACACTTTTTTATATTCGACCCTTTCACACGAAATGCCATTAAGGGACCCAAGATTACTCCGGTATTTTTAGTAATGACCGAGCGTTAGCAACATTTACCATCATATTTATTTAAAAATAGTCAAATAAATTTTTAAACTGGCGCATCGTTCTATTCGACACATTTCTATTTACCATCAGCCAGTCGCACGTTTCGTGTGCAACCGCCCTTAGGAAGAACAACCAATTCAACGATTAAAAAAGTACTCATTATTTTTTATCTAGCTTTTCGTTTCACTCGTTTTTTTTTAATGAACTTAGCGCGGGTTTACGCCGACGAACAATTTGTTTGTCCATTTAACACGGTAACCGGTCAGAGGCGTGAATTATCGCGCGTAGTGAAATTACCAATAACTATTGTAAATATATAATTTTAGCGGTCGGGTTCATTTGTCGATGTTCTGAAATTCGATGGAGGTACGTTTGTCGCCGTTTGGATGTCGACGAAACGAGCCTGATTGATTTATTATTAGGTTACTTGTAAGTCACACGCGCTGTGAGTAAGCGCAGAGCCACACTAAGACGGTACAGCAATCGTGTCTATATATTTTATTCAGTTAAACTTTGTCTTCATCGATCCATCGGTCTATGGAAAAACATTGAGATACTCGATTCAATGTCAATTTCGTGTTACATTCTAACCGATCATATTTGCTTTAATGCACTATACGATATCCTTGAACACGTTTTACAGTCTTTGGACGTTGCAACGTTTTTAAGGGCGTCGAATTTGTTGTAGTAGAGTGGTATAATACCACTTGAAGCGTTTATAAATAGTATGTAATACCAAATGTGTGCTACTAATTACTATTGTATAAAGTTGGTGTATATTTAGACGTCTGTCAAACTTGAGACCTAGTTGTCAGTAAAAGCACCCTCCATCCGCCTTTAAGTTTCTAATTATTTTCTTTTCTCAGAGAAAATGTTCATGTTGCTAATGCATTAAAAATCATCCACGATTTCTGAGTGCTTTTTCAAATTAACACCTCATTTATTTTGACCCGAAACCGGCGAACCATTTTTAAAGTAACCAGTACTTACCACATATCGGTTGTAATGTGCTCTGCAAGTTGAATAATTACAATGAACAGATAAATAATTTCCCCTAATTAGCAGCCGTCGGCCGCACCGTCTTAATGTGGCAACTGCTTTATGACAATAGAGTAGTATCTACTACACAACTATCATGTACAAATTATACCGAATCGGTTGCGTTTGGTTTGTCGGCTGCACGTGGACGCCGGTTTAGCTTGCCCGCCATTTTGTAATTTTGTATGTAATAATATTATTATTTGGGTAATTCGGGGGTGAAACAAATGAAAATCTATCGGCCCGTCCCGTCACTTTTTTCTTACACTTTAGTATTATTAATATAATTGGTAATTTTTTAATAAGTGATTTTTCTTTTCTGAACACATTATGTTTTATATCTACCATACCTACTATTTGGTAAATATTGATTTAGTGAAATATATACTGGCCGATTTATACCCGTAGATCTTTAGCATTTACTGATTTGTGGTTGTTACCTAATGTTGAAGTCTTTAAAACAATCGCTAGGATTCAAATTAATTCAATGAAATATTTAATATTTTTCCTCCTTAAAAACCGCTATTATGGGGTATATCATCTGCGGTGCTCTCGCCTATTTTTTAAGGAATAACAGGGTTGATGATTTTTCACTTCTTAGTACTATGCAAAGCTAAATTGGCATTCACGGTGCAGACAATAAAGAGTTTTATTATATCTGTTACTTTTATCTAGACTATTTAGACTATGCGTTTGCGCGTAGGCGAATGTATACTGTCTTAATACCCCACTGTACGGTCCGCTACCGCTCTTCGAGATTTTTTACCGCTTTTACTCCAAATAACCTTCAAATAACCGCCATATGCCCACTAATTCAACTCCCCGTATCTACAACTACGACAATAATACTCTTAATGCGAAAATGTCGTTATAATTTCGTTTCGTTTCATCAAGGTCCGTCCTAGTTCCCAAACTATTCATTCTCATAAAGATAGAGTCCATTGTTCGGATTTTTTTTTCTCGAAATTTTATTTCTTCAGGGCATCGAAAATTTTAATGTTACCCAAACTTCCTTAGGACATACACTTGGATACTTCAATCAGAGGCAATTAAACCCGATTAACTTCGTCATGCGGAATCTTGAATTTCACAAATGAGCGAATTTAATGCCTAACTAATTGCTAATTCAACACGGCGAGCGGCCGTTTTCAGTCACTTTATTTCCCGAATTAGTAAACTAATGGACGAACAGCGGGCGGTGTAACGTTTAAACCAAATAGTTGAAATACATAGTTTTTAGTGATTTGAAATACTATAAGAATTTATAGCTGACGTCTCCAACTCGTTAGCGGACTTCGAACTAATTGCACTTTATAGAATCACGTGCGGATCCCCAAGTATTACTCGACTCGCAGTATTCGGTGGAAAGTTCCATGCTTATCGCGTTTTCACTCACTTTCTGCCGTCGGCGAGGTTTCTAAACGGATAAGGCTTACAAAACAAGTTCAGTTCAAGACAGACATCTCCGGACAGAATAAAAAGAAGTATCACTCAACTTTTAAAAAATGTTGCACAGGAGCAAATTTTTTATGGTTACGTTCTTTTGTTTCATTAGAACATTAAACCAATTGTTTAATCCGTCAATTTGTGCAATCGGACATTAGAAGTTCGAGACGGTCTAAATTTTTTTTCTCCGAATAAGCCTCCATTGTCGGCTTCCTGAACTGTGAGTGGACGAAATGCTGATTCATAGAAAGGTTTTCTACTGTCTTTTGTATAAAAAAATAAATTATTCGCGTGCAAACCTCTCGTGACACCGTTCGCGTTAATATTGCACAATTATTCGAGATATGAACATCCTGTATAATGCATGACGTTTAGTACATTTCTGTACTACCTCTGTTTATTAGATCTACTATTTTGTAAAAAATAAAGACTAATCTATATAGTTTTATTTACCAATGACGGTGTTACGCTGAGATTTGCACAATCGTAAGCCCGGCGGAGCAAAGTTTTAAATTGTTCACTACCTTTAGTTATATCTTGTACGTTATTAAAGAGCTCAATGTCGGCGAGCATCATTTCACCGTTTGTAGATTAAGTATTCATTCGTACCGAGTGAGCCGAAGATCCGTGCAATTTTCGTCGCTCTTTTATAACAGAAGTTACAGTACCGCAGTTCGTACCGTTTCGTATGCACAGGGTGTTTCATTTACGAAGTGAGATTAGAGAAATAGCTTTTCCCGCCGCGCGCGATGCGTTTTGCATTAGAGGAAGCTGAGCAACTCCTCGTTGCTGGGACAATTTACTGTTAACTTAGACAGTGTATGTGGCGTGCAAAACTTGAATGCTTTTGGACACTCATTTTGCAGTTCATGATTTGTCAGTATCGTTATGCCCACGTGTTTACTGCGAAGCAGTTGCTCTCTTTCACTTTCTGTCCCGCTCCCACTACAATTTGGTGTAAGATTTCTACAAACGTTGTTTATACATTTTGGGGACTTTACATATTTAGCAGTCTCAGTAGCGTTTAGGTTTTGCGTGACCTATACTTTGTTAATTCCCGCATCATAGCAAGGCCCTCTGCATTCGTTTTGGCGGGTACAGTTGGACAATTCACACAATACATAGCACAATGTATAATAAAAAATATATTATTATTTTTTTAATCATCAACTCATTTCCCTTCGATATATGTATCACGTGTACGAAACAACAATGTGACGTAAGCTATGAAATCCTTTTCACTACATGAAGCTACTCTAAATGTAAGGCAATTTCAAATATTTCTCATAGCGTACTTATGGAGGTTCCAATCATAGAAACAATGCAACACGTTCACATTTCATTTGTGATTATTTTTCTCAGTTCTAGATATTAATACATTGTCATTTTATGTTGCCTTGGTGGGTACGGTTCATAAAATGTGTCATTTAACGTGTATTTCACATTCATATCGACCGTTCGTTTTATAAATACTCATGAAATATAGCAGCTATAATTTAAAAACATCGTGAGCCTTTTCCAGTATTTTCCATGAAATATTAGAAATTGCCTCCATGTATAGTTTGTTGTGCAGTAGACAACATTGATGTAAACTCGCCGAGCCGGCGGAATGAGTTGGAAGAGGGAAATTGTTTAACAATTTTGCGTTCCCGGATGGTTGATTGATCAAAGTTCAAAACAATTTGTAAAATAGCAATATTAAATCGATTTCAAAATGGTATTGTTTTCTTTCCCCTCAAAGGAATTCCTGGTAATTCAGTATAAAGTTGTACAAGGATATGATTTCAAAGTACTACTTTGATGCGAGCACGAGGCTCACCTGATGGTAACTGATCACCGCCGCCAATGAACATCTGAAACACCGGGCGGTTTGCAAATGCGTTGCCGGCCTTTTAGGAAAGAGTATTATCTCTTTTTGAAGGTTCGGAAAGACCGCCGGTGGCAGCTGTGGTTCATCGGAGTGGTTGTGCGAAGCAGGAGATGCCTTGAAAATCGCGCTGTTGTGGAACGCCGGACATCGAGGTACTGTATACATTATATACCACATACTGTGGGGCGTCGCTTAGGCGCAATCACAACGAAATCTGTTTTGAAACACTAAGCTGTTTCAAATGATTTGCAAAGGATATACAATGCCGAATTAACCACGTAGCAATTGCTACGGGCCCCGCGCCACGGAGGACCCCACATCTTTATGTGAAACTTATTAAATTAGTAAGAACATTGCATTATTTTTTAACCACAATACATAAGAACCCATAGCAGATCAAGAGCTGTTTTATTTTCAAACAGCTCTTGATCTGCTATGGGTTCGGCCACGCAGCAGCCTCGGCTGTTGCACGAATGGGCAGGCTCGTCCGGGTAAGTACCACGACCTCACAGAAGACCGGCGTAAAGTGGAAGTATAATACTTTCGCGTTTCGTCTGGTGAGTGAAGTAGCCGGAGCCCAATTTTCAAAAGGTTGTCAACGCATCTGCAACCCTCGGGTTTAGCAGATGTCTATGGGCGGCGGTATTCACTTAACATCAGATGAACCGTCTGCTTGTTTGGCAACTTTTAACATAAAAAAAGGATATGGGCGAAACTCGAATTACAAGACGTATATACACAAAGTTTAGTATAGATTAACTTTGAGCTTAGTTTAAATCTTTGTGCTTTTTACTCAAAGCAGTGTGTGCGGTGCCAGACTATTTGACTAATTAGGCAGGGCTAATTGCTTTTTACTCAAAGCAGTGTGTGCGGTGCCAGACTATTTGACTAATTAGGCAGGGCTAATTGAATGATTATTTTTTTTATTTAGCGTAACGCCTAGATATTGGGCCTAGCTCTCTCCCACGAAATGGGTTCCCGGTTGTCCGAATAGTTAACGGTAGGGTTGTGTGACGAAGTAGTCGGTTTTGCATTACTTGATTAATGTTAAAAAAATTATAAATTATCGTTTAAAATAAGTAAAGTATCAGCCTATACATGTCCCACTGCTGGGCAAAAGCCTCCTCTGTACAGAGGGTATCAGGGCGTAGTCTACAACGCGGCCCCACTGCGGATTGGCGGACTTCACATATCTTCGAAATATTTTTTTTTTTAATTATTATTTCGAAAATATGCAGGTTTCCTCACGATGTTTTCCTTCACCGCAGAGCACGTGATAACTCAGCACTTGAAATTAACAATTTCATTGGTGCTGGCAACGCGGATCGAACTCAGGTTGCCAGAGTATATTGAAGTACCTTGTCATGAGTTATGTTTGCTAATGCTTTGCCGTGGCCGTGCACGTAGGCGAGGACGAACTCATTCTAAGTTACGTTGATGTTACCTAGCACTAGTTGAACCTTTTTTTGAATGACCTGAGACAGCGGCCATCGGCGTCACGGTATGGACGGCATATATGTCTTATCTATGGCCCGATGGCCGCTCTCGTCTACTGTTAAATCTTTAAAAGTCTATTTATTAATTTAGAGTATAGGCTAATTATTATTATATAAATTTACACTGAATTAAATTTTTCAATGAAAAGACCTGATATTACTGTAATATTGACTTTGATTTATGTTTGCAATTTGCATGCTAGTTGTGTGGCTATACAAATGGAACTAAAAACTAATAAAATTGTACTATTAAAATAAATAAATATATGATTATAAGATCATGATTCTATTTTACTTAGAAAACATATTTTGAATACAATGGTCCATTAGGATGTAATATCAAAACTAATATAGGTATATTTTTTGTTCTTTTAAAAATAAAATGTATAGATTTCATTAAAAAGTCCTTAGAAAAACATACTTTTACTGCATACAGCGTCTTAATTCGAACCGCGAACCGCCCAAACATAATCAAAGTCTGCAAAATACAATTATAGTCTAGTATTTAGGATTGTACAAAAAATGCTGTATTTGATACAAAGTTTAGAAATCAAATTCAATGTTATCAACATCATATTGTAATGATACATTTAAATATATGATGCTAAAATAAAAGAAAACAAATACTTCACGAACCCTTTAATTTCAATATATAATTTTCATACGAAAATTATTTTCACAGAAAAATCTTTACATGTCAAAATTTCTTAACAAGGATTTGTTATTTAATATTTTGTTTGATTTTGGGTTTTCTATTTATTTTTAATAATATTCACAACTTTTAATAGGCCACGAAACATTCCTTTAAATATACACATTTAATTTTACTTTGATAGAAAGGGAGCCAGTTATTTTTGTTCAATGCTAACCGTGCAAATCAAGTTATTTCTTCTTTTCTTACATTTACTTGTACCACTATACTTTAAAATGCTGCAATGTAGATAAGCTGCAACATTGGGTAAGTGCATTATGCTGTTTGACCATGCAATATTTAAATTAACCTATAGGAGTAATTTCAAAGGCAGATTAATAAGTATTCTCAGTCAGTAATCAGTATTCTAAGAATGCAAAAATAAGAAATCATATTTGATAACGTTCCATTGGTACATTTTAGATATTTGTAGATTAAGTTTTTTCACCTGCCTATTGTTTTGCCACATATAAATGTTAACTTTGTTATGGTAATAAAAATGCAATATATTTTTTGTGTTTACCTTTAGTAGTAAGTATCAAGAGAAATTTTCAAATTAATCTTAACTCTTTTCACATTACAATGCAAATAACTGAAAACTTGAAAAAAGAAAATTCGTATTTTTATTAATCTCAGAAATGAAAAAGAAAGAATTAAGTTCACACATAAGGAGCAGTATATAATGAAGGCATACAATAATTAAACTATAATTTTAACCCCTAAAGCACATATTTTTGGAAAAATAGAGCAAAATTTTCCAATGCTTTTAAGAATTACTTCAAACATGTTATAAATGTCAAAATTGTTCTCAATACTTTGTTGCAAGAAAAATGAAACTTTAGTTATAAATTTCTTTCCATTATCTCTTTGAGATGTATTGTCATTTATTTATATTTGAATACACTAGATTGCAACGAAAATTACTTTAAAACTAAACTAATCAAATATGCAGTAAATAGTCTTATAAAGTTACATATGGAAAACTCATAGTTAATCCAAGGATTCACAGATGACCGAAACATGTCATTGTAATAATAATAAATTTTACCAATTCCAGGCAACAAACTGTCTGTAATCAGAGTCAGAATAAGAAATTAGATCAATGTCACCAAGCTACTTTAATAACTACTGGGTTCTAACGAAGAAAAGTATCACAAACAGCTTGCCGAGACTGTGTGACTTCCCAAACATCAAGTGTCACTAAAATTCATTCTATACATGTTTGTATGACACTGTCAAAGGTTTAAAACTTATTTAAAAATATTATTTCCAAACAAGTCGCTATAAAACTAGAGGGTCTACGCAACATCTATTAGAGGATTTATACTTCAAATTACAACTGTACATGATGATTGCTAGTTATAGCCATTTGTAACAATGAGGTTTTATGACACAGAAAAAGCTTTTTCTGAGAATGATTTCACATAGGCTTCATGTAATTTGTTTACAAAGTCAGCATCATGCTTAAGAAGATAGTTGAATGCTTGGAGTAGTTGATTCCTAGTCAGAGGCTCAGGAGAGGACTGGATATCTCCACCAGTGGTTATGGTGAACATTGTTGGAGGCATCAATGCTGGCTTCTGCTGTGCAGCGAGAGTTAGAGGGTTAATCAAAGGAAATATTCCAACCTCTTCAAACTTGTTACCATTAAAAGAGCTTGCCGGGTGGCCAACATCTGTGATCTGTGATTGGCTCAAGTATGCTGCCAAAGGCGAGGTTGGTTTTGGTGATGAAATGTGCATTAAATTTAGTTCACTCTCTAATGGATTGGGGCCGTTAGCGTCCACAGTATCTAGTACCTGAATCATCTTCATATTTGATATCCTCTGTTGGCTTTGTGAATCAATAGGTGTGGACTTTAATGGGTATGCACTGTTCTGTCTCATCGAAGACTCCAAAGAAATATTTCCATTCGTGTTATGGTTCTCTTGCGGAGTGACAGACCTCTGTTGTTTTTCTATATGTTCCACAGAGTGCGCTGGGTTACTCATGAGTCTCTGAAGAAGTAAGGGACCTTCACGGGAATCGGAAGGCCGTGGACCGAAGATTCCCGGTGACGGGAGCGACGACACTGCGGGCATTTGAGCCGCCGCACCGCTACCGGCTTTTGCAAAGAAGTCCATCACGCTTTGTGATGTCATATCAGGGGCCCTTGAAGGAGTCGATTCGTTTTTGTTTGCAAGGCCTTTATTAGAATTAAAATCATCCTGAGCTTTACTCAGCATGCTAAAAATATCGACTGGACCACTAGATGAAGCAGGGGCGTTGTAAGCAGGATTTTGCGCCATATTTTCACTCGGCTTCATGGAATCTTTAACAATAGAATTCAACTTCGTGGCTACCCTAACACACTCGTCTTTATCGTAAAACCATATGCCGTAAATTCGGCACTTCGCGTTCCTATACAGTAGGAAAGGCTCTTTTAATTGTAATTCTATTCCTTTGGAAACTGGCTCGATCAAATTATTCGTATTCAATCTGTTCATAATCACCAAACTGTGGTAAGGTTCACCATTTCTACTGTACACAAACAATGCGCCTTCGATGTTAGTTTTCTCCCATTCGTTTTCCTCAAAAGTGTAAAGGGCAACGTGAGTAGCACTATCAATTATTTCTCTAGCATATGGATCTGCCCTCTTTAAAGCTGCGAAATTCATACGTAGACCGGTGTCAGCCATTTTATCGCAACAAAACACTACTTTTTACACAACGAGCATCACAGCAAAATGACAAGAAGCAAGAAATAAGATAATCGCCATTTTTATAACGTTCCAATTTGTACTATATGCGGAGTAGTAATATTTTGAACAAATTAAATTAAAACCTGAAACAAAGAGTAATTTTATATTTATCTGATCTCAATTATAATATTTTCAGCCGAATACAAAAAAGGAGGAGGTTCTCAATTCGACTGTATTTTTTTTTCTTGTTAATAAACAAGTCATTTTTTTAATAAAGAAGAACAAAACCGACTTCAAATATCTCGCTCTGTATTCATTTTATAATTGACTAGCTGCTGCCCGCGACTACGTCTGCGTAGAATAGGTGGTAGGCGTAACGTTACATTCAGATAGAAAGACAGATATACATAAATCTCCGGAGCCCAAGACCCAATACCAATTAAATTACTAAGGGACTTCGTGAGAAGCACCAGCTTTAAAAAAAAGAATCACCAAAATCACTTTACTCGGTCGAAAGTTCTGAGGTAACAAACAGTCAAATTGAGAACCTCCTCCGTTTTGAAGTCGGTTGAAAAATGGACTTGTCTCCAACTTTATCGTTATCAGAATCAGCATCAGAAATATTTATCGTTAAATACAAAGAGATATCAAAAATCAAACACACATGAATCCTTAAATCAAAAACTATCTCTAAGATAAATTTTGATAGCTTTTAATGTGCTGGATAAATAAATAACATTTTAATTTTAAACACAAACAATAAGTTATAAATAATAATAATTCTGTATAAATCATTCTAAATATTAAGTTTTGTTATATACAAGAGTTTTGTTATATGCAAGAGTTTTAGATAAATATTTTATATTACAATAAACTAGGTATATTTTTTATCAAAATGAGTAGGTGCTTGCGTTTTAATTTTTAGGGTCCCGTACCTTAAAAGGAAAAAATGGAACCCGTATAAGGATCACTCTCTTGTCCGTCTGTCTGTCCGTGTGTCACCACCGATTTTCTTAGGAACGGGTGGATCTAGAAAGTTGAAATTTATACCAGATACTGAGGTCTATAATCCCTATTAGGTACATAAAATCAGGTCCTGAGTCAACACGATAAAAAGATATGGGCAAATTTAGATTTTAACGAAAAATTTGAAGTACAGTAATAATTTGACTTACGCTACCTCGAAATACGCGAATTCGGACTTACACGATTTTTTAATTTTCTCGTAGCCCTCAGTTCAATTGAAAAAAAGTTAACAATTTTGGAAAACACAGACTGCAACGAAGAGCGCGTTTCTGTTACAAACCAAGAAATAAAAAAATACTAGCTTGATACAAGGAAATATTTCGAGAGAAGAAAAAATCATCGACTCGTTAGACGACTTTGTTAGATTTGATTTTTCGAACACACAACTTCCGGATTAACTCGAGGATAATTTGACATACTATTTACAATTAGTTACACATTTATTTCCTAAATTATTGTTTTATTTAGTCTCCGCCGGTCCCAATTAAACAAAATTGTACCCCAACTTACGCGACTTCGACTTACTCGGATGGCGCTCGGCCCCACCTATCGCGTATTTGGGTTTTTTTTTTTTTTTTTTTTTGCTGATGAGCCACTGTTGGCCTTAGGGGCCTTTACAGATCCGACGGACTTGAGGGGGCCGGGCGCTCGAGGCGCCTAGCCTGAACCTCGCGTATTTATTATTACGCGTTATGGTGACTAAGCTCGAGGGCTCCCGAAGGAACCTCGGCTCGGGCCGTCACGCTATTAGTTTCACCGATTTGGGAGGCCGCCAAGCTCCTAGGGCGCTTTGGCGGACGCTCCATGGAGTGATCAGGCTCAAGGGTCCCCGAGAGGGGTCGTATTTGGGGTATTACTGTACCAAAATATACCTTAATTTTCTTTTTTTTTACTTTTCGGAATTTTCGATACATACTTGTGCTTTTAACTTGTGCTTTTAACCAAAATTGGCAATTTTAGGTTAACCGGAAGTACACTTTAGAGTTTGGGTTGAAAATCTATATGGTAGTTCAAAACAACAATCAAATAGAATAAACTGCATAATACACATATTTTACTTTGAAAAAATATTAGTAATTTTTTGTGGTCAAAAGTATTTATTTTTTCGTATATTCAATATTTTGTAAAACCCAAACCTGGTCACACTATAATATGAATATAGCAAATAGCAATTATCAAAGAAATATCATTATTTATTCATTTGACAGACAGACACATGGGCGAAGAGATATCGAAAAGTGGCATCTAAAAGTTTAAACAAAACTTTGAAAATTTTATTTACTTATTACTATACTATTAAATTTAATTAAAAAAACATAACACGTTTTCATTTAGCCCATGGTTGATTTTGACTTTGAATAACAACATCATTTTATGTGATTAAAGCGTATATATTCTCCAAATAGCAGTTTTTAAATATACTTACATCTAATAAAAAATGCCCGAAGCAAATGTTCTCGTGATAGGAAGTGGAGGACGAGAGCATGCTTTATGTTGGAAATTAGCAGACTCTCCCTTCGTAAAAAAAATTTACTGTGCCCCAGGCAGCGTCGGCATTTCTTCAGTGGATAAAGTTGAAAGTGTTGATATTGACATAAAAAACTTTCCGGTATGTAGAAACATTTAATAAAAAATGTGTATCGTTGTATTATTATTATTATTTTATTTATATTTCATTTCATTATTCGTATTTCTTTTCTCGTAACTATTAATTTTTATAAATTATATACTACGATTTTTTCTTCTATAAAAAAGTTATAGTAATAGATTAAACTCAATTCTGCGCTAACAATTCTACTTTCTTAGGAGCTTATACTATTTACATACAGTAAATAACTGTTTATAAAAACAAATACAATTATTACTACTAATTTAGTTATTAACATATTAACAATTTTGAGCAGATTGCCGTAAAATTTAAATATTTCCAGAGGTATAAACTTATTATAAATTTAATAAACCAACTAAATTATCAGTTGTCCATCACATTTCTTTTATGAACTCAATAATAAGATAATGTTATTGCAAAAGTGTCTACATCTTAATAAAACAACTGTAATTGTTTATCATTTGTACGCAAATGACTTATAGAAAGCTAACCTTTGTAGATAGCCTTTGACAGCATTCACTTTTTAAGTAACTTGTTATAGATATCGCTTCATTAAATTTTTTTTTATCAGATGCACAATTCTATATTTAATTTCAAGGAACATATCTCATCTTTACTACATTTACTTGCAATGAATTTTTAATGCTGAGGATTCGATTTGTGATTGTGGCCTCATGTGAGATCCATTTTTGAAAGTTGAAAACTATCAATTAATTTGGGCTCTACAACTCACGAACATAAAAACACTACTACAACTCATGAGTGATGCATGAAATGCTGTAGTAAGCTTTATATTTTTTCATTTTACTGATAATGGAATCTGAAGTATAAGTAAGATGAAGCACTCAAGTCTATTTCAAGATATTAATTTAAATCGAGATACCTTTAATTTTTTTAATAATTTTAATTGAATTTAGAGATACCTTTAACATAATAAAGTAAGGTAACAAATTACCAAGTAAAGAGATACAAAAGTATCAACGGATAGTATTATAACATAACATTTAAACTTTTCAGCCCCAATTCCCTCCACCATACAGAGGAGGCTTTTGCCCAGCTGTGGGACTTTATAGACTTACTTCACTTGTACTTTTTTCTATGTAGTCTATTACTTTACTCTATGTCTTTAACCTTTCACAGGCCTTAGGAAAATGGTGCACGGACAACTCCATTGATCTGGTGGTCATCGGCCCCGAGGATCCCCTGGCGAACGGGATCGTGGACGCGCTCCAAGAGATGGGCGTCCGCTGCTTCGGCCCCACCAAGGCCGGCGCGGAGATAGAGGCCAACAAGAGCTGGTCAAAGAAGTTCATGGTCAAGTATCAGATACCCACCGCCAGGTTCCAGTCTTTCACCGACGCCGCCGCCGCCAAGGAGTATATAAATAGGTGTGTGTGTGATTTTTTTTATTATCTGTGAAACCATGAAAGTATGTGCGTGATTTTTTGTTACTTAAATTTGATACTCTGATAGCTGAGAGAACTTCTGGGTACGTCTTCGCAGATCAGCGTGAAGTGGAAATTTTTTAGTTTCGCGTTTCTTCCGAGTGAGGTAACCCGGGCTCACTTTTTTTTAATGTTGGCAACACATCTGCATCCCTTCGGGTGCAGACGTCCATTGGCGGCGGTAATCACTTAACATTAGGCGGTTTAGACAAATTTAAAAAAATAAACTCCCGCGTAATGTAGTGTTGTGTTCACAATAACTTAATAATGTTATGCAGTATCTAATACGGTTTTTATTTGCGAATTGTGGCAACATTTTTGTGCGTATACATGTAAAATAATGTAACATGTGCAGCGCCCCGTTCCCCGCCCTGGTGGTGAAGGCGTCGGGGCTGGCGGCGGGCAAGGGCGTGGTGGTGGCCGCCACCGGCGAGGAGGCCTGTCGCGCCGTCGACGAGATCCTGACCGACGCCAAGTACGGCGCGGCCGGCAGGACGGTCGTGGTCGAGGAGCTTCTGGAGGGGGAGGAGGTTTCGGTGAGTGGCAACCCTATTTTTTTTCTTTTTAATGTGAAAAAGGTGCATGCAGATCCGAAACAATTATCTTTGGGTCACACAATTAGTTTTCCAGAAGCCAGCAGTCAGGCTAGAGCCAAATGTATTGTGTTCGAAATAAGAACATCTATTATAATTTTTTATGATTTTTGGCGCTTTAAATATGCGCCAACTAATTAAATCGGCTTTACCAATTGGTGTTTCTAAATGAGTTTATTAATTCTACTCTTTACACGATGAGCGTGTCATCTTTATTGATACGCGTGTGTTTATTAGTGGAAGTGTTATACTTCTGCGTTTCGTGTTATGAGTGAGTTAACCGGAGTCTTTATTTTTTTTCAAACGGTGACGATTAAATGATGACGATAATTTTTACTCATTTAATAGTAGTCAGTAGATAAACCTTTATACCTAATATTATATTGAGTTTCATTGTGTATGCTGTGGTTGCTATGTATAGAATGCAATCATTTTATGTGTATATTTCTTTTGTAATCATGCTGGATTGTATTCAGTTAAGCAGACCTAATAAACTTTAAAAATGTGTGTGCGTGTAACCTTTACGCGCGATTGAAGTAAAACTTCTGTGGCGTTGACGGCATATATCACTGAAATGATTAAATATTTAATAACGTCATAATAATAAATAATAATAAGTAAATAATAAGTAATAAATAAGAATATGTCATATTTTAAAAATATCTTCTTATGACGTTACTTCCGTCAGAAAAAGCGTTACCTCCATCAGAAAAAATCTGAGTTACTCCCTAGTCGCGCCTAAAGAAGTTTTACTTCAGAAAATGTGACCGGAGAGGCGTATTTGGAGATTATTATTAGAGCGGTCACCGTGTTTTGTCGTCTGGCGGTAGATGGATAGTTGCGTCATCTCATCGCCACGAGATATTATTCTTCGCCGTAACTAGCGACCGTCTTACGCAAAACGCAAAAATCTGGGGCCGCGATAAGCGCGGGGGTCATCAACGCCCGTTGGGGTCCGGATAGCGTGTAACGCCCCGCCCGCGATTATACGAGCGGATTTATAAAAGAGCATGTCTAATAAAGACCTAAGAGCCGTACCAAAAGGGCCCTAAGAACTTTATACGGCTCCGTACCCCAAGGGTAAACCTATTAGTAAGACTCCGCTGTCTGTCTGTCCGCCTGTAGGCTGTATCTCATGAACCGTGACAGTTGGACAGTTAAATTTTCTCAGATGATGTATTTCTGATGCCGCTATATTAACAAATGAACAAAACAATATTTAAGTGTGGCTCCCATACAACAGACATGATTTCTGATCATTAAGATCATTCCAGTTAGTATTTTCCAGAGAGTTTAACCATCCTTTTTAAATTTGAAAAGCCATTTGACAGTTGATTAGTTAACATCTACGATGATTAGTGTTTCAGAAACCGGACGTAAGACTGACATCAGGAACCCAAGCAGCTCGGCCCCACCAGTGATTAGCTTCCTTTTTCTCCTGGATATCTGGGTGGGGTCGGCACAATATGTGATTCAGGTCGTCAACAATATAGGCGGACACCTGCCTGACGTCAACTCTCCTTGGGGAACAACACCCAGATCCGGAACAATTGTGTATGGGTGAAACAAATACTGGTCCCAAGTGGGAATCGAAGCTACGACTGGCGACGTGGCGTCGAAGCCGTTGCATAGCGACTGCGCCATCGAGTCATTATGATTGTACGAAATTATTCGAAGCGTTAACGTTCAGTTATGAAATCATACACGGAATAATTCTGTAGACGCAGTTTAAAAAAAATCCCTACCCCTAGTGCGAGTCGCATCATCTATAAGAACGGAAAAAAATCTTGTCTGTTGTATGGGAGCTCCACTTAGATATATTTTCTTCTGTTTTTTAGTATGTCTTGTGATAGCGGCAATAAAAATACATCATCTGTGACAATTTCAACTGTCCAATTATCACGGTTCATGAGATACAGCCTGGTGACAGACGCACAGACAGACAGCTGAGTCTTAGTAATAGGGTCCCGTTTTACCCTTTGGTCACGGAATCGTAAAAATGTGTATGCGTTTTCACGTAAATAATTATGTATATATTTTTACACCAAAAAACAATTAACTGTGTTAGAAGTTTAATTAGTAAATTATATTAAGTTATTATTGACTTATGTGTATGTTTGTATAAACGTGTCGATCAGAGATTACTCGTCGTCCGCGAACTCGAAAGATCCGTAATTATTTTTACATGTTTTTTTGTTTTTGATATTAATATTTATCTGTTTGACTCCGCCGTTGCTATGACAACGGTTGGTAGATTCTACTCGCGCGATAAGCGTGTCGCGACTGGAAGTTCCAAGTTTTATGTATGGTGCGAGCAGTGCGTTCCACTACCACAAAAATGTGCAGGGCTAGCGGTGATCTCTCGCAAACAGATACTTCACCACTAAAATAGATTATAAAAGAAAAGTCTAGTAAAGTAACAGTCTAAACAGGTACTGTGGTAGGGTACAGAAGACCGGCGTAAAGTGGAAGTATAATACTTACGCGTTTCATCTGGTGAGTGAGATAGCCGGAGCCCAATTTCCATAAGGTCAACGCATCTGCAACCCTCGGGTGTAGCACATTTCTATGGCCGGTGGTATTCACTTAACATCAGGCGAACCGTCTGCTCGCTTGGCAACTTTTCACATATACAGCGTGTCGTTACCATCGCGACAATAAATGAAGACACGTCTAACGCTACTTGCCAATAATCATAAAAAAATATTAACGTTAAACAAAATCCATACTTAAAAAAAAATATTTTTCAAACAAACTAATTAAGATAAAAAAGAAAAAAATTGTAACATCCTATACAACTCGCGCCACAACGTCGTATTACAAGCCTCTCTTTCTAGCAGTATGTTTTGTCTCTTTTAAATTCATTCAACCCAATCATATGCTTTGTGACCTTTACAAATGAACTTTACGTTACAGTGTTATAGGTAAGGGTGTTCTAAAATTTTTTGTTTTGGAAAATTTAATAATTCTGTAAATATTGATGTTTAAAGAATGTGAATGTTTAATACAATTTTAAAAAGCTATCCCCTATGTGTGTTCATTTATTGTCGCTGTTGTAAAGACACGCTGTATGAAAAAACACCGCCAGGTCCTCGCGTTCACCGACGGCGAGACGGTGTCCGTGATGCCGCCGGCGCAGGACCACAAGCGCGTGGGCGACGGCGACACGGGCCCCAACACCGGCGGGATGGGCGCCTACTGCCCGTGCCCCCTCATCACGCGCGACCAGCTCGCCGACGTGAAGGACCAGGTGCTGCAGAGGGCGGTGGACGCGCTCAAGGCGGAGGGCATCAAGTACGTCGGTGAGTATGTCGCGATAGGTGGTGGTGACATGGAAGCGGCACCGGTGACTGGATAGTAAGGAGTAGGTCGGCATGGCATGGGCGCATTGTGAGATGCGACGGAAGTCATGTGATCGGAAGAGTCCTCAATATGAATCTGGTTGGAGGGTGCAGAGCAAGAGGAAGACCGAGATAGTTTTTCATGGACTGTGTGAAGAACGATATAAGGGGCGAGTATTGAGATCACGACTGGTAGAGTAAAGTGGAAGGAATGGACATTTTGTGCCGACCCTATTAAGTGTGCGATAAGGACATAAGAAAGAAGAACGAGAAGAAGAGTATGACGAGGCGATGTCGCGACAGGAGTCCTTTTGAAGTTACACCTCTTTTGGCGCGTTTGGAAAACATTATGAGAGTAAAATTATTACGATGCGCTCGCACGCCTAAAAGCGACATGATGGAGTTGGCTGCAAAGCATGACGAAATTGGTTGCTTGGTTGCCATGGTAATATGATCTACACGGCATTACCATGACAACCAATAACATTTTTTTTTACATTTACCAATAACTGCAAGTAATCTAAATCAACCGTTATCATTTGCATTTAATCTTTACGGTAAAGAAGTGTAACTTCATACGTGCGTACATAAGTACGCGAATACTTTTCTTAAGATTAATTTTGATATGAGATTCGATAGACCTTAAAACTTTCCGAAAAACTGTTTTCTATAGCGAAAGGCAGCGTTATTTTTAGTGCTCGTCTTTGCACTTAAGGTGAAATTTAATGTGTGTTTTTCTTGATAAATGGACAAACACTTTCTGTACGCACAGGGCTGTGAACTCATAACCTACAACTAAGAAGACAAAATAAAAACACTATAAAAACAAAAACACAAGTCGCTATGATAATTTCTTAGATTTACACGGACACTGCACTGCTAAGTGACGACCCGTGCAAATGTGCGGCAAGTCTATGGATGCAAGTGGGTCAGGATCGTGCTTCGTGGCAGTCCGTGGGGGAGGCCTAAGTTCAGTTTTGGGTTCAAACATGCTGAAATTATGATGGTGATGACATTCCTAAGTTAAACATTTTTTTCATATTTATCGTGTTTATTCTTCGTAACGGCGACATTTAGAAAGCGCAAAGCGATTAGAGGATGTTTATTAATATACTGTCCCTCCCATCTCCAACGTGTGGTTGCATCGCTGACATTTTCGTAGTTTCGTCGCACCGGCGATGCGAAATATTCCATTCTTTGTTTCGCTTCAATTTATTTTCTACGTGTATTGTTGTTATTTTAATGGCATTCAGCGTATTATCGTGGCCGCGTCGAGAGGTCAGCTGTTACGACGCGCAGTACGAGGCTCGAATTGAGATTCGTTTGTGTAGGACTAGTGACGTGGGATCGTCTGTCCTAATCGCCCTAACCCACTGGCTTGTGTTTCGTATTTGTTCATTGAACATATCTTTTGTTTGGCATCCCCTACAGAAACGCACGATATGAAGTGTCCTACTTTTGCCGTTGCACTCCCGTTTCTGGAGGTGTGAATATTGTAGGGGGGTAAGATTGAAGTTTTTCTTAGACGCAATTAGGATACATTAAGTCGATGGATGCAGGTGGCGCAGTATCGTGTTTGGCGCTCTGTGGCGAACGCCTATGTTCAGAAGTGGACTAAAACGGGCTGAAATGTTGGTGACGATGAATATAGTAAAAAATTAAAATAATAAATAAATATTTCGCAAAGTATACCAAACTAAGAAATTCTGTATATATTAGCGCCTATGCCAGTTGATTATCTGATTGGGTGTAGCAAAGCTAAGCCTCCTTCCATTGCTAATTAAAATAATTTTGAACAGAGTATTGCGTTCTCTATGGCCTTCTAGCTCTCTTTGGCTTTGTCTTTGTCTTCTGACAACCGCCCAAACAGTACTCGTTAATCTTGCCCGATAAAGCTTTGCAGAGGTATATGAATGCGAAATTAATAAAACAAACACAAAATTCGTCATCCCAATTAAACTATATCAGCAATGTTTTAAACGCGATGTTGTTTAGTTTGCGCCGTGATCTACTACATCAGCAAATAATGTCGTACTTGTACCCTAGGTTCTTATCTAGAGGGCCAGTGCAGGGTCAGACCTCTCGACCTATCGCGTATCTAGCGGCACGAGTTACACATTACCCATTATCTGAGCCACCCTTCGGCGCGCGCTCCTCGTATGTAGGCTTATGTAATGCAACCGGCCGTATACAGAAACGGCCGGTTCAAAGCGGACCAGTTATGTAGGCGTCCAACCATGTACCCTTTCATATACACAATCTCCGTTAGACACGTTCCCCCGAGTTCAATATCAACACGCAATAACCCTTTGGTACCCACGCAATAAACCTAAACTTTTCTGGACCACCCCAAGGTTGACTGGGAGATAATGCTGATGGCATTAAGTCCGCCTTTGTACACAAATGTTTGTGCAGAAAGTTTAAATAAATAAACCCTAAGTAACAGATTGTATCATAACAAAAAAACCGGCCAAGTGCGAGTCGGACGCACGAAGGGTTCCGTATCTATAGATACGGCAAAAAATCATGTCTGTTGTGTGGGAGCCCCCCTTAAATATTTTTTATTCTGTTTTTTACTATTTGTTGTTAAAGCGGCAACGGAAAACATCATCTGTGAAAATTTCAACTGTCTTACTATCATGGTTCATGAAATAAAGCCTGGTGATAGACGGACAGACAGCAAAGTCTTAGTAATGGCGTCCCGTTTTTACCCTTTGAATAGGTACCTAAAAATAATTATGTCGAAAAGGTAGGAAAAATTTGATATTTTTATATGTCCCTGTGAAATTCGTTGGCATAGATGGTGACAGTTATTATGTAGTAGAATACAAAATATGCTAATTTTTTTGTGATTTCAAAATGCACCAAGACGAAAACAAAATGCGAATTGTCTTAATAGTGTACAGTGTGTCTTTACCACCGCGACAATAAATGAACACACTTCTAACGCTACTTGCTTAAAAAAATAAACAAAATTTGTAACATCCTATACAACTACATCTGACTGATTCATACATTCAGAGAGATCTTTTTCATTCGTTGCCACAGCGCATTCGAAGCCTCTCCTTCTAACAGTATGTTTTGTCTCTTTTACATTCACTCAACCCATTAATAATATGCTTTGTGACCTTTACAAATGAACTTTACATTAAAGTTTTATACATAAGGGTGTTCTAAAATTCTTTGTATTGGAAAATTTGATAACTCGGTAAATATTGATGTTTAAAGAAGGTAAATGTTTAATACAATTTTAAAAAGTTATCCTCTATATGTGTGTTCATTTATTGTCGCGATGGTAAAGACACGCTGTATAAATTTCTAATATCAATAAAATAATGATCATCTGTCACGTTTTTAATCTGTGCTTATAAGTACGGGAAATAATATGTGAAAACAATATCTGTCTCAATAAAAATTGTTAAAATTCACACATTCACATATTTTTACGATGGATCATGAACAAACATACTATCTATAGACATAATATCAACATGAAATGACATCTCCTTGTCGGAAAGCATTTTGTTAATTATTTAACCTTACAGAGTTCATCTTAGCATGCCTTCATAAGGGTCTAACAGCTAACTGATGTACTGATATTTTTGAAAGTGATGTGAATGTATCCGTATTGTTTCCAAATTAAAAAGAAAACAGTTAATGTTAGGTTTTAGAATCATGGTTTTTAAAGACTTGACATAATTTAATTTAAATCTTTTTTCAAAGTACTTATGTGTGTATAAATCCGCTTTACACGTATTTATGTTAAAATCCGTTGTTTCAATTTATTTATTTCGGCCAGTATCCTAATAATAATGCTAGTTCGTTTATTTTATTCCAAAAACAAAATACGTCGATTTGATAAGAAATAGAATAAATTACATCTCTCATTGGGAGAAGTTTTGAAAAGTCTGCCCGTTGATACTCTGCCAACCCCGCAATGGGAGAAGGGCTTGATTTTGAGTCTGTATCCATGCGAATCTATACGATCACATGTTGCTGTTGCAGCTTCTAAGATATCGTTCGAGTCTCGCGTCACCCAATAGCAACAGTACAAAGTCATCAGTCTGTGACCTGTTGTTTATATCGTTCTCTAGTTATGCTGCGCTCCATGCTCCGTTCGTTATCAGGTGAATTATAAAGAACGCAAACATAGACCTTAAGCCAGAGATACAGAGGTCTCCTTTGCTTAGATGTAAGGCTATAATCAAATAGCCCTGTAGTACCCGGCTCATATAATAGGACTAAGGTATCCCCTGCCTGTCGTAAAAGATGCCAGATGTGAATTTTAAGGTTGATGTTCGATTTATTTTTTTATTGATTAGTTTGACAATCGAGTGTCATCAGATCAGGTCAAACGATGGTGAAAGCTAATTATTTGCTAATGAAAAGATGGCGTCAGTTATTATGCAGGTTGTTTCAGTGTTAGTCAAGATTGAAATCGTCACAAAAATATATTTGCCCTTTTGAAAGAACTTTTATGGGAGATGTTAAATAAGTAAAACTTATTTCTCCTCTCCGTTACAAAGACTAAGAACTCGCCTGTAGACGAGTTCACGAATGGGTAGGTTCGTCCGGGGTAGTACCGCGACTTCACAGAAGACCGACGTGAAGTGGAAGTTTTATACTTATGCGTTTCCTCTGGGGAGTGAGGTAACCGGAGCCCACTTTAAAAGGTGGCAACGCATCTGCAACCCTACTTGTGCTGCAACCGCCAGCAAGCATGCCGCCTTATCACATAACAAACGCCAACAACAGTCACATTAAATTCGGACGATTTCCACTCAACACAACTGCGAAGCGATTGTTCACGGCTTTATAATTAATCGTCTGTGATATATTATACTTATTGATAACAGTCTCCACAAATAAGAGGATTCGATAAACAATGATAAATCGAAGTAAACACACCGGCCGTGTAATTTAGAAGTCGTTTGTTTTCGCACCGAACGCAATGTGAACTCTAACCCCTACACTTAGATCACGTTTCGCTCCGGCGTACGGAATGCGGCGGTCACTAAAGGCAATAGACTACAAAGTTGCGTCTGCTGTTGTGATAGGGAGCTGGTCAAGAAAACAAGCGCGATTGCACGAAGCAATGCCAAGGTTCAATGTTCCGTGCGTATGAGGCAAACGGTCGATATTCTTACGTTTCGTCTTCGAGACATTATCGTGTTTGGTGCTATATATTACGGCCCAATTTGTTGAATGGTACTGGGAGATAGTTTTGTTCGCTGTATAATTCATATTTACGATTGGTGTATCGTAAATAGTGGCGAACTTTTGCGAGTCTCATTGAAAAATGCATGAAACAAGGATAGCGTTGGTCCTTCGAGCCGGATATTCATAAAGTAGTAAAGATTCATAAATTCATATGCGTTTCTATTGTGCTTCCTATGTTGGTATGAAACAAGAGGTTGTGAATGAGTGTGGAATGCGGGACAGACTTACCAACAGACATTTATTTATATTTTAATGATAATTATAAATTCCAAGACACATTTATATACAACGTTATCTAGTCGCGAACCAAGAAAAGCTTTTACGAATGGGTATTAGGTAACCGTAGTTGAACATAGATACATTAGAACATAGAACATAATTACATGTGGGGATCGAATCCACACCCTCCGGCATAAGGGACAAATTCAATGTTCACTACGCTATTCGGGTCATCTAATGTAAATAGTACTTGTCCATTAAATTGTGCTATACTATGCTGCTTATGCTAACTCGTAGCTGTTTTACAATATCAATTAATGAAACACTGATTTCATATAAAAATGAACTAGAAATGAACTACATCGATGGTTCACTTTAGCAAATGTTTTAAAAATAATTATGTATTTGTGACCTTGAACTATGTACATAGTTTTGTTTTGCATGAACGGGCAGATTAGTTATATAAATATTTTCCTTAAAAATAAACCGTTTCCTTGTTTAGATTGCTACCGGTTTAAGATAATGAAAACTACACATGTTAGCTAAATTTATTCTTGTAAATTTTGGACATGAATTTAAACCGATAAACAATTAATTTCTTTTATTACGCGATTACACATTACTTAATGTAACAATGTGTACGGATTTATTGCGTTTATGTTTGCGACGGTCTGTCCCGTGACCATGAACGCTTTAATGGCTTCGAAATGTCGGGAATCAAAACTAAAAATAAATGCGATAAATCGGTAAATATAGGTTCATTTAAAGTATCAGCTTATACATGGCACACTGCTGGGCACAGGCCTCTTCTGTACAATGGGTATCAGGCCATAGTCCACCACGCGGCCCCACTGCGGATTGGAGGACTTCACATATCTCCCCAATATAAAGAAAGAAAGAAAGAAAGAAAAAAAGAAACATTTATTTGGCACATAATAACACAAAAAAAAAACATAAAACTAAATACCTATGATTAGAATGAACCAAAATGGTCACCACTCAGCTTCATATCACGAAGTTGACAATCTTCGTGAATGCTGGTTTTCAGTGGAACCTTGGGGGAAAGAGATAGATGGCCCTACGTAATAGTCGTAAAGAATTAATATTGGATACAATAAATTTAAAAAAAAAAAAAAAAACAAGTACATTTGACTAAAAGTAAGAAACGTTACACAAAGAATAAAATTATTTAAACAAATACAAATTACTTATTTTATCTGCCATGCTTGTGTTATGTGTGAAGAAGATTTTGTTGTTGTGTTATGTGATGGAGCAAGAAAGTGTGTGTTTTTGTTCGTATTAGTTAAGAACGAAAGAAACGACTTATTTGGATTAAGTACAAGATTGTTACAATCACACCACTTAGACATACTTTCCAAGTCTGCGTTGATTTTATTTAATGCTACGGCTGTGTCGCTAGGTTTAAAAGACATGTATAATTGCACGTCGTTCGCAATAATAATAATATAATTTTTCATCATTACTTCGGAAATATGCAGGTTTCCTCACGATATTTTCCTTCACGGCTGAGCACGTGATAGTTCAGCACTTAAAATTAACACTTTCGTTAGAGCCGCCATCGGGGATCGAAATCAGTTTGTACGAGTACATTGAATTAAAGGCGAGCGCCCGGACACTGAGTTATCACGGCTCCCAGCATCGCTTTTCGGCCTTTTGGCTAAGATCAAAGTTTCTTTTGCCAATAAAATTTAAAAAAAAAATCATTAGACCATATTGCCGATTGCAGGAGTGCTCTACGCGGGCCTGATGATCACAAAATCTGGCCCAATGACCCTGGAGTTCAACTGCAGATTCGGTGACCCTGAGACCCAAGTGCTTATGATGTTGCTCGAGACAGATCTGTACAAAATCATGGATGTGAGTATAAGATGTAGCGCTGTTAAATTAAAACACGTAGAAAAAGTACGGAAAGATTGTCGCCGCTGTGGGAATCGAACCCACGTCTTCGGCATTCGCGGCCTGACGCTCTAGCCACTGAGCTAAACGGCTGATAGCCACAGCGACGAAAATCTTAACGCCTTCCTTCTACATTGTTACTTAGCATTTGAAGCAATGCTTGGCGCATCTATTGTTATATCCTTTCCAGCATACAAACAATTTTAAATATCGTTTTACAACGATAATTCGAACGAGAGATGTCGCCATTGCTTTTTATAAATTTTAAAGTTTTTTATAGTGCTAATCTCTGCACTTAAGATTGAACATTAAAACATGTAGAAAAAGTACGAAAAGATTGATTCGAACTGAGTTGAACTTGACTCTCGAAGATCTTAAGTGCAGAGATTAGCACTATAAAAACTTTAAAATATATAGCGCTGTATTAAAATTTAGAACTTATATACCTACATGGAAAAGTTTGTGTGTGGTTTTGTTCTCCTTTCACGCCTTAACTTCAAAAGATCGTTGTGAACATAGGATATTGTCTGAATTAACGCGAATGATATTATTTTTTTTCTAACTCTAATTATACGAGTGAAGCCTTAGCTATGGTTAGAATTACCCGCTAGATAATAACTATATTATAATAATGACTATATTTTAATTATATATATAAAGTTAGGAGAATCTTGCTGAAAGTTGTTAATTCTGAAAATGAGGCTTTCTGAAAATTTGCATCACCAAGTCTTTTAGGTTACTAGTCTACATCAGTAGACTGGGCTTACACAATTTTGGTACTACTTATATTTTGCAAGTTGATGTTTATCATCCCTTCTGGTAACTGTAAAGTCAGTTACCAAATTCAGATTTTTTAAAGGAATTTTATGTCCGCTTCGTACTACATTCATAATATAAAGTTAAGGTTTTTGTTTAAATTCCGCTAAGGCAAAAGCCATAGCTTTAAAATACTTAAGTTACGTCCCTTGAAACGTGCTTAATGTTGAACGGTATTTTTTTGAATGTGCGGTTTAAATTGCAGGCGTGCGTCAACGGCACACTGAAGCAGGTGCAGGTGACGTGGAACACGAAGATGGCGGCGGTCGGCGTGGTGATCGCCTCCAAGGGCTACCCGGAGACGTCCACCAAGGGGTGCGTCATCAGCGGTGAGTCGGGCGAATTTCGTCTGTAACGAGACGACTCAGGGTTCGAATTGCATTAGCCGCGACGCTCGATGGCAATAACTGTCAAGTTTCGGCGTCGTTAATTGCCATCGATCGATAATGAGTCCCGATTAGAGCGATTGCCGATCGCGATTACGCGAAAGCAATTGATGAAAGATTTGTTGATTGACGATTGGCGCTCATTGGCACCGAGTTAATCTGATTCTATTCGTCTGACGACTGTGCGAGCGATTTAAATATCAAACAAACCGAACTCTTCCCCAGTTAAAATTGTGGGCAAAAACATTGCCGCGTTGATTGAAACTGCATCAATGGCACTCGAATTAGAATCGTTCACACACAATTGTAATTGCCATTGATCGTCTCCCGCAATCGATGGGGCGGCGCAGTTGGATTTATGGGGAGGCAGGGCAATCCCTTTTTTTGTATCGGGAGGGGCTATTTGGGGTTCTTACCCACTAAAACCCCCTCGGTGGCCTCCTTCCGTACATTTGGAGGGACTCCGGGATCTCCCATGGAACGCACCGGTGTCCATCGGTACGACGCCTGAGCACACCTCGGAGAAGGATAAACCTTCTCCGGTTCCCTCTCCCTCTTGCAGCAGCACGAGACCACTTCGTGCAGCTGCCCGTTCGTGTCCCCTTTTAGTCGCCTTGTACGACATGCAGGGGATAACTTAGCCCTATTCTATTAGCCCGGGACTACAGGGCTGAGGCAGGGCAATCCGTAACGGCCGAGTTAGGGCTGTCGATTCGACCGGCTGAGGTAGTGTCATCGATCCAGGGCTGTCGCAGCTGGCGTCGCAGCCGGGGCTGATGGTGTTCCACAGCGGCGTGGCGCGCGGCGCGAACGGCTCGCTGGTGACGTGGGGCGGGCGCGTGGTGCTGGTGGCGGCGCGGGCCGGCGCGCTGCGGGCCGCCGCCGCGGCAGCCACGGCCGCCGCCGCCGCCATCGACTTCCCCGGCGCCCACCACCGCAAGGACATCGCGCACCGCGCCTTCTCCAAGTACGTCCCCCACAGGGCCGGCTCAGCGCGATTATGATTTGTGTGGCCTGTAAGTACGGCCACACCCCAACAGGGTTGCAAGCTCGGACATCACTCGATAGGGTGATTGTGATTTGTGTGGATGGGTTGTGTAGAATGACGTAGTCGTATTTTCGAAAACATTGCTTCTTACTGTAGTATAGCAATGTGCTGTGTTGTTAGGGCGTTTTACGTACAATAACTTCACGTGGACAAACACGTAGATACGAAAGAATTATCTATGAGTTACAAAAATAGTTGTCTCTTGTGAGAATCGAACCCACAACCCCCCGCGTCGTAACCAATACCTTAGTAACTGCGCCACGGATTCATCCATCACTCGATAATCATCAATGGCTCAATATACTGACCGGTGAACATCTTGAGCAATACATTCGATTCCACTTTATATGTCTTGATGGGGCGCAACGCGGTGGATTAGGTAGCATCTTTACTTTTGCACTGCATTATAAAGTGGTCACCTGCATCCATGACACATTTTTACGTAGTAACATCTTAATGTAGACAGAATACTTGCGGTCCAAAAACACTGCAGCTTTTCAGTGGGTGTCGAAATCGTTTTGGCATTGCAACGGATAAATATTTTTTTTTCCCACGAATTCTGTCAAAGCAGAAACCTTTCCTGGTAAAGGAACGTTTACGGGACAATAGAAACAGTCATTATAACATAGGTATATTTTTAACATCTGACCAAACTATTATGTTCCATAATTAAGATATTTATCTTAGTGACATCGTATATACGTAAATACAATAAGACTTTCACCACGCAATACATTCGGAAGCGGCGGAGAGCCTGGTGCTCGGGTCGGTGTACTATGAAAGCGGGTCTGACAAGCCTGTCGCGTCCGAACCGTCGACCAGTGACAAGATTGCCCCGCGCCAGGGTCAACGGCCTCTCGTACCTGGAGAGCGGCGTGGACATGGAGGCGGCCGCGACCCTCGTGCGCCAGATCGAGCCGCTGGCGACGGGCACGCACCGGCGCGGCGTGCTGGGCCGGCTCGGCTGCTACAGCGGCCTCTTCCAGCTCTCCGCCATGGACGCCCGGCTGCAGGACCCCGTGCTGGTGCAGGGCACCGACGGGGTCGGCACCAAGCTCAAGGTCATTTGGTTTATATCCCCTCTATATATATATATATATATATATATATATATACATTTCGTGCCACGATCTATGTTCGCGATGAACTCCTAAACTACTGAACCAATTTTTATCAAATTTTGTAAGGATTTGTAATTTGGTCCAACTTGGGAGATAGGATAGTTTTTATCTCAATTATTGATCTCTGTATTTGTTATTGTTTATTAGATGACAAAGAGCTATCTGTGAGTCCCATAAGATTCTAACAGATGGCAGTGTAAGATAAATTTATCGGCTGGATTGAATAAGTATCCGAAGATGGCGCTATGCTAAAAGTAGAAACGTATGGACCCGGTAGAATTGGCGCAAACGAAGTTTCGCGAGCCAGCTAGTATTATTATATAAGAAATAGAATAGAAAACGTGCTTAAGAAGTTACACTTCTATAGCAGTCCACAAAAACAAAAAGACGCTTTGCATGCCCTGTCGTCCCATACAAATATTATCATTACAGACGTGATCCACGTTTATTGATATTCGCGCCATCTATTAGTGTTTTGGTTAACTCGTGAAACACATTTTAGGAATGTTTTTGCCGCGTGGGGAAATCTTTGTCTGGTAGCAGCGAGTTTCTGTTTAGGAATCACGCGTTCAACGAACAAAAGTGATATCTCACTAAGCCCCTTGTATTATTTGGTGATTTTTCTGAACCCACTACTTAGGTCTCCCTCTCAAGCCTGACGCGATTAATGGGAGATCCGTTATTTAATCGGACTTAATTGGCAAACGCAGATAGCCGAGTCGATGCAGAAGTTCGACACGCTCGGCCAGGACCTGGTGGCGATGTGCGTGAACGACATCCTGTGCGCGGGCGCTGAGCCGTTCGCCTTCCTGGACTACATCGCCTGCGGCCGGCTGCAGGTGGACGTGGCCACCGCCATCGTCAAGGGCATCGCCGACGCCTGCCAGCTGGCTGGCTGCGCGCTGCTGGGTTAGTCACCCCCCCCCCCCCATAGTGAGAAACTGCGGGGTCCGGGGAATTACCGCGACCTCACGAAAGGCGTGAGGTCACTTGTGCATTTCGTCTGGCGAGCGTGGTGGCCAGGGCCCACTTTTTTGTAAGGAGTTTGGAATTTGACACGCTACTGGTGTTGTCCATGGGCGGCGGTAGTTAACATCGAGTGGACCACCAGCACGCTCGCCGCCTTCTTACATAAAAAATAACTCAGCCCGAGGAATCAATATGGGGTTAGTAAAGGGTGCTATTCCATTTAGCCGGACCGGGTGTGTAGAGATGAGGATGTGTCTGGAATCACAATGTTGTGATTTATTTGTAATTTTTGACATTTTTATAAAAGATCACGATATTTTATAGTCCTTGAAGCTATGTCTTAGAAAGGCGATTTTCGATAATTGTGGTCTATATATTACAATTATCGAAAATCGCCTTACACATTTAATTTTTTTTTATGTGAAAAGTTGCCAAACGAGCAGACGGTTCACCTGATGTTAAGTGAATACCGCCGCCCATGGACATCTGCTGCACCCTAGGGTTCCAGATGTGTTGACAACCTTTTGAAAATTGGGCTCCGGCCACCTCACTCACCTAAATTGCTATAGTATATCAGAGTTAACATCATCATGACATAACGGAACAGTAAAATTACACTCGGGTCTCTTCGTCCCCCTTTTCTACAAATTTCAACCTCACCTTTAGGTCGATCGCATATATACTTGAGTTCGGAGGTACGCAACCGAACAGCCGGACGTTGTCATTTTGTGCATCATAGGCACATTACACTCGCGTACATATGTACGTTGTATGCCTAATTTAAGGCAGTACGCGCCTCGCCACCATCGAAACAATACCGTACCGTTTATTTATACCGCGTATTCTAATCATATAACCAGTAATTAGTGATAAGTGCTTTATAACATTTCATACCATTTACCATACTTTTGTATAAATAAGTGTTAATCCATACTAATCCTACTAATATTATAAAGGCGAAAGTTTGTATGTATGGATGGATGTTTGTTACTCTTTCACACAAATACTACTGAATGGATTCTAATGAAACTTTACAATAATATAGCTTATACATCAGAATAAGGCTATAATTCATATATATATATATATTTTAATGTACATCTGTCTTTCTGTTTGAATGTTACGCATTCAGCCTATTCTACGCAGACGTAGTCGCGGGCAGCAAATAGTATTATAAATGCGAAACTAACTCTGTCTGTCTGTATCGCTTTCACGCCACAACTACTTAGTACATTTAAATGAAATAGGGTACACAGATAGTCTAGAGCCTGAGAAAGGATATAGGCTATTCTTTTAATTGTTTTTTTTTTTTAAAGAAAGATATTTATTTAAGGGCTTCGACGCGAGCGAAGCCGCGGGCGAAAAGCTAGTTTACCACATGTGTGTTAGTAAACCATTGACCAGACCATCCATAAACTCCGTCCAGGCGGCGAGACGGCGGAGATACCGTCGATGTACGAGGCGGGCAAGTACGACCTGGCCGGCTTCGCCGTGGGCGTGGTGGAGGGCGCCCGCCAGCTGCCGCGCCGCGACCGGCTCCGGCCCGGGGACCTGCTGCTGGCGCTGCCCTCCTCGGGGCCGCACAGCAACGGCTACAGCCTCGTGCACCGCATCATGCGCGACTCCGGCCTCAGGTGTGGACGGCTCATGCGCCCACTTGAGCTCAACATTTCTTTATCCAACACGGGCTTCATTTAAACTCTCATTGGACGTATTAAAAGCTACTGAACTGCCAAACTCTGTGGTCCGATAAGTGAGCTATTCGGTACGTATTGTAACTAAAGTTTGGCGTCTACGACCTGGTACGTATTGTAACTAATATATATCGAGCCCTCGGCCAAATGGTTTATTCTGGACCGTGTACCATACATGATACTCTTAACACCTCTTTGCACCTCTTAATGCGTAAAGTAGCGCTACACGAATCAGGTTACGATGACTTTTCTTCGGTATTTAAAACTTCACTTATGGGATTATCTACTACTGGTAAAAGACTGTTGGCGTGATGCAGATTATGTGTACGCACACCGATCTTATCACCACGTGAAGTTGCTTTATCTACTACTAAAGGAATATACTCTTCCCGCGTCTGGTAAAAGACTGTAGGCGTGATGCAGATTATGTGTACGCACACCCCGATCTTATCACCACGTGGAGCTGCTTTCAACAGTCCCCAACTAATAGATTCCGCCGAGTCGCAGCCCCTGTCCGGCCGATTAACGTTGACGTTGGAACAGCTACCGCGAGAGGGCGCCCTTCTCGCCGAGCGGCCGTTGCTTCGGCGAGGAGTTCCTCGAGCCGACGGCGTTGTACGTGCGCGCGCTGCTGCCCGCGCTGCGAAGGGGCCTGGTCAAGGCGCTGGCCCACATCACCGGCGGCGGCCTGTTGGAGAACGTGCCCAGGGTGCTGCCCCGCCAGCTGCGCGCCAGATTCGACGCTACCAAGTTCGACATAAAGCCCGTTTTCGGCTGGCTGCAGGCGGCCGGTGAGTGGCGGTGTTCCAAAAGAGCTGTTTTTTTTTTTTCTGAAGTGAGTGACATGCACCTGATGTTAAGTGACGACCACCGCCCATTGGCATCGCAACACCCGTAGGGTTGCAGACGCGTTGCCACCTTCCCATAGAGTGGGCCCTGGCTACATCGGTAAACGCAGAAATATAACACTTCCACTTCACGCTGGTCTGGTCCTCCGTGAGGCTGTGGTACATACCCGGACAGACCTGCCCATTCTTTCTACAGCGGAGACTGCAGTGCGGTGCCCGCCCGCTCCTCTATTTCGAACGAAATGCAATGAAGATTAAACAAAATAAGAACATCATTGATTCATGACGACCCGAGTGGCGTAGTGGGTAGTGTACCTGCCTCCTGCGCCAGAGGGTGTGGGTTCGATCCCCACTACTGAAAGAATATTGTGTGATGAACATGGTGTTTTTCTAGTGTCTGGGTGTTTCTATATGTATAATATGTATTTATTTACAAAAGAAAAGTATGTTTAAGTATGTTTATCAGTTTTCTAGTACCCATAGTACAAGCTTTGCTTGGTTTGGGACTAGAAAATGTTGTGTACAAATGTGTCCCAAATGTTTATTATTATTATTCAATGCTCGGTGCGTCGCAGGCGCTGTGCCCGACCAGGAGATGCTGCGCACGTTCAACTGCGGCGTGGGCATGGTGGTGATCGCGGCGCCCGAGAGCCTCGACCAGCTGCGCGCCGCCGTCGAGGGCGAGATGCGCCTCGTCGGGCTCGTCGAGCTGCGCGACCCCGCAGGTGACCTTCAGCGTGACCTTCACAGTGACCCTGACCTTGACCTGGCACCATGACATACCCTCAATACACACGTTCGTCGGCCGGCCAGGTAACTTATAGAACCGATAACCGTTTGTGAAGAAAGGTTCTAGAGTGGCAACCCTATACTGGCCATCGCAGTGTAGGACGACCCCCACTATATGGAGTGACGACCTGTGCAAGTGTGCGAGAAATCGGTAGATGCAGGTGGCTCAGGATCGTACTTCGTGGCAGTCTGTCCCCTACAGACGCCTATGTCCAGGAGTGGACCCAAACAGGCTGAAATGATGATGACGATACCACCAGATGATGGAGGGCTTGTGCCCGCTAAAACCTCAGGTTGGCCACCTTGACCTGGGTCACACATTTTTTGTATCGGAATGGAGAGCTAGAGATACTGTAGGTTCGTATTTACCACCTCGGTGGCCACCTTCTATACGTTTGGACTCCGGGACCTAGTATGGAACGCGCCGGTGGCCAACAGTACTGAGCATGAGAGTGCCCCTCGGAGAACAAACCTTTGATTCCCACGCCATCTTACCACAGTACCGAGAACACTTCCTACTGCTGCTATTCCTTGAACCAAACGTCCACGTTAAGTCACCGCATTTTACGACGGACAGCGGATACCTTACTCCTATTCTGTCAGGAAAGGGCTACGGGTCTGTCACGATGATGAGAATAAAGAGATGCAGTTGTAAAAAACCGCTCTTGTGGGGATTAACGCACATTAAAATTACTCGAAGAAAACTCACTCGGGCATGCACTCACTCCCAGAGACGTGGTAGAATCGCAAAATACGGGTTACCGAGTAAACGTCTTCATTAACCTTCTGATATAGTCGTAGTTAGGATACAATAAGCAGGGTTTCCAGGGGGGGCCAACCCTAAAGCTCTGCCCGTTTGCAGGGGGGCCGCAAGTGGTGGTGGAGCGGTTCGCGGAGGCGATGGCGCCGCTGAGGGCGCCGTACGCAGCCCTGGCCGCGCCGCGCCCCCTCTCCTACAAGGACAGCGGCGTAGACATCGAGGCGGGCGACTCGCTCGTCTCCCTCATCAAGCCCTTGGCCAGGTGATTCTCCTGCCTCCTCCACTTAATTCTCTCCCCGTCTTCTTTCTGACCATTATTCAACAAATCATATCAATCTCTCGGCTAGAATGTAGATGGACTCCCTCTGCTTACTACTCCTAACCACTCCACCATCTCATTTTTGTTTCCTTTCATTTCTAACTAATATTCACCAAATGTCAAAGATTAACAGTACTGCTTCCTATGATTCGCAAAATAGCAAGTTTTTATGATATCTCATTTATTACATTTTTATGATATCATATTATGTTTAGAAAAAAAAAATTTTTTCGGACAATAGGGCTAAAGTTTTAAAAAGAATTCGGTCCGCGGTCATGCCACAAGAGTGATAAAATTATTCTGATTATTTATGTGGTTTGCTTTTATTTTCTATATTCCTTTTTATGATTCAGATCAACAATCCGTTCCGGTGTCATAGGTGGTCTTGGAGGCTTTGGAGGATGCTTCCAGCTGAAAGCCATTGAACACGAATATAAGGTAATCTCAACAATTTTTGTTTAAGTACAATGATTTTGCCTCTTACATATACTACATGTCGCTCAGCGAGCTATGGAGGGAACTATGCTCGGTATTTCGTTAAGGGATAAAATCCGAAACGAAATTGTCCGACAGAGGACCAAAGTTATCGATATAGTCCATAAGTGTAGCAAGCTGAAGTGGCAGTGGGCTGGCCATATCTGTCGTAGAACCGATGAGGGTTGGAGCAGGGGGGTTCTCGAATGGAGACCACGTCTCGGAAAACGTAGTGTCGGACGTCCCCCTGCCAGGTGGACCGATGACCTCAGAAAGTTCGCTGGTAATGGCTGGATGAGGAAAGCGGAAGATCGTGCTATGTGGACTGCCCTTGGGGAGGCCTATGTCCAGCAGTGCACTGCAAAAGGCTGATTGGATTGGATTGGATATACAGGGAGGCTTTTTAAGTGCATCCATTTTTTTTTATTCTAGACAAAAATAATGTTATATAGAAAATGATAAATATTTAAAATCACTCGTAATTAATTAAATACATTCATTTGAACTTATCGTTCGTTTCAAAAGTATACGACGCATTTATGAATGACTACCGCATTGTCAACAAGTTCTGTTTTCTAAGGAACGGAATGGCAATATTTTTGAAAAAAAAGTTTGTTTTTATTTCAATAAACAATACTACCGAGTCTGAACCTCCTGTGTGAATTTGGGCACCTTTAGAAAAGCCACCCAGTATACTACAATATGTCCGAACTTATAAGGAATTGTAAATGTCATATAAACCTTCCTCTAGATTTGGTTAAAAAAAAACGCATCACGATCCGTTGCGTAGTTTTGAAGATCTAAGCGTAGATAGGGACACTGTGTAGTGATGTGCCCCGAAAAAATATTTATCTATGCATGTCCAAAAACCAGGACCCGGTGCTGGTGGTGGCGGCGGACGGCGTGGGCAGCAAGCTGCAGGTGGCGCAGCGCTGCGACCGGCACGACTCGATCGGGCTCGACCTGGTGGCCATGTGCGTGAACGACGTGCTGTGCAACGGCGCGCGCCCGCTCACCTTCCTCGACTACTTCGCGTGCGGCGCGCTCGACGTGCGCGTCGCCGAGCGCGTCGTGGCCGGCGTGGCGGCCGGCTGCCGCCAGGCGGAGGCGGCGCTTATCGGTAAGGGGATACGGTCGCTTTTCGTTTGCCGGTATGTGAGTTTTGTGGCGTCAAGCGAAAACGGCACTTAACGGTATGGGGATACGGTCGCTTTTCGTTTGTGACGCTTCGGTTTTGCGACGTCAAGCGAAAGCGGCGCTTATCGGTACGCTCATAAGGTCGCTTCTCGTTTGCTCCCGCGTCGATCTTGCGGCGTCAAGCGGAAGCGGTGCTTATCGGTACGGGGATAGGGTCGCTTTTCGTTTGCCGGTATGTGTTTTGTGACGTCAAGTGAAAACAGCGGTAATCGGTATGGGGTTAGGGTCGCTTTTGCTACGGCGTCTGTGTCTTGTGCCGCCAGGCGGAGGCGGCGCTTGTTGGTACGTTCGGTCGCTTTTCGTTTGCAATTATTTGAGTTTTGTGATGTCAAGCGAAAGTGGAGCTTTAGGGCACGATGATAGGGTCGCTTTTCGTTTGCCACTGTGTCAGTTGACGCTTATGGTTATGGCATTAGAGTCGGTTTTATTTAGCACCACGTCGAGCCTCTTGTGCCGTCAAGCGAACGCGGCGGTTATCGCAACGGCAATAGGGTCGCTTTTCTTTTGCTGGTACGTCAATTTTGTGCCGTCAAGCGAAAGCGGCGTTCGGTATGGAGCTATGGTCGCTTTTGCTACGGCGTCGGTGTTTGCTACGGCGTCGGTATCTTTTACCGCCAGACGCATAATTATGGGTATGGCATTAAATCCCGCTTTTCTTTTGCCGCCATGTCACTTTTATGACGTCACATGAAAGCGACACTTGTGAGAATTTTTATAGAGTTGCTTTTCTTTTACCACCAAATCTGTGTCTTGTTCCGTCAAATGAAAGCGGCGCTTTAGCCAATGTCTAGTTACACCAGTCAGTTTGGTAAATTCGAGAGGTTTTTCAGGCGGCGAGACGGCGGAGATGCCTGGCATGTACCCGCCCGGGGTGTACGACATCGCGGGCTTCGCGCTGGGAGTGGTGGAGCGCTCCCACATCCTGCCCAAGATCAACGACATCACGGTTAGTGACGTAACAGTCTGTATATGCCCCACTGCTGGGCCAAGGCCCCTGCACAGAGGGTATCAGGGCGTAGTCCACCTGCAGACTTTACGTATCTTCTATTCTTTCATTATTATTTCGAAAATATGCAGGTTTCCTCGCGATGTCTTTTCCACCGTGGAGCATGTGATAACTCAGCGCTTAAAATTAACAATTTCAATGGTGTCGGCACCGCGATTTGAAATCAGATTGCTCGAGTGAATTGAATTGAAAGCTATCGCGGCTCTTACACACAGAATATCACATACTTTTTTGGTTTAGGAAATTAATTCCAGACTGCTAATACACTAACAGCTCAACAACAGATCATTTAAATATTATTTCTACAGTTTCAAATCTAAATAACGCTCAATAAATCACATCAATGATGGAAAACTACTTTCGTTACACACATATTTTCCAATATTGCAATTATCAGTTTTATAAATTTCTATATAGTATATTTCTATATGCCTTAAAAGTTTGTTATTATATTTCTTTATGCTCCCTCTACTCAACAAATTGTATTAAGTGGATATGTATTAAAATAAAATTTATCTGTTCACTAATGCCATATTGAAATGTTAAATGCTTATTTTTCACGCACAATCATTTTATGCAACATTTAAATTCTTACTCTTGTTTACTTCACACAGGTGAATGTTACTAAACCATTATTTACGAGCGGTATCTAACGAAAGGTAGTGGCAGGTTTACATTGACAAGGCTTGTGATAAAGAAATTCCTTCTAAATTCCAGGTCGGAGACATCATCATAGGGTTGCCATCAAACGGGGTGCACAGCAACGGATTCAGCCTTATTCACAAACTGATGAAGAAGGCCGGCCTCACCCTCGAGGATAAGGCGCCCTTCAGCAAGGAAGGCCTGACCTTAGGTAATATATATATATATATATAGTAAAATCCATCAGTTGATCACCCATCAATTTTCTACACTGTCCCTGAAGTTCCAATTTAGTTGACCTTTAAATATTTTTAACCGACTTAGAAATTGGACTAGATTCTCAATTCTTGTCCAATTCTTCCAATTCTTGTCTTCTTGTGTGTGTGTTTTATTTTTTATATAATTGTAATTAGAAGTTAGCCTTTTTGTAGCAATTTTAGAAATTGCATTGGGTTTCGCTTAGCTCCCGTGTCGTTCGATATTAACTTCATTGGTAGACCTGGTAGACCAGACAATACTCCAGGGAATTCCTCAAAATCGATTAAGATATAAAGTGAGTGAGATATTTGAAGTCTGTTTAATAAAAATATTCTGCTTACACTTGAAGTGCTGATCAAGTGTAACTTTGACTATAGTGGCAACATCGATGCTGCCACAATAACACGTGTTCAGTCGCAGCCGGTCAGGCGATCGAGGCTGGCATAGGCCCCAATGTCCGTCAAACCCTGATCTCCCGCAGGCGAGGAGCTGATCAAGCCGACGCGCATCTACGTGGCGAGCGTGCTGCCCGCGCTGCAGCGCGGCGTGGTGAAGGCGGTGGCGCACGTGACGGGCGGCGGGCTGCTCGGCAACCTGCCGCGCGTCATCCCCGAGAGCGTGCGCGCCAGGCTCAACGCGCACTGGTGGCACGTGCACCCGGTACGCACGCGCCGACGCACGCACACGCACGCACACGCACGCACACACTTACGTACTCATGTACGCACGCAATTACGGGCGCACTAACGTACGCGCACATTAACAAGCTGGAGAGCAAGTCCATCCACGAGCTCTGTGCCCAGTGAAGCGGTATTTAGTCCACGAATTGAATTTGACCTAACATCTATCGAGGTAATGAGGTAATGTCGCCCGATATGTCCTATTGACGATTCCTACGATTGTTTGATTGTGTCTTCGGGTAAGTAAAATTGCAACGGCTCTGCTCTACACAGGGAGGCTTTTCTAAGTGTATCTTTTTTTTTTTTTTTCAATAAATGATATATATACTACTTTAATAAATGATACTACCGAGTCTAAGCCTCCTGTATAAATTTGGGCACCTTTAAAAAAGCCTCCCTGTATACCCGTCACCAGTTGCATACGCGTCGAATAGCACATGTGTCCCTGCACAAACTAACATGCCGTCTCTTTCCCGCCCATGGTCAGGTGTTCGCCTGGATCGCGGACACCGGCGCGGTGAACGACGAGGAGATGCTGCGAACCTTCAACTGCGGGATAGGAATGGTGCTGATAGTGGCGCCAGAAGACCAGGCCGACGTGAGTGGACATCATGCCTGCTTCGGTCTACTCCCATTAGACTGTCACGGTCTATTGGGTAGGGGGCCAACATTAGATAACTAATATCCAATGAGGCCTTCATTTGAAAAGAAAAATGTTGTTCCCCTATTTAATTTATGTTTAAATTACTTGTTTATTTAAGTTATTTTATAGTAATAATATATGCTTTTAAACTTGGGGCTTATATATGCTTATATAGGCTTATATATGCTTCTTGGGGCCATACTGGACCAGAGTAGCAGAGGATAGAGCTCAGTGGAAAGAGCTGGAGGAGGCCTATGCCAAGAGGCACGCCGAATTGCGAGACATAATATAAAGCACCGAAATTGTAAATGTGTGTTGACGAAATTGTAGCGAATTCGGTATAAAAGGGCTTTAGAAGTCAAATGTCCAAAAATGTTTATATGTGTCCGCTGCAGAATGAATGATATTAATTAAATTAATAAGCAACATAACATGTGATTAACAAAGTGTTTTCTCCTGTGTCTGGCTATATCCATAATAAGTATTTATTCACAAAAGAAAAGTAAGTTTATCGGTTATCTAGTGCCCATACTACAAGCTCTGATTACTTCGGGACTACATCTATGTCCTGAAATATTTATTTATTCATCACCGCGTAACATCGGGCCCCCTGTCACACCGCAGGTGATGAACATAACGCGCTCCTTCGGCGCGATGGTCATCGGCACGGTGCAAGCGCGGCCGGCGGGGGGCGCGCGGGTGCAGGTGGACAATTTCGCCTCGGCGCTCGACTTCACGCGCAGAATGCCCCTGCTGCCCAACAAGCGGGTGAGTGTAGCATTCACTGTGGTGTACTGAGAATGGGCAGCCCCGTCCCGGGAAAAGTGCCACGGCCTCGAAGCAGTTTGCCGTTGCCGTTTGATGGAAACGAAAGTACCGCGGCCTCAAGGAGGAACGGCGTGAAGTGTTATGCTTTCGCGTTTCGTCCGTAGAGAGAGGTAACCGGGGCCCACTTTTGAAAGGTTCTCAACGCATCTACAGCCTTTGGGTGTTGCAGATGCACTTAACATCAGAATTTCAATTTTCCAGATTTAAAAAAAATGGTAGATAGATGAGTGCATTTCCTTAGGTACCCTGAAGAATGCGTTTATGTTATGTTCTCATTTGACGAAATTAAAACAAATGTTGCCAATTTTGAATTTTGATTTTATTGTTCAAATAAAAGCATGTCTTGAAGATCCTAGCCGGTTTTGTGATTTATCTTACTAAATGAAACTATCTTTTCTGTGACCATGACCACTCTAAATGGAATTAAAACTATAAATAAACGCGATAAATCCGTAAACATAAGTTTCATTTAGTAATGTGTAACCTCGTAAATACAAGAAATTATTACGTCATTTATCTTTTTAGCTGATATTTGATCATAATTTATTGAATCTGAAATCGTTGGCGCTCGACAGGTGGCGGTGCTGGCGTCGGGCAACGGCAGCAACCTTCAAGCGCTGCTCGAGGCTGCCCGCGATCCGGCGCACTGCCTCTGCGCCGACATCGTCTTGCTCGTCACCAACAACAAGGACGCTTACGCGTTGAAACGCGCCGAGGCAGCCGGCCTGCCCGCCCTGGTGCGTGCAGCTAGCGCGTGACGACACTTTCGATAACGCGTGGCACAACACTATCGGTGACACGTGGCACAACACTATCGCTAACGCGTGGCACAACACTATCGCTAACGCGTGGCACAACACTATCGATAACGCGTGGCACAACACTATGGATAACGCGTGGCACAACACTATCGATAACGCGATAACGCGTGGCAAAACACTATCAATAACGCGTAGCATATTAGTATCGATAAAGCGTGGCACAACACTAGCGTGTCGATAACGCATGGCACCACACTCGCGTATCGATAAGGCATGGCATAACGTTAGCGTATCGATACTGTATGGTACAACAATAGCGGTTCGGCTTCTTGTTCGGCGCAACAATGTGCATTCGGTGCATCACTATCGTATCGACAAAATCAATACTAATATTTTGTCGATACGATAGTGACTCCAGTACATAGATAAAGCGCACGATGAAAGCCTATTGTATAGATAAAACGCTTAGTACAATACAAACGTGTTTGTAGGCCCGAAGCATATTGATAGCGCGCTCATCTTTACTTATAATTTTGTTCGTAGAATATTATTATTTTTTTTTATTATTTTTAAGATATCGCAATAGCTAAAAACCCATGCAAAACAATTCGACGTTCGATAGCGAAGCACCACAATTCTCCACATCAACACAAATACCCTAAATAACATTTTATTTTTTTAGTAGTAGAGTAACCACTGCTCGGCATGTGGAGTAACCACTACTCGGTTGATGAAAAACTTTTCATATCACTATATTATCAACTCATCAATATGCTTAATAATGGAATAAGGAAATCTTCATTATCTATCAAATATTGATGAGTTGTCTTTTGGGTTCCAATCAGCTGATATATTTCCTTCATTCCTCAGGTCTTCAACCATAAGGATTACCCGTCCAGGGAGGAGTTCGACCGCGCCGTCTCCGGGGCGCTGGAAGCCCACAAGATCGACATCGTTTGCCTCGCCGGCTTTATGAGGATCCTCTCCAAGGAGTTTGTTGATAAGTTCGTATCCAGCATAGAATTAATGAAGGGAGTGTAAAGGTTTTGTTCAAGTAGAATTAAACATTAGGTATATGAATGCTTGGATGTTAGAGTAAGAAAGTATAGAGGGGAAAACCATATGAAGATTTGGGTAATACCAGGAAACGGACTTAACTATCTTATTTAAATCGATTTTTTTGGTTGGTGTACAGGCAGGCTCACGTTTCCCATAGTGAGCCACACTCAATGAAAAAGTTAAAGCCTGCCCAGTGCCGGATTAAGCAAGCGCGGGCCCGTAGCAAATTCTTTCAAGCGGCCCTTGATCTGCAATAGGTTCTTAATTATAATTATGGTAGTAAAAAAAAATTCAATACGTAAATTTTTACAGCGCCGATCTCTGCACTTAAGATTAAACCTTAAAATTTGTAGACATAAAAAAGGAACGAAAAGATTTTCGCCTGGAAGCCTAAGATTTCCTGTGGGAAACGAATCAACGTCTTCGGGATTCGCGCCCTTACATTCTAGCCACTAAGTTAAACGGCTGATGGGGCCGCACCGACGAAAAGGCCCAACGACCTTTATCCACATTGTTTTTTAGAAGTGCAGAGATTAGCACTATATAAATATAAATTTCTAAAAAAACAGTGGCGACATCTCTCGTTCGAATTATCGTTGTAAAACGATATTCGAAACTGTTCGTATGCTGGAAAGGATGTAACAATGGATGCGCCAGGCATTGCTTCAAATGCTAAAAGAGAGATTGGTGGACTATGGTTTAATACACTCTGTACAAAGGCCTTTGCCCAGCAATGAACCAACAAAAATGAATTTTCAAGACATATGAATGTACACGATATAAATACTAGGAACAAACATAAATTAATTCTACCCGCAACCAGACTGCGTAGAATAAATTATCCTTTTATGGGACAATGTATACGTTTTTGCAACAAAATCCCAGAAAACGTTCACAATGTATCAATTTCTAAATTCAAAAAAATCGTAAAGGAACTTTTGTGCGTTAAAGGCTATTATAATGTTAGTGATTATTTAAATGATAACACACCCTGGTAATGAAGTGATCGCTCCAGGCTCAGTTGACTTTAATACATTTGTAAACATTTCTTTATTTGATGAACAATGGTATAAAAAAAAAGAAAGTCCCACTGAGTTTCTTTCGCCGGTTCTTCTCAGTGGCTTTTCTTTCCGAACCGGTGGTAGCGTTTTGACAATCAATAAGAAAGTGTAATGCTTCTATATTGTATAAAAGACACCTTTGTTTTTTGTATTTAGATTTTTATTTCGAATGGGACACATATAGGCGGATGCTTTACAATTCAATGTTCAATCCTGTCCATGTTTGTCACAGGTGGAAGGGACGGCTGGTGAACATCCACCCGTCGCTGCTGCCCCGCCACCCCGGCCTCCGCGCCCAGCGCCAGTGCCTCGCCGCCGGCGACTGCGAGAGCGGCACCACCGTGCACTTCGTCGACGTGAGCCCTCGCCGTGCCTCTAGTTTAACCGACGTTTACCCTTTCAATCCCGAGACTGTTAAAGCTCCATCGAACGCTTACGGTGGTGGGGCAGGCTCGTCCGGGCAAGTGCCGCGACCTCACAGAAGACCGGCGTCAAGTCAAAGTATAATACTTTCGCGTTTCGTCTGGTGAGAGGTGGCCGTGGCCCAATTTTCAAAAGGTTGTCAAGGCATTTGCAACCCTTGGGTGTAACAGATGTCCATGGCGGCGGTATTCACATAACATCAGGTAACCGCCAGCTCGCCTTTTTTTTTCAAAAAAAAGAAAGAAGCTGGGTTAGCCAGAACCCACGGGTTTGAGCCCCTCTACATTTCGTAGGGCCACGCGTGTGCTCGTGCGTGCGTTATAAGGATGCTCGCCGTGCCAACTCCTCAAACCGGCCGCTCTCTGTGGGCCTCTCGATGACCCCGGGTTCAATTCCGGCTTGGAAACCGGGGATTCAATTCCCACACAACTATTTGTATGCCCCACATATAATTGATTCAGTTGTTTGTGTACGGGAAATTTATTTATGTCAATGTCCTTACAATATAGCATAATGTTATCCTACCTATAAGGGAGCAATTTTTCCAAAAGAATGTGTGTAATAGATTTTTCTAGCTCACTATGGTCATTGGGACCAAACTCCTTCGACACAAAGTACAGTGCACTGTATAACTGCAGTGTATATAATGTGTAAATAGAGAGAGTCGAAACTTCTATATTCATTATATGATTATTTTAAGCTCTTATTGAACGTCAAATAACTACCCAGTTCACTAAACTAGATCTGTCCAGAGAAGAACCGGCAAAAAAACTCTGCGTTTTGTTACATATTTTCTTTTAAATTACATAAAAAATTCCATTCAATTAGGCATGTTTCAAGCATAAAACACTACCACCAGTTCACAAACCGGTATAAAAGGTACTTGATTGTGCAGTTGCTTAGATCGGTTTCGAGCACCACTAGTCTCCCTCAACTTGTTAAGCACGGGTCAAGATGAAAAAATTAAAGTTGAAAATAAAAATTGTTAGGACTATAAATATAATTCTCCGTTCCGCAGCACGGCGTAGACACTGGACCGATCATAACGCAAGAGAGGGTCCCCGTATTGAAGGACGACACAGAGGAGACCCTCACGGAACGCATCCACCAAGCGGAGCACCGAGCCTACCCCAGGGCGCTGCGCCTCGTCGCCACCGGCCGGGTGCGGCTCAGCGCCGACGGCGAGCTCCTCTGGCATCCTTAGGACTTCGCCCCCTCGGTGTAACAGTAAATCTTTTCATGCATGCACTTCGACCTCAACACATAAGCAGCGCTAAACTTGTGAAACCCAAGTGATGAAATTATATTTCTGTACTATCGACTGCAGGTATGGAATAATCTCTTATTCTCGAAGTTTTTTATTTCGGTAATACAACAGAGTAGTAACTTCCCAATTTATGTTTATTCTGTGCCTATAATATCACAGTCTCCTATTTTTACGCAGTTTTTTTTTTCTCTCAATCATTCATCTGCGCTTTTTAAACTGATGAAGCTTCCCTCACACGTCATTTTCGAAATCAAAAAAACGCCATAAAAGAAGGAAAAAGAAGGCATAATAATGGCTGTATGTGCTTTTATATTTTGATTAATGAAACAGCCAATCAGTATGCATATCCTAAGGTTCCTGTGAAGTATGTACTGAAATAACAAATATAGGTATTTGTTATTTCAGTACATACTTCACCAATAAGTCCATGTCAAATATAACATAATCAGATGTTCAAAACAAGTGTTGTTTTGTTACTAAATTAACAAAAACATGAAACTATAACTCTTTTATACAAAGTGCCTTATTTAGTGAAGTAACTTTTTTATTATAATATTATCATACCATATATTTCTAGGTATAATGTTTTATATGCACGTTATTGAAATGCAAGCATTTATTTTTAAAATAAGAAAAAGCTCTACTTTACTTTATCTAAAAATTTCAATTATTGGGATTTTCAATGTATTTAATAATAAATGAATACAGTCTTCCATGAAACATTGTGATATCTCGCCCAATCATTCCATTCACGATTTTTTTCCAAAGGAACTGATGTTTGGTTGTAGCATTTCGTTTTTGTGTGCTTGTTGTTTTAAACAAAGACACTAGAACTAAAGAAGCAAAAGTAAACATAAATTTGAACAACCTGATATTAAATAAACCTAAAAAACAATAAAAGGTTTTGTGGTACTATGTTATTTCGAATATATTTTCGAATGTTTTACAGAAGCTCTTTTGTATATTTAAGGTTAGGATAAATGAGAACTGTGTGTTATTGTACTGAAAACATTTTAATTATTGTAGAGATGTTGAAATAAAAATGTCTATTTACTCCCTTGTTTTATTTATTCTCTTTTATATACACTTTTTTATATCACAAATATCACAGTTTTATTCATATAAAAAATTATTTATTAAAAAATAACATTTAATTTCATTCATTTTGTGTTATATTTGTTTATTCTACTATAAATTAATCCTTTTTTAAGGGCCTTATGAGAAACAGTAGCGAGTATCTAAAGTTATAGAGATAACTTTAGTTCTCTGACTAGGCTAGTGTTCTATAACAACTGTATATGACTCAATTATCCACATTCTTTTGCTTCCCTTTACTAAATGTTAATAGCTCTCCTAAGGCACTAAAGAAAATGCCAATTATGTCATCACTTTCGCTGGCAGGTAGATTCAGAGTATCTTTTTTTTCCTTACTATCTGTACCCTTCACAGAATGTACACCATTTTTGAGAATATCTTCACATATTTTATCAAACTCAACATGGAATTTTTGTTTGTTTATTATTGGAACAATGAGATTGTAGTTATTTATTTTACTGTTTATGGACTCTGCCAAGTTTTTATTGCTCTCATATATCTTATTCCACTTCACTTTGTCCTCATCGCTTAAAGGAAATGGTCCAAGAATCATTCTGTCCCTCTTTATTTCCTCTTTCAATAGTTCAACATCTTGGTCAATTTCTTTTCTCATTGTTATCCATTCAGGAGTAAAACCATTATTAATCAAGACCTGCAAAATAAAGATGTGACAAATAAGCATATCACATTTGAAATATATTATCTAGAACTTTATTGTGTTTTAATACCTCATTTAACTTGTGAGTTGTAAAATCAACATATGGATTAGAGCTCTGATCTTTCAAAGGCTTGCCTTTGCCACTCAAGTTTTCAAACTCCCCTTTCGATATTGATTCTTGAATTAAATCCTCCACTAGTCTATCAAAACCGTATTTTGTCTTAATGTCATGTTTCTTACTATATTTATCTTTTTTCATCAGAGTTTTGTCTGATGCCACAGCTTTAGAGACACGGTGTTCCATAACATTTTCAGCAGCCCTTTGTGCACGTGTTTGTGCCCACTGCTTCTGCCTTTGTGAAGGAGTGCCATGGCCGACACCTTCAAAACTCAGATATTGTCTGTGTTGTGGTGCAGTATGCTGCAATTATTATATCAACTTGACAATGAATAATATACTTAATATGAGGTGATATGAAATAGTCATGTGGTAGAACAAATATAAATAGATGTCTAGATTTTCGGGCCAAGAGGTCATCGGCCTCTTAGCTTAATTGGTAAAGTGCCTGGGTGTGAAAATAGAAGACTCATAGGTTTGCAGAGCACCAAAAGTTTTAGTTTATTCATCTACAGAAATTTACATTTTAATCATATTGTATATTTCATCACATTGTATTTTGAAAAACAGAAGAAAAGCTGCATATTTTCAAAAATAAGATCCAATCTACAGCGGTGTTGCATGGTTGACTATGCCTTAATAGCCTCTGTACAGAAAAGCCTTTGTAGTAAAAGGCTATAAATATCTCTGTTGGGATTGACATAGCATGATACTTTACATGACTTTTATTAAAAATAAACCATAACATAAATATATAAATTAAAATTAACAAATTGTGATTTAATTTTGAATTTTGAAACCTTCTAAGAACCCAAAATTGTTTACATACCCTAATATCAAATATTGTCTTTTCAACTTCTTCAGTAGCACTTTTGCCTGTGTTATGTCTAGTCAGCAATCTAAAAGCATTTTCTACAGCCACAAATTTCTCAATACTGGCATCGGGTAGGCCTGAGTCTGGGTGATATTTTTTAGCTAACTCAAGAAAAGCTTCTCGGACCTTTTCTTGTTTAGAGTTAGGTGGTAAATTAAGTATCTTGTAACTTTTCTGTAAAGATATTATATAATAAAAAAATTGTTACTATGCCTAACAACAATGAGACCTGGCTGATCATCATCCCCACTATATTTCCTTTGAATTATTATCAAATCAGTAGACTATTATTTCCCTTTTTTTTGCATCTTTTTATCCCTGCCAATGAAAAGCAAAAATCAAGAAATCCATCTGATTTTTACTGAACACTTTTTTAACATAGGTTATATTTGTATTCATATTTTTGGTATTAACATGGTCAAACTATTCAAGTATTTAAATATGTATAGGTAAAGTTTAAGGATAATATATGTATATTTATAATAAACAGTATTAAGGGCGTGTTTGCGAAATCTCGCGGAATCTGCAAAAATAGGGGGTTTTCAGGTACATTTTGCAGCAAAACGAAACGAATATAATGTAAGTAATAATTATCACATATAGATCCCTCCTTCATCTTCAAATGGTAGATAGTTTTTAATCGAAAATTTTGGTTTATAATATTGTAAATGAGAATTTTCGTGACCACTTCACTCAAAATGGACGATATCCTGTTGGGTTTAGGAACATTTTTCTCTTATTTAATAACATATTTTTTTTATTTAAAAATATTTTATGTAAGCACACATGTTCAACTCAAAAAGGTAGCTACATTACGTATCAAAATTGTTGAAATTAGTTTCAGAAAAAAATAAAGATTAAAATCTATTTCTTTCACATTTATATCTTACGCGTGAATCTTAAGTGATTGACATAAAGGTTATTTTACTGGTCACTTTTTTGATTTATTCCACAAAAAATATTTAAAGAAATATTAGTCGGCGCTCGGCTGCCGTCATAAGTGGTCACTATGTCGCTTATAAACAGCAGCTCGTGAGGAAAAAGATCGATGTACAAATACAAAATATTTGTCGTAACAAAGTTGATACTTTACACATCATGTTCGGACTTCGGATTACGAACGACAAAAGTAAACTATAATTCACACTTTGTCATATTTTTACTAGAAATTAGTAGGGGTTAAAAATTCATATTTCGTTACGGACTTGATGGAGTGACCTGAAGGTGTACTTCGAGAACTGCTACTGGAACTAACAGACGAGATGAGCTATGTGTGTCGAGTTTGGGCTTGTTTTGTTAGGTATGGTGAGAGTTTGCCTTCTGACTTGCTGGAGTGCCCTGAAGGTGTACTTTGAGAACTGCTACTGGAACTAACAGACGAGATGAGCTATGTGTGTCGAGTTTGGGCTTGTTTTGTTAGGTATGGTGAGACCTTGCCTTCTGACTAGATGGAGTGACCTGAAGGTGTACTTTGAGAACTGCTACTGGAACTAACAGACGAGATGAGCTATGTGTGTCGAGTTTGGGCTTGTTTTGTTAGGTATGGTGAGACCTTGCCTTCTGACTTGATGGAGTGACCTGAAGGTGTACTTTGAGAACTGCTACTGGAACTAACAGACGAGATGAGCTAGTGTGTCGAGTTTGGGCTTGTTTTGTTAGGTATGGTGAGACCTTGCCTTCTGACTAGATGGAGTGACCTGAAGGTGTACTTTGAGAACTGCTACTGGAACTAACAGACGAGATGAGCTATGTGTGTCGAGTTTGGGCTTGTTTTGTTAGGTATGGTGAGACCTTGCCTTCTGACTAGATGGAGTGACCTGAAGGTGTACTTTGAGAACTGCTACTGGAACTAACAGACGAGATGAGCTATGTGTGTCGAGTTTGGGCTTGTTTTGTTAGGTATGGTGAGACCTTGCCTTCTGACTAGATGGAGTGACCTGAAGGTGTACTTTGAGAACTGCTACTGGAACTAACAGACGAGATGAGCTATGTGTGTCGAGTTTGGGCTTGTTTTGTTAGGTATGGTGAGACCTTGCCTTCTGACTTGATGGAGTGACCTGAAGGTGGTACTTCGAGAACTGCTACTGGAACTAACAGACGAGATGAGCTATGTGTGTCGAGTTTGGGCTTGTTTTGTTAGGTATGGTGAGACCTTGCCTTCTGACTAGATGGAGTGACCTGAAGGTGTACTTTGAGAACTGCTACTGGAACTAACAGACGAGATGAGCTATGTGTGTCGAATTTGGGCTTGTTTTATTAGGTATGGTGAGACCTTGCCTTCTGACTAGATGGAGTGACCTGAAGGTGTACTTCGAAAACTGCTACTGGAACTAACAGACGAGATTAGCTATGTGTGTCGAATTTGGGCTTGTTTTATTAGGTATGGTGAGACCTTGCCTTCTGACTAGATGGAGTGACCTGAAGGTGTACTTTGAGAACTGCTACTGGAACTAACAGACGAGATGAGCTATGTGCGTCGAGTTTGGGCTTGTTTTGTGAGTTTTTTTGATACCTTACCTTTGAAATTGATGTATTGGCATAGGTGTAAGAATACAGTAAAAAAGTTATTTAAAATATGGAACTACGTATTCTACATCAATTCTGTGTATAAATATTTGTGAAACATGTTAATATAAAAAAAAAATGAAATTTAGATTTTAATTATGAGTTAATAGAGTATAAATAAAAGTCAAAGTAAATCACAAGTCAAAGTAATGAATTTTTAATATAAACATTCTACATTACTTAGACATGATTAAATATTTTAAATGTTTAATTTGACAGTGTACAGATTTTAGAATTTTCGTTTAAATTTAAATACTCCGGGAGGCCTATGAACCTATCTGGTATTTTATTATAAATTCTTATTTCCATGCAGCCAAATGTTGGCCAAAAGTACACCACGTGTAGAAAAGTTGTATGGATAATTAAAAATACAAGTAATACAAAACAAATTTGCACACTTGCAAATTGTAAGATTAGGCATGTAAAGGTCATTTTTTTGTATGTTTCAATGAATAGGTGTAATAAACAAGTACTTCAAAAGTTTCGAACGACAGCTATGTGGCAAACTTTTTGTTTCACGTTTATGACCCCATTTATCGTTTATTGTTTTGTCGTGTTTCGCACTGATCAACTTTTATGATCATGGATTCTGCCTAAAATAATACTTAATTTAAAATAAGTAAGAACGTCTTTAAAATAGGCAAAACACGAAAAAAAAATAGTTATGTAAAAATGTAGTGGGTCTCAACTTAAATTATCAAAGACTTATTTTTATGGCACAGTTATCACATACAACATTTATACCTCTTATAACTCAATTGTTGTTTCAGATGCCAAAGCCTAAAACGATAAAATTTTAGCAGGCTACTACTTCGATATAGATAACAAAAATAATTAAATCATAGAGAACTATAAAGAAAAATCACAAAGATCCGACACAGAGCACCCCGACTCCGTGTGGTCTTCCCTATCCCTAGAGTGAACATCAAAAGGCGGAGCCAGAACCTCGTGTCGGAGGTATAAATTGGCCTCGCGGGCTTGCTCCACCCAGGATCGACATAGCGACAGTTCTGCGAAGAGCATGGAAGAGTCAAATTAAAAATGAAACAATATTTTTTTAAGCTATTGCACAGCTTTTATCGCGGGCTTTGAGCGCGGCGAACGAATCAATAAATTCCGTAACGAAAATAAAACCTAACACCACCCACTCCGCCTACCACGCAAGAGGAAAGATTTGATTGTTTTTATGCATTGAATAGGCTCCTAAACCACTGAACAGATTTGAAAATTTCTTTCACTGTCTCGAAGCTACATTATCCCCGGATGACATAGGATATATAAAATTTTCAAAAAACATTTACAGAAAATTATTTTTTTAACATTTAGCATGAATATTATTGAATCAGCAAAATGCATTCAGAATACCATACAAAGTATTTTACTCAATTCGTTAGCGGGTTTTACCTAATTATCTGCCTACATAACTACCTTCCTACGTACCCTACCATTACCTACCTATCAAGCTATCTACCTACCGCACGCATAATCAAACATGTATAAAACAAGCTTCGTTTACTTCATAAAAATTAATTAAAACTAAAATTAAATTATATACATAATTAATTAAAACGCAAATTATCAACAGCTACGAGCTTTTAAATGAAATTTAATAAATTGTACCTAAATATATAAAAAAATATTCAGTTTAAAAACTTGTTGAAAACAAATTTAACGTAAGCTTAAAAAATAAATGACTTCAAATTAAATAAAAGTATCAAGTTGCGTCAGTTACATAAAGTTTCGCTGCTTCGCGCTTGTCGCTGTGTGCGTGAGCCGTGCACGTGTAGTAGTACGCCTCTGTACCTAAAATTGAAGCGCGTGAATTCGTAAACGCGTCCTTAATGTTTACCTTTATTAGAACCATCGACTTTCAATGTTTATTATTAACAAAATAACACCTAAAATATGTGATTTTAAATCGATAGAAATGTAGTCTTATATAATTTTCTTTTATTTACATGAGTACATAGATGCATGTTATAATTGCCACAACTTACACTTACTTGAACATCTTCTTTAGTTAACGTTTCAAACCTTCGTATTTGCAATAAACATATCGAATTCTTTTTCATACAACTAAAGGTATACGAAGTTTTATGCATTTTGAAAAGGGAATTTTGTAAGAACGCTTTCTTTCGAAAGCGAATGTAGGCGTAACTTAAATCTTAAAGTATTACGAGGTTTTTGATTTTGATAGATCAACTAAATACCTGGATAATGGATACGTAATCATAAATAGAGCGATGTGATATAATATTTTGGAGTCAAAATGTCAATAAAACATTATTCATAGTATGACATTTTTTAAATATTCTAATTTAGAGATGAAACTGGTTTGAAGAAACCCGTGAAAAAACCGTTTTTAATAGAACCTATTAAAACCGATTTTTGTTTAAGAAAACCGGTTTTATTGAAAGCAAAAATATATTGATCCATCTATCACTTAGTACGACATCTTACGCTTAAACCAAGTATCTTATAACAAACAGAGAACAGAAATCTACGACATTGAGTAAGCACTTCGCGCTAGATGTATTAGAAAGTTTTAACGGTGGTAGGGCCACGCAGCAGCCTCGGCTGTTGCACGAATGGGCAGGCCCGTCCGGAAAAGTACGACGACCTCACAGAAGACCAGCGTAAAGTGGAAGTATGACAAATACTTTCGCGTTTCGTCTGGTGAGTGACGTAGCCGGAGCCCAATTTTCAAAAGGTTGTCAACGCATCTGTAACCCTCGGGTGTAGCAGAATGGACATCTGCTACACCCGAGGGATGTCCATGCGCGGCGGTTTTCACTTAACATCAGGTGACCCATCTGCTCGTTTGGCAACTTTTCGCATAAAAAAAGCATTTTAATTACAGCCACAAGCCACAAGACCTACAAAACCCCTTTAAATGTCTATACTGGTTGCTGTTTCTCCCTTACCTGCGGTTTATGGGCATCATGACTTTAGTCCAATAAGCTCTTTTTACAAAGCTTAATAAAAAACCTTTAAAAACCTAAAAAAAAAACGCTTTTTTTAAAAGTAATCGGTATAAAACCGGTGTATAAAATTGTAATCGGTCCACATCTCTGTTCTAAATGGATTATACCAATATTATCAGATATAGCATATGTAATTTTTATTAATTTACTACCTATTGCTGTTTTGTTGATAGTAAAGATTTACCTAATTATGAAATAAAATAGTTATTTAGGAAATATATCAATAATATTTTCGTGGTACTATAGTACCCAATGGCTTTAAGTTTCTACTATTTAATTAGTTTTAAATTTAAATACTGTAATACGGACGCCCGGTTTTTGAAACATTGATCATCGTAGAAGTCATATGATCAGCTGTAAAATGGCTTTTCTAATATTAATTAACTCCTTGAATTGATCATACTGGTCATCGAGAAGATCATTCTGATGAAATTTTACACTCATATTTTTTTCCAAACGTGCCAAAAGAAGTATAACTTCAAAAATTCACATTCAAATAAAGGATTGGCACTATAGCCTGTTGGCTATATATTTTTATATTGTCTTCTTGCGGTATGGCTATGTGTTTTATATTATATAATCCTATATTTTTGTAAGTCTTGTTTCTAATTAATGGGTTTCGCGTATTCAACGTTTTCGTTATACTATTTTCGTGTCTCGTGATTAAATTGCTATTTCATTCTTATCAATTCCTCTAGACAGGTTCCACTGTCTATCGTGGTCTTAGCTGAAGTTAAAACCTTTAACAAGATTTTGGATCTTGACATGCCTCCTTGTTAATCGTGTTAATAGAGGTCGCGGAGGTGCAGCAGGGCAGGCGTTAACATGCCGTCGACTTTGATACCTATGTTGTTCTCTTGATTCGGGTCAGTTGCCATCGGCTTTTTAAAAGCTGTCTACTTTAGACGGGCTAATAGTACACTAAAATACGAAAAAAATAATTGTAAATTGTGAAAAGAAATCTTTCAATATGATATCACATATGACATGATTGTAAACTTCCTTCAAACGTCAAATGATAGTGACACTAACCTAGACATTTCGGTATGAATTAAGGATAGGGAAGCTGCGGTTTTTCTTCAATTTTGCCGTAAATTTACGGCCCGATATTGTTTATTAAGTTATCGGTCGATAGAACAGTCAATAATTGTGAGTAATTGTATGATAAATGTGTTAAAATAATGCCGCTGAATGCACAAGACGTAGCCAAACGTTATCCTATTCACTGGCTGGTTTGGAATAACGAGCATGAAGAACTCAAAAACTCTTTGGAAGCTAATAAGGTACACTCATGATGTCGTCACTATAATGAGTCAATTGAAGTGATTTAATATTTAAGAACCATAACCACATTTTCCGCTCTGACACCAATATCTGTTGTCTTATTCTTATATTGTACACAACAAAAAAAATTACAGTTACAAATAAAGGATTACAAAAAAGACTGTACAAACGCGAGCTTCTCCCTAAAAAGAGTTCTCTGCTGAGTATTGTATAGTTTATCAATAAATAGTTTTTTAGTTAGTTCTCAAGTACTATTCAAGTGCCCCTCGATAAGCATACTACCTAAACATGAAAAAAAATTAATTTGTAAATAAAATTATTTTTTTTAAATTATTTTTAAAATGTTCTCTAATATTTGTTTCACTAGTCATTTATTTCCATGTTGAGAAATTAACCCGAAATTTCAGTTTAATAGGTATATTTCAGTATAATAGATTTCAGTGTTCTGCTCATTTTTTCATATTATTAATAGTAACATTAATCGAAATATGATATCTGCAAAGAAAGAATTGTTTTAACTTAGGCATTTAATATATTTTTTTATCTGTTGTTTTGCAGTTGTGAATTATGTGAAAGTAATTAATTATGAAGAAATGATTTTTTAATACTTTTGGTATTCTAAATATCTTTGGATAAAATAAAAAAAGATTTATACAAGTTTGGCATCACTGCTACCGGTACTAATGATAAATTAATTTATTTCATATACTAAACAGATGATTAATGTCTCATTAGTCATAACCAATGTACTAAAAGATATCTTTAATCTTAGATAAATGTATTGCTTATTACACTTATTACGATGATCATTATTTTACCATCCATAATTGCTGATTGAAATATTGAGAATGTAAAACACAATTAAAGGTTTAATAACAAAATTTATTTCATGCTGTGACACACAACAAGAGTTCTTTAGTGTGCACTGTAAATAATGATAAAACTTGACGTGATCATTTACAAATAAAAAAATGATCTATTTTTGTTATCTTCATGCTCACCGAAAATAGGGTGATAGTCATTGTTCTTAGGCGTATTAAACAGAGAATTTTAAATATATAACAGCTATGTATAGGTGATATTTAAAACTGTGCCATTTTTAAAAGTAAACTTAGTAATATTGTGCTGTGGTTTTGGCACCATATTTATGATTCACTCAGACAGGTGTACATATGTAAATTGATTATGTAACATAACTGACCAACTTGTTAACACTTCCAACGTACATTACACAGTGATGACCTTATTTTGTTGTTATTTAACGATGGCTTGGCTCGTAGCTTGGTGGATTTACGAACTGATTTTATAGCAAACATAAGACATAAATTGCAACCACACATACCATTTATTTAGCCATCATTTTGATAAGTTTTTTGGTATAGATGTTGAACTATCAATTATAAATTTACGAACTTAACTAAATAGAAAAAGTCGAGGCTGTAAAACTACTGTTAAGTCTGCCAATCCACAGTGGGGTGCATGGTGGACTATGCTGTACAGAGGATGTACGGAGGAGGCTTTTGCCCAGCTGTGGGATGTATATAGTCACTTTACTTTACGTTTAGTACTTATAAATTGTATATTAAAACTAATATTATTATGGACTTATTCCTAATCGTTTTATTATTTTGAGTGTTTAACTCCTCAATGTTGAAACGATTTGGAGATATAAAATTTAAAAAACGACTGGGCATGTATGGGATGTTACTTTACTTTACACATTATCATTTAAGAAAGCGGGAGAAAATTTAGATTTGTTTCATAATTTCGGCCGCGCTTTTTACGCAGACGCACGTGGGTGTCCGCTTCGGAACAGAGAGGGGAAGTGCCCGCGTAAGGTTTCAAAGCCAGACAAACATGCCCGCGCACTTATAAGAAGTACTTATAATCGTATTATCATACAAAGCCATACAAATCGGGTCCGCGTTGGTCGTGTGATTTGCCGGAACACGTTTTAAAGTTTGCAGCCAAATCCCTTTTGGGAGGTAACCTACAAGGCGTAGGTTCAGAATGTAACTCGCGCGAACATAAACATAAACAAATATCATAAAAATCTTATAATAATACGTGAAGCAAAAACTTTGTAACCCCTTTTACGAAAATTGCGCTGACGGAGGAGTATGAAATTTCCCACAGTTATAGTTTATATTCTATCGAGAGCCGTGATAGCTCAGTGTCCGGGCGCTCGCCTTTAATTCAATATACTCGAGCAACCTGAGTTCGATCCCCGGTGCCGGCACCAATGAAGTTTTTTACTTTCAGTGCTGACTTATCACGTGCTCCGCGGTGAAGCAAAACATCGTAAGGAAACCTGCATATTTTCGAAATAACAAAAAAATATATATTTCAAAGATATGTGAAGTCCGCCAATGCGCAGTGGGGCCGCGTGGTGGACTATGCCCTGATACCCTCTGTATAGAGGAGGCCTTTGGCCAGCAATGGGGGATGTTATATATAGGCTGTTACTATAGTTTATATAGAGACGGAGTGCAGAATACTTATATTTTTTAATTATGCATAAAAATACATTAAATCATTACACACTACCATGTATAATTAATTACTGTCGAATTTCGACCACTAGGCGATCACTAGTTTCATTAAATAAAGATATGTTTTATTTTTGTATCGCCGCCCATGGACATTTGCAACACCCTCAACATTTATGCTTTACGATTAAATAATTTTGCTGGTTTCTTCTTGTATCTGAATAGGTCTTTGCGACTTTTGCGGCGAGTTGCACGTTTATCAGATTAATATTAAAACTATCTCCCCAGTGACTAACGCGAATGAATTTAAAATCAAAACAAAATGCGAAGAATTTCGTAATTTTTATGTTATTAATATTGTGAGAAATCATAGCACTTTTTATATGATTTATGTGTAAAGTCGGAAAGCTATTTTGAAGGTAATCACAGGACATCAGGCGATTTTCCTGATGTCCTGTGATTACCTTCGGCCACGGACATCTATGCCTGAGACGTTGCAAATTCATTGCTAATCTTCAAAAATTTGTCCCCTCCTCACTCACTAGACGAAACGCGAAAGTCTTTTGTCAGACCGCGGCGCTTCCCTGGATGAGCATGCCCGTTCGTGCAACGTCAGAAGCTGATGAGTGGCTCAACTATTCGATACGTCTCGCCGCCTAACGTATACGATTTTTTTTATTTATTGGGAAATAAAACACTTATAAATTAACAGTTATACATAAAACAGAATTCGTAATTATTTAACTAAACGTATAACCAACACCAATGTCCGCAAAATAATATTAAGTGAAATGAAATAATGTAAAATTTCGAATAGTACGTCTCGTTTTTCTAATTTTTGCATGAAATAAAAAGATTAAAAGTCGCATCCTAGCCTAATTTGCACATTACAATTTAAGTGTAACCATTCCTTTGAATTGATCTTTTGTAAGTGAAAACAAATCACAATTTACAAATTTAGAGTTATATACATCTGTCGAGCATTTGTTCTAGACTGTAGAATAATCGGGGCACGCGTGAATATCAGACGGCCAATCACTAGTAGTTGTTCCCTCTGCATTTTGTAAGCACTGGCCGGTTTCTCAGTTCACTAAGGAGGACCTCGAGCTCCGGGACCCCCGCGGGCGGACGCCTCTGCTGCTGGCGGTGACCCTGGGGCGCATAGAGGCGGTGGAAGCTCTCATAGAGGCTGGCGCCGACGTCAACTGCGAGAAGGACGGCTGGACAGGTTGTTGCGCTCTCTATGGTCTTCTCGATCGTGTATTTATGCGAGAAGGTGGCAAACGAACTTGCGGCTCACCTGATGTTAAGTGATATCTTTATATTGTGATGCTAGTCGAGCACTGCACGTCGTTATTAAAAAAAGTTTTTCCAACAAAATCCCAGAAAACTTTCAAAATGAATCAGTTGCTAAGTTCAAAAAACTTTCAAGGAAAAAAACTTGTGTGTTAAAGGCTGTTATTGTATTATTAGAATTTCTTTCGCCAGTTCTTCTCAGGTCAGTGGCTTTTTTTCGAATCGGTAATAGGTAGTTTTCAATCAATAAGTAAGTGTAGTGCTTCTATATTTAATAAAGACATTTCAATGTCACCTAGCGGTACAAGAGGCCACTGCGACGGGGGATCCCCAGATGTTGTCGCTGGTGCTCTCTCGTCGCGACAGACAGCGCCACGCGGCGCGCTCTAGCGGAGTTCCGGATCTCCTGCGCAGGCTAAGCCTCGCGCCCGACTTCTACGTGGAGATGAAGTGGGAGTTCACAAGCTGGGGTGAGTTTGGGAGTCAAACGTTGCGATTAAAGTACGGTGCAATACATATACGCTTTATATGGTCGACTACTTGAAGAATCAGATCTGCTTCGGAGCTATTTTCAACTGGACCAGCTGAACAAAAGTCGTGGATTCCATTACAATTTCTGGTGTTTACATTTTGCCTTTCAGTACCTTAATTTGAGATGATTTTTTTAGGTAGACATAAATTTAACTCATTTCTAATTTATTTACAGCTCTCCATAGTGTTACAAATATATAGTTCTCAAGTCATATTATTTTCTCTTACTGATTACTTTATGCTACATACAGATAATTTTAATAAGGTAGAACCCTAACTGAACACAACCTTACTTAAAATCCATAAGCCTTGCACTTAACTGGATTATTTTCCCTTTTTATAGTTGCCATACTGAGGTATATAACGTTACCTATCACGTCACAACTCCATGCATTATGGTCGCTTCAAGCATTCCCATTAGGTTGCAACGCATTCAAAATCAGGACAGTAAACCATATACTAATTGTAATATCTGTAACGTAGAATCCTTCAAATCTTTACTTCAGTACCGTTGGTCTCGCGCATCTGTCCCTTCGATACGTACAAGGTGTACAAGCGCGGTGGCAACGTGCGCGTGGACACAACCCTCGCCGGCTTCGATGAGAGCCACTGGCAGCGGGGCGAGAGGACCTACATATTCAGAGGGCAGGGTGAGTTCAGTGACCTTTACGTTTTCAGGGACCAGGGTGAGTTTAGTCACCTTTGTATCATTTCTGTGAGATAGTTGTGCGTCCTGGGTCGAGCCTGCCAATAGTCAAACGATAGTCATGTTTCGAAAGTTTCCGTTTGTAGAGCATAATCATGACCGCTGAATCAAGACATTAAACTTCATGTGTTTTGAACCGTTTTAAGCCAATTTCTAAGGCATCATGTCTCGATCGATCTGAAATGAGCATCTCCGAGGCGGGATCTCTTTCATCTGTTGGTGATAGACGCTCAGTCGGCCGGTTGCAGGCAACCGCGCCAGCCTGGTGGAGTTGGACCACACGCTGGGCACCTCTTGGTGCGAGCACATGGAGGCCGGCGCTGACTGCGACTGGCCCCCGCCACCCCGCAGCGCCATACAACAGCGTCTCGCGGCGCCCCTGGCCCTGAACTACCTGGACACGGACAAGATCAGCTTCGAGCGGTGAGTATGCGGCAGTGTTTACGAACTGTTAAAAAAATAACCCAAAACCCACTAAAACAAACTAAATGCAAACCAAAACCTCCTAAAGCTTCCATTGTAATTTTTTTCCTTCCTAAATTTAGAGAGGAAATAGTGTATTGTGGGCGCCAATATCTCGGCGACTGAGCCGCGTGCACAGTACCAGCACGTGCACTAAGAGGTCGTTCACCCCGCGCAGGAACAAGAGCGGCATCTGGGGCTGGCGGCAGGACAAGAGCGAGGCGGTGAACGGCTACGAGTGCAAGGTGTTCAGCGCGAACAACGTGGAGCTGGTGTCGAAGACGCGCAGCGAGCACCTGCCGCGCGGCGAGAAGGCGCGCGCCTCGCCCCGCGCCCCCCTCGCCGGCCTGCTGGCGCTCGCGGACCCCGACGCCCCCCACTCGCCCCTCCTCACGCCCGAACAGGTCTCTGCTTCCCCCTCCGCTAATATCACCCTGTCAATCGGCTCTAACGATCAGATGGCTCCAATTATGGAGCCGAGCCACTCTATCGATTACATGCCTGCTGGCGCTCGCGGACCCCGACGCCCCCCACTCGCCCCTCCTCACGCCCGAACAGGTCTCTGCTTCCCCCTCCGCTAATATCACCCTGTCAATCGGCTCTAACGATCAGATGGCTCCAATTATGGAGCCGAGCCACTCTATCGATTATATGCCTGCTGGCGCTCGCCGACCCCGACGCCCCCCACTCGCCCCTCCTCACGCCCGAACAGGTCTCTGCTTCCCCCTCCGCTAATATCACCCTGTCAATCGGTTCTAACGATGAGATTGTTCTAATGATAGGGCCAACTGTCCGTTTAATTTGCCGTACGGGCCACTCTATAGATTATATGCTCTATAGAATATAATTATGTACTTATTTTTTACTACTAAGTCCATTGACTTGGGGTATAACATGCTTAGGGTAGTACGAAATATTTAGATGTGTAGACAATAATTCGTATAATAGATAACTCTATTATACGAATTATTACGATATAATAGATATCTCACGGGTAACGGAGGACCACGTAACTCTACATTACTTACCGAGTGGATATTTTATGTTAACTCTATCTTACACGTAATACTAACTGCGTACTCTGTCTTTTAGATAAGTTAGGGTTATTGTTTCATTAACGAACATTGACTTGATAACTCTAATAATCAAACAGCTCTACTGATAAGTAGCTGTAATTAGTAGACAGTTCCAATAGATAACTCTACCAAAAATGTAGCTCAGTCGATTAGATATGGTATGAACCTTTCTATATAAATTACTAATCTACTTATTTAAACACGAGTCTATTTATCAAATGCGTCTTTTTAACAGATTGGAACCTAAAAGGTTGTTATAATACTTAATTGTTGCCTAATTAACTCTACCAATTCAGCCGCAATTTTTATTTCGTAGCTTTGAAATTGATACATATTCCAAATATTTCTTGTCCCTAATAGCTCTTGTATAACCGTAGTAGTAACTTTAAACTGTTTGAACTGTTACATGAACTGTAAATGTAGCTGTTTTCAATTCGGTATGAATGCTACGGCGTGTCCTTTGGTAAACAATATGCATACTAGTTTATTATTGCAAGCTCTGTTGATTCTGTTTTTTGCTGTGTGTTAAGCCTCATAGCTCTCATTTCAGCTACGAACCTAATAGCCACGTAAAAGCCCCGCGTTAACATTAGGGGATCTCTTTCGGACTCTTTTGTACATTTTGCCCTTTGTGCTTACTTCTCCAATGTGTGCATTCTTATCTTATTTGTGCATTCTCATCTAATTTGTGCATCTTATCAAATTTGTGCATTCTCATATAATTTGTGCTTTCTTATCTAATTCGTGCTTCTCAACTTTGTGCCTACTATTTCTCTTAATGCTTATTCTGATTGTAGCTTCATCTTCAATTTGTGCATATATATTTTCTGATTGTGGCTTCATCTCCAATTTGTGCACACATATTTCCAGGAGGAGGAGCCGCGCAGCAGCAGATCCTGTGAGAACCTGCAGCCTGTCAGCTGGTCCGAGTATTTCGGCGACCAACCCCTCGAGAGGGATATCGGCCGGCCCCAAGAGGTCACCACCAAAGTGCAGAAGTTCAAAGCGACCCTATGGCTAAGTGAGGACTACCCGCTTGAAGTAAGACATGTAACTGTTAATCTCTTCTACCAATTCTCGTTTGGTTTGCTCGTGACATTTAGGTTTTCTGTCCATTGAGTACCACATGCTATTGTTTGTATTTCGTAGGTTGAATTTCGTAGGTGTACACAAAGCAAAATAAACTTTAGTTTTTTTTTTAAATATATTATAAAGTAAATCGTTCTTATTGCACTGCAGTAAATCGCCGAATTATGCTAGATCGTGAAAACACGTCTCACTGGCGCTTTCTATGGTATTTTAGAAAGTTACACGGGGACTCGTATTACTAATCTCAATAATCAAAGTTTTAGAAGCTATCGGCCTTCTGTGAAATTGTGGTACTTCCACTGCAAATCTGCTGCGTTAATCGAGACCTAAAATTGTCTTCACTACCCATTTCCAGCTGCAAGAGCAGATAATGCCGATCCTGGACCTCATGACGGCGATCTCGTCGCCCCACTTCGCGAAGCTAAAGGACTTCATACAGATGCAGCTGCCTTCGGGATTCCCCGTGAAAATTGGTGAGTTCCAAATAGGATATGGCAACAGTCTCCTCTCGGCACAAAAAGCGTTTTTTTTGAGCAATCATTGCTAATTAGCAACAGACTTTTTTCAGAAATCAAGGTCTTAATAAGGATAATAAGGAGTAATAAGCAGTTTTGTTTGAGTAATAATTGTATTTTTTATTGCATGGCAATTGAGCGGGCGTTTCAAAGTGATTACCGCCAACCATTGACATCTATAACTCTTGGGGGGCTGTAACAGTGTTGCCAACCTTTAACAAGTGCGTTCCGGTTACCTTAATAGACGAAACACGAAAGTACAATACTGCCACTTCACGCCGGTCTTCTATCAGGCCATGGTCTTCCCCGGACGGATCTGCCCATTCGTGCAACAGCTGAAGCTGCGAAGTACTTCCTAAGAGAATGCTTTAAACATTACTCAAGAGTATTGCTAATCCAATATTGTGATGCAGGGGCAATAGACACATATACCGCTAGGATGACATAAGTGCCCAGATCAGAAAATAAGATTCACGGGTCCTACAAATTTGGGTCCCGTTTGAGAATCGAACTGAAGACGCCAGTGGGGCCTATAGGCGACTGCAGAAACAAATTATCTGAACTTAGTGTGTTATAGGGTCGTGAACGTAAAAAGACGCAAGAATCTCTTGGAAGGACTGTGATTAAAATAATAATTGCCGTGTCTAATGCAACGATGCCGTATAGCGAGCAATAATAAAAAGAAGTTATTTTTTTAAATGTCAACTGGGAAAGATATTTATTTGTAAATAAATAAAAAAAAAAAATGCTAAAGACTCTTTATAGGCATTAGAACCATCGAAATAAATACCAAATAGTAGATACAGTAATGAGGCTGTAGGCACACAAAAATTCGTGAAAGAAGGGACGTGATCTCTTTCCGCCTGTGTATTGATAACTAAGCGTATGTCGGTTACTTTCTAGGCTATCCATTTACGTTCTTATCCGTTCCAGTTGTTCGGCCAGTGGAAGGTAACGAACCCACTCTACTAAAGTAACTCACTCAGAGAGCACCTTTCATCACACACTTCGCTGATGCTGTTCGATTTTATTAATTTGCGTGCCATTCTCTCACTCACTTTGCGCATGCGTTCGCAACGCAACGCCTTTCCGAATGCCCGCTTAGGCCTTGCGTAGCATTAGGCTGGGAACAATTCTAATTTTAGTACGTTGGGATAAAATGAAAGTTGGAGTGTCTTAATAAAGTTTTTGAGGGGGGGGGGGGGGGGGGATGTTCTTCATCCCCTAAATCCGACTACTACCATAGCGCCGTAACGAAACTTGCGTAGACACCTTGCAGGCCGTTTTCGGCTTTCGTAGTCTTAGAAGTCGACTTCTGTCTAAGCAGGGGCTCGTAGCAGCACATCCGCTAACAGCTGATGTTTAGATCGAGCCTAAAGCGTTCAGCAAAGGGGGGGGGGGGGGGTTCCGTCCAAGCAGCGGCTCTTGGCAGCATATGTGACTGCGAGGTGCCAACAGCCGCCTTAGTATAGGGGTGCTTAGCACGCTTAGCCCGCGCGGCCCGCCCGCAGAGATCCCGCTGTTCCACGTGGTGAACGCGCGCGTCACGTTCGGCAACATATTCGCGACGGAGGCGGCCGTGGCGCACGTGGGCAGCATCCGCGAGGGCGGCCGCCTCAGCTGCGTGGTGGACGACGCGTGCTTCGAGCTGGGCGCCGGCTACAGGGACGCCAGCGCGCCCGAGCCGCGCGCGCCCGCCGACGACGAGGACGGCCTGCTGCAGTACGCCATCCGGCAGAGCCTCATGGAGGCGGGCACGAGCGACGACCAGGTGAACGACCTCCCTCGGCCTCCTCTCTCTTCCATAGTGGTGGGCGCGCACGACGACCAGGTGAATGACCTCCAACACTCCTGTTCCCCCCCATGGTGACGAGCACGCACGTCGAATAGGTGAATGACCTCCCACGCGCTTATGCCTCGGATGCTCCTCTCTCCTCCGTGGTGGCGGGTGCGCAAGACGACTAGGTGAATGACCTCCAACACTCCTGTTCCCCTCCATGGTGACGAGCACGCACGTCGAACAGGTGAATGCCCTCCCACGAACTTATGCCTCGCCACCCTCCCTCCCATGCCCCTCTTCTTCCATGGTGCGGGAACGAGCGACGACTAGGTGAATGACCTCCCACGAGCTTATGCCTCGGATGCTCGTCTCTCTATAGTGGCGGGCACGAGAGACTACCAAGTGAATGACCTCGCACGCTCTTGTCCCCCCCATGGTGGCGGGCACGCACAACCAGGTGAATGACCTCTCACGCGCTATTTTGCTTCGCTCCCCTGCCACGCTACTCTGCCCCTCGCTTCACCCTGTGGAGGCGGGCACGCACTACGACCGCGCCCCCCTCCCACTCTCCCATCCCCTCCCACGGACGACGACCAGGACCGCTTCACGCGCACGACCGAGCCCCCTTCCCTCCCCTATCGCCCTCGAAGACCAGATGACCCCACTCTCATGGACCCTCCCCCAGATAATCGCGCCGCCACGAGAATACAAGCCAGATGAACCATCATGCCTCCCACGCACCTATCCTCGCCTCACTCCACCTCATGGAGCATACGTCGACTAGGCGATCTACTTGAACCCCCCGGCTCGACTTTCCCTATGATGATGATGATGATATATTCTTGTGTAATGCAAAAAGTCTAGGACACAGGACAATGTTACCCTACGCTTTGTTAAAATAATCTAGTACCGCGCTGTTTTTAAACTGTCTTGGCACTTGTCCTAAGTATACACTGAGGCAACTAGACAAGAGTTGATGTGGTTGCCAGGTGGACGTGTGGGAGGCGTTGCGGGGCGCCAGACCCTCCACGCCGCAGCCGCCCCCGCCGACCTCCCTCCTCGCCGCCGAGGAGCGCCAGCTGCAGAGGTATGTCTTTCCGCTTTCTTTCCCCCCCCATTCACATACCCGGGCCCACTTCTACTTACCCTCTCTCTTTATCTTCTTCCCCCTCCCACATGCATCGCAGCAGCGGAGCGTCAGCTACAGAGGAATGTCCCTCTTTACACACAAATCGCTGCATCGCATTTGTAAGTGCAGCGATTTGGGCCCACAACTAATGCCCGGTTCCTATATATATATATATACATAGCTTCGTAGCTTTCATAACGACTCGTAACAACTTCATAATGACTATGTAACTAACGGCCGTTCGTTGAATATAGGAACCGAGCATAAGTAGTGTACACCTCCGCTATCTTTCTCTTACCGTCTCCCCTTCTCCTGCTCGGCTCCCCCACCACTCACACTATATCTTGCTACGTGGCTTTCCCCTACCGACTTTTAGCTTAATCAACCGCAGATTTAACAGTGCAAACGAAACGAGAGGACCCGATTGGCGTAGTGGATACTGACCCTGTCTCTCGTGCCAGAGGGTGTGGGTTCGATCCCCACTACTGGAACGTGTGTGACGAATGTAGTTTTTGAATGGTGACTGTGTGTTCATTTAATTATAATTTCTACTCATTTAGAAATTTGAGTATGTTTATCAGTAAACATAGTACTCATAGTAGAAGCTGTGCTTAGTTTGAACTAGATGACGTTTAGATTTTATACATAAATTTTTTTTATTTTACTTTTTATCATCGAACGATGTAAAAGTTGGGACCATTTAAAACTTATTTACCTACGAACTCTTGAGATAATTTATTTTCTATGCAGTTATCAATCTCGCTCACTAATTGTTTTGCAGGAGCTGCAGATTTTAGTTTAAAACGCCTTTTCCGCGCATAGCTAACTTAGTACCCAAGACATTTAGCTTATATTTATTATTTTCGCCATTTGTCGTCTTTACCTTAACTTTATCAGCTTTGTTTCATATACGCACTGTATGACAGTTATGTTGCGTTTATGAAGCATTTTTGTGTGTTCATTAATTTTATGTGATGATTTATATTGAAAGCTTTAGTATATTGTAAATTTTGGCAAGTTTAGAATTTAGTTTAATAAATTGCAAAGAATCTGTCGCACTTGAACAGTCAATCATCAGTTTTCTTGACGAATCTCGAGTGTTTGTTTTGTTGGAGTGAAATTTGTTCTATATTTTAATTAGTGCTCTGATACGTTTCCTGAGCGAAATAATTAGACCATTTAACGAATAACATCATTAATTCATGAGAATATTTTCCTAAATCGTTTTTAGTACTCCATTACAGTAGATTGCTAGGATACAACGCCGTACAAAGCAGCGCCAAAGACAGCTAAAACATTTCTACAATTCGACATTTTTCGAGAAGTATCATGCACACTACATCCTTCCGTAGAGTCGAACCGCGTAGAGCCATCCCTACCGCTACGTCGTAGACCCTAAAAGCTAGTTCATAAGCCAGTGTTCCGTCAGAGCGATAGAGGAGTCGCTAGCGGTGTCGCGCCCGAGCGCGGTGACGCGCGAAGCGGAAGCGGACGCGGGGGCGGAGGCGGAGGCGGGGGCGGGGGCGGAGGCGGAAGCGGAAGCGGAACTGCGCGCCGCGCTGGCGCTCTCCGCGAGGGAGCACGCGGAGATGGACCGGGCGAGGAGAGAGGAGCAACGCGCGCTCGACGAGGCCCTACGACTCTCCCTCATCGACAAGTAGCGAAGCGCCCGCTCTATGTGCGTATCAGTGTTGCCCATCTCAGAGCTATTTTTATTGTGGAAACATCACTAACTGTCTCGGTGTGTTTTGGGGGAAGTATAAGGTAGAGATGGGAATTGTCGAACCGTTTTGTGAGAACTGTATAGTAGAGATGGGAATGTTCGACCTTTTTTGGGAGAGTTATACTATAGAGATAGGAATGGTCGACGTGTTTTGAGGGAACTATAATGCGCACATGGGAATGGTCGACCTGTTTGAAGGAAGCATAATTTAAAGACTGTTAACACTGTGTCTAACAATTCGATTCGTTCACTCTTGAGTTGTTTCGCTCCAGCCTAAAACACTCTCCAAATCTCCAATCGAGTCTAAAATGGCCTGTGCCATATAACAGTGTCGATGTTAATTGGCTTGTTTCGGCTGGTTAATAAGGTAGCCGGGGCCCATTTTAGATGTTATATTTATAATATATAAGATTCATATTTAGGGTAATTAATTAGTATGACCGTGGGTTGCGGTTGCCACTTAACATAAAGTTAGCCGCTTCCTCCCTTGCACACAAAAAAATCAGTTGGGGAATGGATCCAGGCTGTCTTGTATCCGCTTAAAGTGTTGCTCAATTCGGAATATTTATGTTGTTCATTTCTGTTAGAAAGGCATTTTAATTATAGCTTGGGAGCCATGAATGATTTTAAATACTACAGTTCTTTTTTTTTTCTTTTTAGGGTACCATCTTTTTTACCAATTAAAATTCTATAATGGTTTATTTCACATACTCAAATTTATTTACTGTTTAAATTTTTGCTTTCCCTTTCAGATTTTCTCGCATACTGTGCGTCTATACGAAGAATCCGCGAAGTGGGTCGGGGGAGTGGTGCTACGCAGTTGTAATAGCTCGGACTAATTTCGCTCTTAAGGCGTTAACAAAAGACACATTTTGCAACGAAGAAGACCGATTTCACAGCGATAAACTTGTTTTGTGTAACCAAATTGAACCCTATTTGTATATTATAAAGGTTTTTTATTACCTCGCGTATGTTCCGCTCGGGTCTGTTCCCCGTTTATAGTCTATGGCAATAATTTTGGCGGGAATTTGTTTAGATACAAGTTAAGTAAAATAAAGGAGGTTGCTTCGGTTGTATGGAAGACATCGTGGAACTTTGCGGTACTTAGCTTGTCTGGATTAACCGTGATCGTTGTTTATGTGTTAAATAAGTTACTACGCCTTAATACCGAGACGATGTAGTCAATTTCGATGTAATCACATACCGTCCAGTGTCGCAACACCAGCGTTTATCCAGAGTTTTCCATAGTGTATAGTTAGTTATCCGTGAGAGTCAACCTCGCTGAAATTCCTCATCTGTATCACGATTTGTGTCTGCCCCAAGTGTATATGTATAGTCTATAGTACGCTAGATAATGAATTTTGTTTTGTTTCAAACTATAACAGCATGCGCATGCTGTGCGATGTTGTGATAGCGAATTTTAACTTCTAACAGGTCTTATTACCTCTAAAAAGACTATTCTTAATTGAACTAATCAGAATAGTCTTTTGTTTGTCGTACTTCTAAATGCCCCAAGACTTCTGTAAGCAATATTGAAATTCGTAAAACGGCATGTACTATAAAATGTAGGCTGTACCACTGTTAGATATATATATAGAGCGGACATTAGGAGTAATATTGGAATTTGGACTTTATACCATTTATGCTATTATTATTAACGTTTTAAGTGACAACATTTCAAATTCTAGGTTTTGCTGCGGTATATTTCACACTATCATTTTTAAAATATGGATTTTTTTTACTTTGGAACGTTCTCTTATATGTTTTTGTTACTTTAACATTTAACATAGGAGCTATCAATGTACAGAGATTTATAGTACAGTCTCGTCTAACGTAGTGTTCATGTAGAAAGTTCCGTATGCCGGTCCTTGTGGCTTTACGAAAGTATATAAATGGATTGGAGAATGTAAATACATCGCACGTGACTGTACTAAATATTGGCCTAAAGATAATGTTTGACCACATTTGACAATCACACCGTTGCTGCAAACTTGTGTGCCTCCAGATTGATATACAGCGTGTCGTTACCATCGCGAAAATCAATGAACACACGTCTAACGCTACTTGCCAATAATCATAAAAAATATTAACGTTAAAAATAATCCATAATTAAAAAAATATATTTTTGAAACAAACTAATTAAGTAAAAAAGAAACAAAATTTGTAACATCCTATCCTATACAACTACAATTGCCTGATTCATACATTCAGAGACTTTTTCATTCGTTACCAAAACGTCGCATTACAAGTCTCTCCTTCTAAGAGTATGTCTTATCTCTTTTAAATCCATTCAACCCATTGCAACACACCGTGACCTTTACAAATGAACTTTACGTTACAGTTTTATACGTAAGGGTGTTCTAAAAATGTTTGTTTTGTAAAATTTACTAACTCGGTAAATATTGATGTTTAAATAATGTAAGTGCTTAATACAATTTTAAAAAGTTATCCTCTCTATGTGTGTTCATTTATTGTCGCGATTGTAACGACACGCTGTATACTTTTTAATACATTGTTATAGTGAAAATAAGTTCCCGTTGTCGTGAAATTTCATTTATTTAGATTTTATATCGAATTTTATAACTCGCAAGCTATCCAAAGATTAGAAAGTAAAATTTGTACAAGACATCCATGCGTATGACAAGGCAATTGGATAGAAACCATATTGCCGCCATTTCTCACCAGCCGCCATCTTGCGGAGTGAATTTAAAATTTCAATTGACCGTTGTAATGTTTTTCTTTTAGTTGAATTACTTAATTTATATTCAGCGTAGCCGTAATTTATTTATTGCATCGAGTATTACTAATTCTAATGTACGTGTTACACGTGAAATTAAGTCTGTCTGACACCATTCCTATAAGAACCAATGTCGAGTGTTCAATTTTGATACCAATTAATTGTTTCGTTTTAACGGTGATCTATTTAATTTACATGAATTACGTCAATCACCATAGCAGAAGCAAGCTAGTTTCGACTTTACATGCACATTGATCGGCAAACGTCTTGAACAGGCAATAATTATTGAGTGAAACAAAAAACCCAACTGTTCAACTTATTAACTTAGTGTTATACATCTATTTATTTTTGTCGCGAACTCCACTTCTAAACTTTATAACCTAAGTCATCCCCAAAATTAAGATATAATGGCACAATAAGATTTAGGCTGTAGAACTCTGCAAAGAATTGATGATACATACAAACATACACGCATTTCTGTCACAGGTCGGGTAAAAATTCAATCGGTAATAGTTTTTTTTGTTGACGTTCAATAAGAGCTTAAGTTAACTTAAGCCTTTATTCGGATTCGTTTTAGATCCTATGTAGTGCAATATTCATTTCACTGGTCTATAGGGCCTTGGACCGCGGATATAAATCAGTCAAATAGTAAATGTATAGCGAATTTGATATTCGAAGTCTATTTTTTCGATGATAAAATTTTTTTATGCTCAAGACGTTTGCCCGGTCACTATATATTACGTGTTCACGTAAACGTTTTTAGTTTTGTGAGTACCAAAATTGGTAAGACCGATGGAAACTACCCGTAAGACTCATGCCTTGTATTTTTTAGTGAAAGAAGAAATAAAAGTAAAGTATTGTCTTGTGAATACATTTTCGATTGTCACTATTCAATCGTTGGATTTTACTAAATAAAATTGTATGCAGTCATTTTACATATGTTTTACAATCGATGTACTATTTATTAAAATCGATTGAAAATACTTGTTGTTTCTTTTTTTTTTTTAACTTTATGTATAATGTCGAAACAGTTAGTATTTGGTGTGGTTTGTAATTTTTTTTTTAATAATGTAAATAATTTGAAGCAAGCATACTTACACAGACGCCTAGCTTCGTCCCGCAGTCTAGGCAACAGGAAGCCGTATAGAATTTTATTAATATTTGACCATTTGTATTATAGTTTTTCCCATCCCTTAATGTTCAGAAATCAAACTTTCTTTTAAATTCGACGTTATTTTTAGCAAAAAAAAAGTCTGTAATCGCGAGATTGTTTATCAACCGTACTCATCCGCTTGAATCGCCCGAGTTTAGTGGAAAAATGAGCGCTAAGGAGGGTTTCAGAAATAAATGAATACGCACAATGTTATCTATGTATTTAAAATTTAATTTTCGTTACTTATATACAAATTACAACATTCACTATTATAATAGGTATTAGTTCGTCCTATATTTACATATGTAATAGTACACTTTAGAAGCGTAATTTCATTTATCAAGTCAATAAATTACATAATCAGGAAACTTTTGGAATAGTGAGTACTTCACGAACTGCGATAAACAACAACTAACTGGAAAACGGGGATCGAACCGGTTTGCGGCGGTCGGAACCGGATCGCATCGGAATAGAAAAAGTGGGATTGTACACTAGAAAAGTAGGTCGCTTCTGCCGATTTTCAATACAATAATCCAATATCGGCCAAGCGTTCGTCAAACCCGAAGTCCGTTCCCCGTTCCGCACTGGATTGTACTTACTACGTCTAAAATCGATAAAGATTCCCAAGGAAAGCAACGAGAACAATTAAAATCATCGAAAACTTAAAAAAATAACGAAATAAATACTTTACTTTTAAAAATGTTTTCTTTTTTTTATTAATATTAAATTCCGATTCGCCATTACAATTCCATTGACATTTCTGTTAACAGTGCTGTTCTTTGTTTGTAACAATAGTTTAGTGGTGTACGAGGAATTAAATGCAATAATTTTTCATATACATACATTTCTACCAACTTAAATCGTATACTAAAATGAATGTTGCTACAATTTGTATTTCGAATCTCCTCTCCATTCGTGATATATCTCCATTGCCTAAACACAAACATTTTTTTCCTTAGATTGTATAGAACGGATAGAAAAGTATGACGCCTTTCTCAATATAGATTTTTTGACTTGGGACTTATAGTTTTATAGTACAGTTAAATGTGAATAGTTACTTACTTTACGTAAATCTCTTAACAGAACGTTATTTTTTTATATTTGTGTGTAATTGTTCGTTGTTAATAAAAACATCTTTACGAGACATAAGATTATAATAAAAATATGTATTATTGTTATTAAACATTTAAACTTCTAATTACTTATAAGTATATACACTATTTGATTAAACATCTTTCTGAATTACGTTGCGAATGGCATAACAAAATTGTTAGCACTTTAATTAATTTGACATTAACAATGACACATTGTTCAGGTGACGACAGATATTTTACAATTTTTCATTATTCTATCTTAATAAATAAATTAAATATTGTAGAAATGTCAAAGGAATCATGTAAGAGAGAATCATAGGTATTTTAAATTACGACGCTAACACAGATACAAAACGGCTAAATTGAGAGAGGATCTTTTACATTAACCATTTAAACATTAACCACGCAGGGACGAGTTGAAAATTTTCGTACGAGCACTGTACACATTATCGAGAATTTCGATGAGTAAACAAATATTGCCATCGCAAAAACGAACATGGCCGCGGCTGTATATCCAAAGGAACCTTTGCCAACAAACGCCTGCTCTCATTTTAGCCCGATTGTTATGTCATTTCAGGTCGACCCTTCTATACGAGAATTCAACTCACAAGAAATATATTGAGTGCATCCTTTGTGAAGCAGAAATGTTTTCAATGTCTTGACTCGTTCAAATTGAATGATATTTAAATAAGAGATATCTATTACGAATTCTCATTGGAAGAAGTCGATCTGTGACGTACTTTTTGTCTTTATTAATATAACGGACGCTTGACGCGGGTTGATTTTGAAACTGCCACAAGTGTTTGGGGCGAAAGCTTTCGGGCAGACATCGCGAAATAGAGAGCTCCGTCATAATTTACAAGCGGCCTTTTCAAATGGTCACTCGGAGAACAAACTAAACTATCTAAATTGGTACTGTTTTCATAATTTCGACGTACTGAACGCATACAACTTAGGCTTTTTAGTGATTAATGTTCGATTGCTGTGAATATAAATTGTAGCAAGTGAACACTATATAAGTCCGTTTCAAAATCGGCCCGTCGGTCAGCGCGCCCGCAGATAAATTAAATGCACCATACCTCTTAACTTGCCTAACTACGATATACATACAGTCCAACAGGATTGCACTTGTTTGGAACGCGCGCACACCGCGCACTTGTGTATCACCACTAAATTATAAATAACGATCTATGCACTTTGTCCGCCACTGTACCAGATCTTTTCACCATCCTATAATTTAGGGATATGGTATTGGGAGCGTCTGTACTCGTCTCGTGATAAGACTACCATAAGTTATCTCCAGCCACTTACGTGAGATCATATTTCATGTAATAACAGAGTCAATTACAATTCAATATGATAATTAGATTGTGACGGCCTCAAACTGGACGTCCCTAAAGAGATAACTATAGTATAATATATATATCCTCATATTTTATATAAACAAACATGTTATTAAAATGACGGTTTAATTGCAATATGGAAGAAATGCAGACATTGTTTCCAAACGAATTCTATGCGAATTTTGTAACGGTGATATCAATATCCAACTATAAATAGCAATAACATAAAGATTTTCCTTTTGTACACCTAAAACATAATTTTCTTATCGGACGATAAACAAAGTAAAAATAATTGTAAAGGACAAACAAAAACAATGATTGAACATAATCCATTTTCAATATGAAAATGTGTTGAGGCATATTGATAAACTTAACATAACAATGACATTGTTGTTTTCTTCGTTTCCATATTTTATGATAGTATATACTATTATATTCAAATAAGAAGTTTTGTGAACAATTTTAACATCTACCGAAATTACTGATAGTCAGTTATTTTTACATAGATATTCATTACAATTGTTTTACCTGACATTGATATTATTCTAATAACTATATTTTAATGCTTAAATTATATTAATTATTAACTATAAAATATAGCTAACAAAGACAATAATTTTGGCTCTATGATCTATGACCTTTGCGTGCCTTGAACGCAGTAGATAACTTTATGTTGTTTATGATCAGCAAACAACTTATGAAAGTTTATCCTTCAATACTATAGATATCTCTTTAATAACAAAGGTTGAAATTCTCTTTATTAGGTGCCATCCGTAGTGAATATATATGTGGAGTAATAAAGGAATTGTCGTCTTCGTACTGTCGACAGCGTAATGTCGCCGCACCTATTCGAATCCAGGTGATGCTCCAAAATGGCAGATGTTTTATAGGGTTTCACAGTTCCGTTCCAGTGATTGTGAACATCATGCGCCCATCTCTATGTCCTTATAATTGTATGGTTAGGAGAAGCGACGTTTATTACAATTTCTTCGATTCAAGACCTTTGAAAGAAACTTCAACGGGCTATTCGTAATGAACACGAATTGTGCTTTTACCTCGTTAAAGTTTCATCGCATTGAATAAAAAAAAATACAAACGCAATTTTAAAATAAATTTAAAGCGCCAAACAGTGTAAAACAGTTTTACAATAACAATTCTATGTTTTACATTCAAGTTTTCTTAATTAATCAAGCTCGAACATTATTTTTGTAATCGATTTAGGAGTGACGAAGGCGATCTTAAAATGTTTTCAATTATTTCAGTAATTAAGTCAATTCTTTTAGGGATTTCACAAGTTTCGTGAACAAAGTGCTTTAATAAAGAGAATATGAGTACAAAACTTTCAAACTACAATAAACGTTTAGCTGTCTTTTCAGCCGATTTTATAAAGTTTGATAACAAAGGCATTTACCCGATGTCTGACGGTTGAAGTACGAGAAAAAACGGTTATGTATATTATCATAACTTAACGGCAACAATGAACAGATTTGGGATTACCGTTTAAATTTACATCGAACGTGCGAGAGAGATGTTCTCGTGGAAGTGAGTTCAGATGTGGTGTCTGCGGTGTACAGGTAGGTTTGCGGGTCACGGCGTGGTGACAGCGCACGGGACGGCCGCGGCGGCGTCACGACACGGGGAGCTAACGACATCGGACGGATAATTCGTTCAACACTGGATTGTGTACAACAGTGGGCCACCTTGGCAAGCAGTTGCTTCGGGGTACAAAAATACTCTGACACCGTATCCGCGTCCGTACTGTTTGTTTGCGGCAACCGGCATTTGGTATGGAAACTGCGGTGTAAAGAAAAGGTAGGTAATATTGCCCATTACAACGAAACACCAACCAAACGTACGATTAAATTTTTCTTTACTCTTTACACAATGGTACATATTATAACACTTAAAGTAAAACGTTACTACATAATCAATATAAATGTCGATCTATACGGGTGCACTAACAGATTCCTGCGCCCGTTGTTCCGTCAGAACGACGCTAAAGGTATACCACGGTGCGTATGAACGCTACTCACAAACGCATCCCACAAACCCATAAGTCGTACCATTAAAATTTGAAGAACGATTCGTGCAGTGCATTTAACAGCCAAAAACGCGACACACGTCACGCGTCCGTACGCACCGGAATACCTGCAGCTTTAAAAGTGAAGTTTGTCTATGGTGAACTTTAAAAAGTTGGATTGTCAATGGCGCGGAGTTTGTCTATGGCGGGCGGTAACTCCCCCCCCGCCCGCGCGCCTCCCCCGCTGGCGCCGGTCACGGCGGGCGCGCGGGCGGCGGCCCGCGCGCCGCCCGCGGTCAGTCGCCCGTCGCCGTCACCGTCGTCCAACTCCACGGGCTGTTGTAGCCCTTTTGGCTGGAACAGAGAAGGCGACACGTTAGCCGGACCCATCAAGCGTGAACTCAAGCATCTATTTACTTATTTATTTAAAAAAATTATTCATTTAAAAAAATTGCGGATTTAATAACATTAGGTGTTCTGAACCAGTTAACTGTCAAATAAAAATAGAAAAAATGGAGGTATTAAAGACTGTTCGGCTGTATGAGTTTAGTCTGATTCAGCGTTTTAGTAAATGTATATTTTTCCCACATGACAAGCATTTTAAGGTCCAGACGTGACAGTAATTGTTTTTAGACTTATTCCAGATACCTACTTAATGTTTGAACGACGGCCGGAATTGCTTTTCGTTTAGATTTTGTATTTTAATTTTAAAAGGTTCTCGCACAATGAAAGTTATATATAAATTATTCTTTCTCTATAATTGTATGGTTCGAGGTTAACCAATATTACTAATGCACAAACAGTTCGTAATAAAAATCCAGACGTTAAGGTAAACAGAATGGAGAACGCACTTATTGGTAACGCATATTTAATCTGTGCAAAAATTTGCAGATGGGACAATTCAATCTGCGCTGTTTCGCGCGTTTCCCGTTCGGCACAGGCGTGCACCATACATCCAGAGTCGAGCTCGACCGGTTTTTACGCCCGGCGTAAAATACGCGTGTACATACGCGGCTGGTAGCGACACACGCGAACTTGACCCACTTGGTGGCGATGAATTATTTACGCGATGCAATTCGAGCGCACGCAACGGTCGGCCGCGGGCTTTCTTGAAATGTAGCAATTATTGTGAGGGTGCGGTCGCGAATTGTACGGTCTTTGGTAATCTCTTAAGATTCGGAGGCTTTGTGGTTGTGTACTGAGAGAACCATAGTCTGATTAGACTTGACAGACTTATAAGAACCGCAAATGATAAATCATTAACTGATTGCACAGAACAAATTACAATTACAGAATTACAAGCTAAAGAGAGCAAATTACAGCTACAGAAAAATAAACACTTAAGCAAAATGTATGTGCAAAATGTTTTGTGTTTTGCATAAAGAGGTATAAATGATTATGTCATCAATTCAACGATAAATTAATTTTTTGCAACTTTAATAAAAAAATTGTAAGACGCAAACACCCGAATTCCATCACGACCGTCGTATTGATGTTAAAACATAGTTTTTAATGTAAAATTCTGACCATATATTGATCCGTCGATGATTCGACAGCGACGTCGCGCATGCATATTTATGAGCGGCAAAAAGCCCCGTCCTCCATTTTGAGTGATCGGTCAACCACAGATGTAATCACTGCATCGGCCAATCAACAACTAATTAATATTAAAATTTAGTCTTTGCGAACATCGGCCATCGTTCGCACGGAATAAATAACTGTTTTAGAGTAAGGACCGTATGTTTATATATTTTATTCGTAACTCGTCTTTAGTTTTAACAAAGGATCGATAAAAAGCCCGCTATTGAATGTATGAACGTTGATTAAGTACGTCATTTAGCAAAATGCCGCCTTGTCCGAGACGTAATTTATTACGCGAAGCTAATAAAAAGTATTTAATCACTATAATGGGGTGACCTTATAAACGTAAGGTGAAAGCCGAGGTGTGCTCTCAACGATTGCGATTAACATCGATTTGACTTTTAAATACTCGCATCAATCATTTGTTATTGTATTTGCTACGTAACATTAGAAATAATTATGATGTAACCTTTTCGTTCCATATTCTTGTTGTTAAATATGATATTTAAATCCTTTTGATTAATATAGCGAGTTTAGATCATTTTGCAATTGAATCTATTTTGTTTAGATTCAAACAAACATAATGAAATGGCAATTACAATGAAACTATGATTTTGGCTAAGGCGATTTATTCTACATTGATTACAATATCATATAAAAAAAGTAAAGTAAAGTAACAGCCTATACATGTCCCACTGCTGGGCAAACGCCTCCTCTATAGAGAGGGTATCAGAGAATAGTCCACCACGCGGCCCCACTGCGGTTTGGCGGACTTCACATATCTTCGAAATATATTTTTTTTGTTATTATTTCGAAAATATGCAGGTTTCCTCACGATGTTTTCCTTCACCGCGGAGCACGTGATAAGTCAGCACTTAAAGTTAAAAACTTCATTGGTGCCGGCATCGGGGATCGAACTCAGGTTGCTCGAGTATATTGAATTAAAGGCGAGCGCCCGGACACTGAGCTATCACGGCAATATCATATAGGTACATATATAAACTCACTCTTTTCTAACTTAAATTATAGTTACTCCAGGTACGGAGGACCGGATTTTTTGGTAAATCATGTATTTTGGAAATAAAAAATATTAAAAATAAAGAAAATGATCTGGTATAGAAAAAAAAAAAGTAAAAAAAATAAATGTGTAAATGATCGTGATACGAACCGCGGCCGTCTGTTTTGGGGCCGCCCGATTACCGACCGAGCTATTATAACATTTTTTTTTGCGGCGAAATTTACTGTCATATTTGAATAATATTTTTCATTCCCTGAAAACAGGGATAAAAGGACATTTTCTAATTGAATTCAATTTTGTGGACTATATCATTGAATTGATAGGCGGTGTTCGAATATACTTATTGTAACTAATAATTATTGTACAGATTAATACCGCATTGCTTATTTAGTATTTCGCTTCTCAGTTTACGACAGCTGAGGTCTTATGGCTGAATATCGCCCATTGGGTACCTAAGGTGTTAAGGATGAAACCGGCTAGTAGACCATAGACAAGCGTGTGCGGTTTCACGTGAATAACGCGATACATCGACTGTCGACGCAGACGTTTTCCGCAAGTGTGACGTATGTCGGCGGTCAATGGGCGATTCGAAGCAGTTGTAAACGATTTTCTTTCGCTTCGCGGTCCGAACGGAGTCGGAACGGACTCGCCATATTTGTCGGGATTAATGCGGCCTCTTAATTCGGTAGATCGATTGTGTGCGGTTGGGAAGGGAAGCGCCGACGTTTTTGTCGCCTCGCCCGTTTTCTCGATGTCGCGGCCGTGAGAAAGTCTACTGTTACGGAAGCGTTGTACGCAAAACGAGCGTTAACAACTGTTAAACCTTTGGCGATAGACAGATATTAAACATTTCACCGAACAAGCAATTAATGTTGGATTCAAAGCGTTCGCAGTGGTTCCCTCGACGGTTACTTCGTGGCGTCAAGTTACTAAATAAAGGCAATGAATAACTGTTTCATTTTCGGCTATGAAATGTTCTATGAGCCAACAATGAAAATATACATCAGTAGAAAAAAAATCTTTTTGATCTTGTCAATTATTGCTCCTTTAAAATGTCTAACATCTTGGTTTATCGCGTGTACGCATTTACTTTTGGAACACAAAAAACAATCACCAGAACCACGCGTGTTAATCTTCTATATTATAAAGAGGAAAGATTTGATTGTTTGTATGTATTGAATAGGCTCCGAAACTACTGGACCGATTTGAAAAATTCTTTCACTGTTGGGAAGCTACATTATCCCCGGTTGGTATAGGCTATATTATATTTTCAAAAAAACCTGGATCCTTACTAAAACTTCAATAATGTAACCCAAAGTGTACAAAAATTACCTAAAATATTCTTTACATCGCGTGCGCTGCGAAAACTATTGATGATAGAATAAAGTAATGTACAACGAATTTGTAGAACACATCATTATTTATAAAAAGGGTCGCGATAGCATATGTCTAACTATTATAGTTATGCTACAATAAGTGTACTTTTATTTTAAAATTTTGATTGAAATGCCGCCGCTAGAAATGGCTCTTTATTTGTATCTGGGTATTAATCCTTATAAAAATAAATAACTTCATATTTAAGACTGTTTCAATATCTTTATACAACTTTTTGAATTATTACATTCGGACATTCCATTCAAGAGATATCACAAGATTAAAAATGTTAGTATATTGGAATTTAACTATACAAACAGCTTAGTGACTAACTTAGTAGTTCTTATAATTTTTCAATCACATTTATACTGGTAATTCCTGTTCGATAGTTTGCAAATTATTAAATACAAAGGCAGTTTAATTTTTTTTATCATTTTAAAGATCTCATCTTTCTAGAAATAGTTCCCAGGCGAGGGCATCAAAAATACGTCGTAATGAGGAATATTTACGGGAAACTGAAAATAGTCTTACAAATCGGAGAGAGTCAAGAGTGTTTCAGCGGCTTGAAGAGCATAATAATATAAATATACAAATTCACACTAGGGAGTCGAGTTCTGAGCGTTCCCAACGCCTACGAGATTAGAGGGAAAGACAACAAACGTCAAAGATTAGAGTTCGTAATCGACTTTTAGCTCACAGTAACAGATCAACTTTAATGCACTAAGCTCAACAGTCTTTTGTCCAAATCGGAGCCATAAATAAGATCTGCTCTAAATTTGCTGCCAAAAAATGGGTCGATTAACCACATGGTATGTGCTGTGCTTCTGGAAAAGTTAGTCTCCCCAATATTGAGGAGCCGCCATAGCCAATAAAAAATCTTTTGACGAATAATCATTCACCATCTGGACATTTTTAACCAATATTCGTAAGTGCAATAGCCTCTTTCAAATGATTTCGTTTAGCGTGAACTTTTAAAATAGAGGGACATGTATACAAGTTATCATCATCCTCCTGCCCCTATCCCACCTAGGTGGGATCGGCACAACTATATTTTTACAACCAGCCGCCTGCCTGACGTCAAGCCTCCTTGGGAAACAAATACCCACAAAACCTAAATTCAAAAATCAAATTTCAACTTTGTAACTATCACGGTTCATGAGATACAGCCTGTTGACAGAGGGACAAACAGACAGCGGAGTCTTAGTAATAGGGTCCCGTTTTACCCTTTGGGTATGGAACCCTAAAAAGGCCCTAGAGATATATTGCACGGTAGACACGGCCAACTTAAAAGGGTCTCTGAGTTACACCGATTGTATGATCCCTTATAATATCCCTTAATAGTCGTATTAGGAGAAGACGGTTAATATTTGACTATTCCTCAGCAAGGTACTGTGTGTAACAAAACTGTGACATGCAT